TTCCCCAACGTAGGTAGACAGGGTAGGCACTCTTGCGCCAGCAAACTGGGTGAGCTGGGTCTTGTCAGTGGCGATGATGACTGGAGCCACACAAGACCCTGCTGGAAGTCTGTCCTGAGGCAATGAAAAGGGAAGAGTCAGTAAACCAGTACGTAGAAGTCATTGGACGCTCACTTGGACAGTGTTCCACCAGTCCCCAGTCCACATCTCATTGTAGATTCTACTATCCCTGAAGCATTAGTGAAAACCCTCCTGGGTCTATAGACAATATCGTTTGCGTGTGCTGGATTTCCAAGTAATGTCTTGACAGCATCGATCGGATTCCGATGATAGATGGTATGTTTGTGCTCTGGGTCATTCTTGAACCAAAGTTCGCGAGTCTTCCAGCAAGCACGTGGAGGTACACTGTCGACAATCTTGTGCAATCCCCTAATATTATGGTATGAGAGACCTAGTCTTTCAGAGACCTGTTGTTGGAATGCATTAAGCAGAAAGACAATCGTGAGGTAAAATAGAACCAATGCTCACCCCAGGTATTGCCATGAGTCGATCAAATGATTTGTGACCTATGCCGTCCTGAATGGCCCAGCAGGCAACTCTCCACTCTAGCTCAGACTCAAAAGGTGCAAACATTTTCATTGTCATGGATGTCCCCTCTCCAAATCTTCCATCTCCACGTCTCTGTTGGCATCAGATCCTCCAAATTCTCTCCTCCATCTCTGATGCACCGTTTCATCCATACATATCACCTTGCCTGCAGTGGGATGCACATCTTCAACTCGCATGTCTGAAGCAGAGGATGGGACGGGGGATCTTGGGTGTTCAGGTGGGTTCCCGATTGGAATGAGATCGAAGAGTCTATCATGGAGTCTTCCATAACTTGACCTGGTTCCTCCTCCATTTGTTCTTCCAGTCCATCCGTAAGAGGCTCATTTATTCTCGCATCAGTACATCTTCATCAACTGCGAATTCTCCTGGAAGGGTTAAAGCCCTCAGCTTCCCTTTCTTGTACCATCTACAAGACTTGGCGGTACTAAGATGAGTAGCCAGTCCTTGGGTTGTCCTCAGGCGCTTGTGACAAGCAGGACATACTGTAGGGTCATCGTCCTTAGCTCGAGTGTGTTCAACATTCACATTTAAAGCCTGCAGGGCAGAACGAAAGCCTGTCATCTGGGCAAAGGTAAGATGGTAAGACAATGCGATGGTCTATAAATGTTGAGCTTACAATCAAAGATAAGAAGCGGATATAGGGTTATCCTAAAGAGAAGGCGTCGGGCATTGTGTCCCACGCCAATACTGCGACAATTTCACCGACAGTGCACTCATCATCCCGCCTCACTTGGGAAAGTTCACAACCCAATTATTGCAAACCGTATATGAAAGCTACAAAATGATCGCTACAAAACCACTTGGGCGAATGTTTGTCAAAGTACATGAATGAAGGTTTAAAAAAACATGATCCTCAGTCCAGCCATTGAATACATGCAAGCAACCTCACCACTAAGTATCTTATCCTCTGGATTTTCTCTGACGCTTCCCTTCCCCAGAGAGATTGGATGAATTGACAGACATGCCAGCTGTACCAGATGATGGGAGGACTGATGATGAAGTAGTCGCACTGGAACTGTCACTGTCCTGCAATAAAAGTGCCTTGTGCTTCTTCGATCCCGAGGTGTTCTCTGAGGTCTGCAAGCCCTGGCGCATCTTGTCGGGAGTGTGGATTTCGAATCCGGCGAACCCAGAAGATGCAGAGATACGGGTGCCTGAAGGTGGTAGGGATTGCAGGCAGGTATTCTGTTTGGCTAACCATGACCACCTGCTTGGAGGTCAGGTTAGTCAACGAGTTGTGGTAATCTCTCCCTCGCTGTCATGATCAATGACCTGTCTGGTGCACCATCCTTGTCCACCGGTACTGCATCGATCATCTCTCGCAGGACATTGATCAGCTTGGCATGAGTGAGCTTCCAGCGCTTCTGTGCAGGAAAAGGCCACAGCAAGTCAGTAGATCTTCCTCCATATTGCCATCATGTTGCTGACCTTCCAGTACGGATCAAGGGAACGCTCGAATGCATCCCACGTCAGGTTCTCCTTTTGCATTATCACTTCATCATCTTGGAAGTTGGTAACGCCGAACTTCACCCATTGAGGCACCGAACAAGAACGCACAAGAAGTTCCGGAGAAGTGGCTGTGGGTGCAGTAGTTCTGGTATGACTGCAGTGTGCTGATGTGAGGGGGGGTGTGTTATTCTCGCCCCAACCTGCATTAGAATGTTTGAACTTCTTTGCAGTGAGGTTGGCTGAATCAACTGTAGTGGAAATCCCCGTCTCTATGGGATCGGTATTACGAACAGGGACAGGCCAATCTTGAAGTTGATGGTAAGGACCCGTAACATTCACCCTGAGCACGAATGCGAGAAAGATAAATGACTCTAAATCATGGCAGATATTGGGGGGATGCTCTCGGTCAACACTACTGTAAGGGAAAGTTCCCTACTTTCATGAGCACTCCAGCAAAAAGCATGAAAAAAGGATGAGCGTACTGTTGTAGTCCACTTCTTTTTCTCTTCCAAAGCTTTCTCTGAGTCATCCAAGAAGTCCAGTGCTAAGCCAAAGTCCCCAATCATTCCAGGACACATGGGAAACCACTCAGATTCTACTGTTTCTCCACAGAATTTGGGCACGCCCTCATCAATGCACCAATTAGGCACAGCGTGATCTTGATCCACTATGGGCACCCAAAACCATGTATTGTCGTCACTGGTATCACGGTGGATTAACCCGCGTAACCAAGCATTGATATGACCTAGGTTGTGGACTCTAAGCATTCTGAAATTTCGGACTGAGATGTGCACTCACCCTTCAAAGCACCTATCAACCCTGAGAAGAATTCCCGTCGACAGGAGAACCAGGTACACCTGACTGCGTTGGTCTTGAAGACGGTTCAATAGTGCACAAGGGGATAGATTTCCGCGGACAAGGGCTTCATGATGATGTTCGCAACACTGTCTGGTACTCGCGCCCCATCACAGTCAATCATCATAACAGGGTGCGTGGACATGCATTGATCACGAATAGGGAGGTGTCTGGGGTAGGAACCTTCTTTGTCCTCATCATCCCACGCAGGTTTGGGCCATCGCTTGAACAAGACTGACTGTGACTTCTTCTCAGCCTCAGTGTCAGGAATAACGTCAGGATACGGAATCTTTTCTTGCTCTATTAAACGAAATGAGATGCAGATCAATGAGGCACAGATAGTTCAGAATGCACCTAGTTTTATGCGAGCCTTTTGAAGGCGCTCTTTGTCCTCCAAAAGTTGATGGATCTCTCCATCCGGTAAGAAACAGTCAACCTGCCAAACTTCTTTTACAATCAAAGTCTCTTGATCAACCCTCAGTTGCTGTCTTGGGCCTCTGACCACCATCACCTGAGTGGTGCGGCCAAATCCGGCAATACCACTATAGATGATTGAAAGCACCGAAGTCGGCACCATGTCTTCTTCTGTGGTACTGTTTGCCTTCATCAACCACAAGGACAAGTTGTTTGTGGAAGTGGGAGCTTGGTAGTAGGGATCATATCCGAGATAGCGAAGGTCGGTATGCATGAACCAAGATAAGACTTGCATGTATTTGATGGGATCGGCGTAGATATCGATGGGTTCAGAAAAGGCCCCACAACCGCGAGTGAAAAGAGCGATCCTCATTTCTGGTCCAGTCAAGAGAGCTCCTATGAAGAAGCGACGATGCACTTGGTTAGTGAAGACCAGATGGGAAACTTCTACCATGTACTCCTTGGATGCCTTGAGAAGAACCTCGGAGTGGCGATACTTGACGTCAATAACGGATTTAACATTGGACCACTCGTGTGAGTCGTTGGTCACAAGGGTGATATCCGGCTTGCGTGCGCCAACCCCGCTTGTCTTGGATGATGCTGCCACCCCTGATCTGGCTTGAAAGAATGTGGTACCTGTGCTTATCCAATGGTGATGAGGATCGTCGGAATTGTGTGGTTGTATGACTCCCAGCTCTGTGAGGTACCGATCCACCCACAAGCACATCTTCACGCTGGGAATGAGTTGTGAAATCTGTGTGCAATGGATGCAAACTCACCTTGTTCAAAAACTCAACCAGGCGCACTTCATCGGAAGGACTATACAGCCAAGGACACACATCCTTTGACCAATGACTCATGACGAATCCTTCAGCTTGGTTTAGTGCCTGCAATGAGAGATTGTGAGGGTATGTCGTCTGAAAACAAAATGCACATACCTCTGTGACAAGTGTCTTAGTCACAGCCATTGTGATCGCAGTGTTTGTGTCAAGGTCAGCAACATCCGCAACTTTCATCAAAGCACTGAGAAGTACAGTATTCACTCTCTGGGTTTCTATCTGGGTCTGTACAAGGATATTGGTGGATGATGGCGTCTTCTTGCTGGGCACTTTATTTGACATCACTTTGCAGCCTACTTCATGTATCTTCTGCGCCATGTCCTGAAGTGTGTCATCTGTGAGGTTTACAGAATGCAGAAGAAATAGTGTGCGGAGGCGCGTGAACAGATCATAATATCGGCCGTCGTTGATGCAAGTTTGCTTGACAGCCTGCAAATTGGCCTCATTGAGGAAGGATGGCATGGATACACTGCCATTCAGAAGAGGGAATGTATTCAAGGAGCAACATCTGTTATTGTGGAAGGCGCGGTGTTTTAGGGTCTTCACAGCCCAATATTCGGTATCTGCCTGGAGTGGTCCCTTTGCATCCAGGTTATGGACACAAGAACCCATCTGGTGGCATTTATCAATAAAGTGAGCAAGGCATGATGGTCCAACTGACATGGTAGTGAACTCTTTTGAACTCTTCTTTGGCATTTGGAGGAGTAGTGTCAGTTTGGGGGAGAAGTGCAACATTTTCCGTTCCAGTCTGGTGGAGTGTCCACCAAACAAGCAACCCAAATCCCACATAAAAAAGGTTAGTACTAATCAGTTTGTCAACAGATGCGCTCATACATCCATATCAACAAGAGCAACAAAGTAAGTCTTCTATACAACTGCGATGTTCGAGGCGATCAAGATGAGTTGCATTCACAGATTTACCAGACTCCATTGATAACCGTTAGTGAGTCAAGCTGGGCCTTAATGGTAAGGTGCTTCCTTGTGGGAATTTCCCGCCCATCAATCCAGCGTGCATTACTGCGAAATGTTTCACTACCAAATAAGGAGCTGCCCGCACACCATCCAGAACAACGAGCTCTCGAAAGATGACGTCTATTCAAGTTTCCTTTGGCGACAAAGAATTTTCTCTGGTTTTGGATGCCCTGCAACTCATGCAAAGCAAGCTAGCTGTGACTCTTGCTAATCGTTTACTTACCCATACCCCACCTTCACCACATTCAACCGAAGACGATCCAACGGGAGGCAGACAATACGCAGGTGGACGTGCTCTTTCGGGTGGCAAGGGATCTTACCGGGTGCAACCTTACCGTCTTTGCCCAAGGAATTCCAGGAATTTGGCTATGGGAGGAAGGTGGACCATCAGTGAAAAAACGGCCCGTTCTTCCAACATCTCTGCAGAAGCCTTCATTGGGGTGATTGTGGCCATGGACACTGGTCTTCAGTCGGATCTGTCCCAGTGGATGGAGAGTATTTGCTCTGTGGCATCTGAGATTCAGTTTTCAGGTGCTACTGTGACATCTTTGACTTACTGGTGTAAGGTTTGGGGTGGAAAGGGTGTTGGGTGGAGTTTGATTTCCATGGTGAACTACATCCAGCTAGCAATGAAATGCCAGAGGTGCGTTTCAAACATTCATTCTACTTTCATGATCGTTAATCAAATGGGCTTTAGCATGATAGATTCATCTACTAATTACAGCGATTTATACAATACCCTACCAGTGGACAGACCTACTCTTTACACCTTTCTGTTCTGGATTGCCACCGGTTTCAAGTTCATGCACTTGGCAGCAGGGGGGTCATTCTATTTACTAATTCTAGTGGCCGCCAAAGACCTGCGATGGACTGTAACTGGAATGCAAGCCAACGTGCCCTAGGAAATCGCCAAGATGTTGAGAAGGCCGAATTCCTGCGGTAAGTCCCGCCCAGCCCATATCAGCAGTCAGTTCCTGTACCTGAAAAAACTGGAACAGAAAGCGATTTACAGCTTCTCATAGAAAGGAGAATTATACCGATGATATCTCGTCTGCATAAAGCGCTACCTTTGAGCATGCCTGGTGCGTTTGTAGCCCTGGACCGGGAGGTGGACTGGACATGCATTAGGGACACTGACCGCCTTTTTGATGGGGTGAATACTAAGTAAGGATCATCTTATCGCTGTTCACACAGGTATCTAATTATATCTATTTCAGTAATTACCAGCTCCCTTCTCGTCGCAAATCGGCGTGGAGAAGTTGTCTAGACCCTTGCTGGGACGATACATTGAGCCTGGGGTGCATCACCAGGTCATTTGGGGATGTAGGCGCAGCAAGACTACCACACTTACCCAAATTCTTCGACGACTCTACCTCCATCAAGACCTTCCCAAGGTTGATTTCCATAGAGACAGCCTTTAACCATAACACTCCAGAGAACCGACACAATCCGGTTAACGGCAACAAAGTGCAGAACTTGCTGTGGACTATCGAGCAGCGAAAGATCGTTGAGGAGAGTGCAGTAACAATCACAGATACAGAAGATTTAAAGGCGAAGGTGAGCTTTCATGGGTCTGGGAATTGTATGCAACTGACAGGTCTTGTACAGGGCAGCTATCCACGTTCTACCCCTCTGGAATCAAACAACCGGACGCCTACATCAAGATTCCAATGTCTATCCTTCCGGGAGCATTGGAAATTCGCAACTTGGATGGGAGCCTCATGGTGTTCATCTGCAATTTCATGCCTCCTTCAATGCGAGATATGCTTTTCCCATTACTGAAATCTGCTTTTGATTGCCTAGAGGTGTTCACGAATCGCACCGTGTTGTCTATATCTCAAGAGACCCAGGATCCTGAGGCCGTATTACAATCTGAAGCAAACGAACCATTTCGCTGCATTCACTTTAGCCATTGGAATAGATACGGTCTTTCGGTGAGTACATGCTTATGTTCATTGATATGCAGACACTGACAGTCTAGTAGGGCAACATGGCACCTGCTGACGCACACCCTCATGATTTGGTGGCTACATCAGGCAGAACTAACCTCACGCAAACGCTGCCTTACATGTCACGTGAAACTTTTGAATACGAGCAACTGTATCTCAACATCCAGAATAACCTAAGGGAGGTTTTTGAGTGGATAGAGCAGACAGTGAGTGATTTTTGCGGACTGTAGTACGTTCTCTAATGCATAATGTATTTAGGTTGCTCATTATCTTCCAGACGACTATACTGCTCTCGCTGAGCTTGTTGATATTCTTCCCAACGCTGGTGGATCACCGGTAAAACCTTTCTTGTCTCTGCTAGTGAACATCAACGTCTGCACAATAGGTCATCGAGACAGAAAGGACTTTCGACTGTGTTTAGTACTGCCCATCGGTAACTTTGTAGGGGGTGGACTGGTGATGAGGGAGCAGGGAGTTGTTGTTGAGATGCATAATGGTGATTTTGCTTGCTTTAGGTCCGATGAAACAACACATTTCAACTTGGACTACATAGGCGAAAGAGCCTCCTTGGTACTTCATTCAGATGGAGAGTTTCAGAAGTGGAAGGATAATCGCAATGGTTGGAAGGATCATGGGTGCTTCAATTCCACTTAGACTCCTGTAGATCTTACATTGCTGTCCAACAGTCGCTCATCTTTCAACCATGGACCTAACTGTTACCAATGCTCAGAGTCTACTTTCCCCTTATTTTGAGTAAGCAGCTTCTATCCGCATTGCCTCTGAGCTTATCATTCAGAAGGTAACAGAACCGCGTCTCTTTGCTCTGAGCCGAACTTCATTTATGTAATTCTGTGCGTGCTACTAATATTTCCTTTACTTTCCCATTCCTTCTCTCTTATTCTACCCATGTCTAGGCCTAACACTAGAAGTGCCTCAGGGCAAGGCTCATCTGTCCCCATCCATGGTAATGGAGTCTCCTCAGCAGCTCGTGGAACATCCTCAACATGTGGAACCGGGCGTGGAACGGGACGTGGAAACAGACGTGGAAATGGACGTGGAAATGGACGTGGAAATGGACGTGGAAATGGACGTGGAAATGGACGTGGAAATGGACGTGGAAACGGACGTGGAACTGCACCAAGAGGTAGAGGCGTGGCTCAGAAGGGTGCAGTGGATACCAACAAGAACACCAGCACACCACCGACCTCTACTAGGGATACCTCCTCATCTGCCTCTCGGGCATCTCAGGCATCTCAGGCCAAGTCCAAGTCTGCGACTCCTGGTGGCCTTTCTGCTCAGGAGGAGAACCTGTTAAAGGAGCTCACTGCTAAGAAGAAAGCAGTGGCTTCTCAGGCAGCTGAAAATGTCAAGAATGGTAAGCATTAGACCACTCTAAGCAAAGTATGCTAATATGTTGTCGATAGCATCACTGCAAGAGGGCAGCAGATCTTCTGTCCAATGAGACAGATAAGGAGTCCTCTGGCTCTGCAGATGAAGGAGATGCCCACCATGCGCAGTTACCACCATCAAAAGTTAGGAGGATTCGGCGATCAAGCTCACCTTTCGCAGACTCTCAAGATACCGGTATGGTAAAATCAATTCTTGGTTCGGAGATTGATAGCATGGATGAGTTGGACAAGGAAGACCAGGAGTACCAGGAGGAGGAGCAGGAGCAGGAGCAGGAGCAGGAGGGCAAGGGCAAGGGCAAGGGCAAGGGCAAGGGCAAGGGCAAGGGCAAGGGCAAGGGCAAGGGCAAGGGCAAGGGCAAGGGCAAGGGCAAGGGTGAGGGTGAGGGTGAGGGTGAGGGCGAGGAGGAGGAGGAGGAGGGACAAGGGGAGAAAGACATGGAGGGGGTGGAAGGGGAGCACGCTAAATTTTCTGGTGAAGAGGTAAGTGCTCATTGTGATTTGATACAGATAGCTAACAGACTACTACCACCAGGTGCAAGTGAGCTCGGAGCCATACATTATGACCAGCGTTCCCAGATCAAAGGTATCAAAGGTAGCTACGCTCGGTCATATGGAAAGCCCCCGCACCAAACGCATTGCCATCTCTGGCCACAAGGCCCTACGTTTGCATGTCACTACAGTAGAAGGCTTTCCTTCCTCCGCTGATAGAGACCAGCTGTGTTGGGACCTCATCCTGGAATCGTCCAAGCAAGACAAGTTGTTGTGGGAGAAGATGAAGGAGATACAAGGTGATGATGCCCTCAAGGCTCAGCTCATTGACTATGCAAGTGACTTTCTCTTTCTTGTATCTGTAAGCTGATTAGTACTCTTGCAGACATGGAAAGGCGCCACTCAGATAAGGGGCAAGCTTGTCGCCAAAGCCAGAATTAGTATTCCCGCCTGTTTTGGAGTTGGGGCAGGCTCCGACTGGACTGATGATGACCTCCAGGAAGCTTTGAAGTGGTTGCTGGATGATATGAGGTTTATGAATGGCGGCATGGATGTGAGGGTGAGTCTTCAACTTGGAAGACCAAAGCAGAGTTGGACTAATACTAATAATTCATATACCCAGAATCTCACCTGTGACGCACAGGCACCACTCAAAAACCCAGCATTCAGAGTACTACTGGAGGCTCAGTGGTGGGGTCCCAAAGGTGAAGGTAGGAGGTGCGGTAGGAAGGGAAATGCCTACACGGATAATCTTCCTATCCTGGCTCTTATCGGTTGCGCAGTAAATCACTATCCTTCATGCTTGAGTGTGACTGATGATGATTGTAGGTTGAGTGTGTCCTTCTTGGAGTAAAAAGAGGATCACCGGTAGACTTCTCAGAAAGTTACTTCAAAACATGGTTTGATTTTTTAATTTTAATTTTTTATACATATCTAATGCATTATCACAGGTGGGAGTGCTTTATGGAGTTGCTCACACAATTTTCCAACAAATGTCCGACTTATTTGGAGACTGTCTGGGATGAGCTGAAGGAGGGGCTCTGGTGCGTCCATGATTTTCACGTGTATAGACTCTGCTAACAGTGCCAATACAGGAAAGGCCACACTGCTCTATCAACTGACGCTCCTACCCCAATATTTGATTTCTCAGCCCTAGAGACAGCAGCTAAGGTATCCAAGCAGGGGAAGGCATAGTAGTATATTCCAAATTTTTGTCACTATGATTAACTATAGTTTGAATTGATTTGTCTTTGGTCCTACTTTTTTTGGCGTGAAAAGTGAATATAAATGCAAATATAACAGACATATAGCAAACATATAGCAAAAATATAGTGAATTAAAGGAAAAAAATTGAGGTGCCTCCAAATTTTGGAAGTTGAATATATATGCATATATATACTCCTAGCTACAATTAATGCCATATGGATCTATAGCTCACTATATGTGACTATATGTCCTCTCTATAGAGGGGGGGATTGCTTTAGATGCTATGACGTCTATAGATGCTATATATCCATATATAGTGCTATATGAGCTAATATAGCAATAACCCCTTTTCCTGATGTACTGGCAAGGAGTTGGCAGCTGCCTTCGAAAGTATACTGGAAGATTTTGGTGTAACAGAAAAGGTTAGCACCAAATCATAATGCAAGCTCCACGTGACTCACCAAAATGCAGATTCTCTGCGTTACATGCAATAATGCGTCCAATAACACTGCAATGCTTGAGGAGCTTGAAATGAACCTTCCGTATTTTGGTGGAACTGCAGCTCACACGCGCTGCTTCCTGCACACAGTTAATCTTGTAGCGAAAACGCTGATTAGAGAATTTGACATCTTGAAGAAAGATAAAGAAGCACTGCAGCATGACGAGGATGCCACGATGGATGCTGTGATGGATGCCATGATGGATGAGGATGAGCGCCTTGCTCAAGAACTCAAAGGCTTGAGTAGAGACATTGAGGTGGAAGGGCCTGACAGCGATGAGCAGGGTGAGGCTGATAATGTTGAAGGACTTGTTGATGAGATCGCGCTCTTGACCAAAGGCAAACGCAACACGTTGCAATGCAACATTCGGCCGGTTAAATTCGTCCTCGTAAAGGTAAGTTACTAAGTACATTGCAAAAGATCCAATCACTTACCTTGATTGATGCCTCATGCAGCTCTGCAAGCTGTCCAACAAAGTAATCCACTCGACAACCAAGCTTCTCCCTGCTTGGCACAGTATACTTGAAGAACAGCGCTTGCCAGTGACCAATATTCCCCAAGACATTGCAACTCGTTGGAATTCTACTTTTGACATGCTTGAGTATGCATCCATCCATCGGGCAGCAGTGGACACAATGACCCAGCGCAGAGACTTGCGAGACTTGGAGCTGATGGACTATGAGTGGAAGATTGTTGGTCAGCTGTGGGATGTGCTGAAGGTGCATGGATTATTTGTAAGCAATGTACACGCTGAAACCTGAAACTTACCCCAGATTCTGAAAGACGCCACCATGTTTTTTTCACGCACTGTCCCCAATCTTGCCACTGTAATACCAGCCATGGATCTAATAGACGAAAAACTAACTACATACTCTCTTGACGACAAATACCTTCCTGCGATCCACGCCGCTGTGGGACTGGCCAAAAAAACATTAAATCGCTACTATCAATTGACGGACCACTCTGACATGTACTGTATTGCGATGAGTAAGTCGATTGATACTACTGTTCATTTTCTAACCTTTCTCTTCACAATAGTTCTTCATCCACATCATAAACTTGTGTATTTCAAGGTGGTGAATTGGGAGAATGAGTGGATTGATGCTGCCGAGAAGCTGCTGAGGGATGAGTTTGAGCGGTCATACTTAGACTCCTCCCTGGTTGAATCCGACAAAGACAGCACAGTCATTCCATCAGCTGCATCAGTGAGTTTTGTTCTGTCTCCCAACCATGTGCTGTACTAACACAAATATCAGGACAACATATTTGATAACATGCCAGCCCTCGCTGCCCCAAAAAATTCCGACCTTGGTAGCGAAATTGACTGATACCTCAATGCAGGCATTGAAGATGTACCCGATGCCCTTGCTTGGTGGCACAACCGGTGCACGTTATACCCTCACCTGTCTCGTATGGCTTTAGATTACCTCACTATACCTGGTACGTGCAGCTTTCTCACTCGTTTCAAATGATTTCTAACACTGATCACAGCTACTTCGGTGGATGTTGAATGGCTCTTCAGCCATGGCTGCCTCATCTTATCGCATGTCCGTTCTCGCTTAAATGTGCAGTCCACTCGTGCCCTCTTGTGCTTGAGTTACTGGAGCCGGCTGGGTTTGGTGAAGAACAAAGACATTTTAGCTGTTAGCAACCTCGCAGATGTTGTAGGTGACGAGGAGCTAGAACTTGAGGAAGGATGGGACCAAATACAGTTAGGGTAGCTACAATTGCTGTTTTCGTAGTACTAATTCAATGTCACCCACGGGTGTACCCTCCATGGGTACAGGTATGGGTGTCTATCTTCGGTACCCACGTGAAAACCCACACCCCTGGTACGGGTGTGGGTATATTGATGGGTGCGGGTGTGGGTGTCAATGCATATACCCCGGTGTAGGACGCAGATCGGCACCGACATGGTACTCCCTTGATGTACCGATCCACTGCAATATTCACCCAACCCTGAGCGCTCTATCCGACTCCTTGCCAATCGAACTCCCGCCCATGCACATTCAAGCCGCTCGCACAAGCAGATCGTCTGACGACGAATCAACACGCATCATTGGTCGGTCGCACGCGTGTTTTGCCTTTCTAGCTCACAGATACTCAGTTGAACCCCATATCCATAAATCCTTGTTCACTGGTGTGTAGTATATTCTTCTTTGGTTTATTTGACAGATACAGTACTTTTACCTTTCAAACTCCCTATAACATCGCCTTAAGTGGCTTGGACTGATTTACTCTCACATATCCCCATACATATCACAGACAATCAACTGCATGTCCTGCGTACATTTCTAGCGAACCACAAGGTAGCCTGGACATCCCAAGCGATGATTATCTCCATTATTTACCTAGTAGCCGATTTTGTACTTAAGGAGTGCTCGCCCATTATTGCAATCAAGTTAATTCTCACTCAGAAGCCGTGTCTTTTGTGTTCCGTTCTCTTCTGATCTTATTCTCGTGTCCGTCCGCATGTTCATCTTGAAACTTCCATTCCCCATCATCTATCTCGGTCGGCCGCACTCGCTCGCACACTGCATAGCGGTTGGTAGAAATTATAGTCAGTCGGCTTTGCGGGTAACCATTCACGCTGAACATATATTGGATCAGCTGCTCTTCGACTTGTTGTCGCGCCCCTCGTATTTTATACTGAGGCAGCAATTCGGTTTGCTTTGTTCTGCTTCCCTCAGGTCGAACTGAACATTTTAGGCTCACTACTCGAATCAGCCGTTATCAGCGCTGAGGTCGTAGTGGAATTTGCTCCTCACACCGGGGTATACCCATGCCAATCCCTAACACTGCATGGATGTGAGATGCAAAGCACATGCAAGGCCTTTGGGTACCTATTCAGCCATCAGATATGAACCTCACAATCCCTGAGGGTGCTGCAAGGGAGATTCAGACACGTAATGACACCACAAGTGGAGCTTCCATGACATCTATAGCAGTGGCACATGGACCACATGGATGGGGTGCTTGAAGCCAACAAGTTAATAGATCACTACAGCAACACCAGTCTGTATTACAAGTTCAGTAACCTAATAATTAGGAGCAGGTTCTTCATTATATTCCCTTCTACATATCATCTGCTATGCACAACTTTTTGTGCCCTTCTTAGTTGATTACCAATACTTGCTGCTATGCAGTGTTGCTGTTTGGTTGCAGGGCCCACTATTACCATCCAACACAATCCTTATTATTACAACAGCAATTCAAAACCAAAACTCTTATGCCTTGAGGCCATCATTATTACAGTGCCCACTGCCGTCAAACATTATCCTTATTACAACAATGAAACTGAAATTATGCCTTGAGGCTGTCATATACCAGATCTGAGCACCTCCAATACCACCTGTGAACATCACCACCCCTGGTCTGCCCCCTGTTTCCCCGTCCGCTCCATTCCTCCTTCCCCGACAATGCACGAAGTGCATCTCAGCAGGATTAGCCCTGCTACCTCCGCCCAACCCCATTCTGCTCTTCTGACACTACCCCTATGTCCTCTGACTGTCATATCCCGTACCTCCAGATCCGGAATTCCGGATCTACTTCATTGAACTCCGGTCCTCCATCTTACTATTCCGCCCGGTGCTCCACCTTCATCTCTGCACTCACCCCTAACTTCTTTTAGATTAGCTATTGCTCCGGTTATCGGTTATGTCCTATTCTGCTATGCTTATTGATCCGTCCATTCCTACTTCATTTCCGACTTCACTGCTTTGATCCGTTACACTTAGTAATAGACTTTCCACATGCTTCGTACATAGCCCTTACCTTTGCTGACTGATTTACTTACATGTTACCTACAGTATATAAACCCCTGTAATACTCCGGAACTCCTCAGTTCGAATATCATCTTAGTTCTGCTCATTCCTGCAATCTCCGGACTTGAGTCTCACCTCTTGTCCACCTCCGAGTCTTAGGGGTTAAACCTTAGGACTACTTCTCCAGCTCTACCTTAGGGTAGTCTAACCTCTGTTCTGTTTCTACTCCGGACTTCCATAGTAGCCTTACTCCGTCCCCACATAAGCCTTCCGGAGTCCCGCCGAACTCCACCGACACTAGTCCTCCGGAACTCCTCGGACTTCCGTTGGACTTCCCCTCTGTCCCCTGGAAATTAAAGGGCATGTACTTGGGTAAGGGGGGCAGCGCATGAGCTGAAGCCGAAGCCCTTTGAGCAACCTCTCCCTTGAGCACGACCTTAACACTGACACCATACCCCTTCCATCCGACCCTATCTGGGGTTCCGCTCCCCCGTCCTATTGATCCGCCCAATCCTACTCCTACTCCCTCCGCTTTTCCTGACCCACTTGGATCCTTCAGTTCCGCTCATATTGCCCTACCCGACTATTAGTCCGCCCGACCGCCTCACCGGTCCACTCCTAGACTAGGAACCACTCAACTGGTCCTATCCCCATTTAGTATCATAGTTCCGCTTTTTGGATCACCGGTAATCCCTATACCCTAGCAATTCTGATCTGTCACGTACTTACTGTTCCCCAAGCCTTATTCTCGTATGTTTCAGTCATCCTATTGTAATCCTGTACACTCAGCACATAGCCTTCTGCTATGCTATGCTCATCACTTAGAGTATATAAACATATGTACATTTGTCTGTAGATACTCAGTCTGAATATTACCTTTTCTAAGCTCTGCTCTTCTGTTCTTTGACTTGGGCCTGATTCTAGTCAACTCCTGTTAGCTGGCCTAGGGGATTGACTCCCTAGGTTGGCCACCCTCCACTCCTCCACTCCTCCATTCCCCCGTTTCCCCGTTCCCCCATTCCCCTGTTCCCCCATTCCTCTGCTCGTCTGACTTCCCGTGTGTCGGAACTAAACCCTGCACTCTCGCATCCGTCCCCTCCATTCCACTCTGCTTCGGACTTCACCCAAGCAGTCCCTTCCACTCTGCTTCTACTGTTGGTTCCGACCACAGTAGTCTCCTGCCTCCCTCCTGTCGGGTGGAACAACTCCCGCCCAACTTTCCTGTGCTCACCTAGTAGTCTGTCAGTCCTCCTTCAGAGGACCCCCATTCCGACGTCCTGTCGGAACCCATAGAACTCGTGTCGGACTACATTCCGAAATTAGAGGCACATACTCGGGTAAGGGGCACAGTGTACGAGCTGAAGCCAAGCCCCTCAGACTCCGCTTTACCCCTGAGCACGGTCTTAACAGAGGCCATCCTTACTGCAGCACCAACTACCACCAAACATGATCCTTATTACAACATGGAACCCACTAATGTAAGCTGAGTTTTTGTATAAATGTGTCAATGAGTAGTATCACATCTCATTAGTAGAGCAGTTTCCAGCAACTCACATTTGAGTCAGTAATTCATTTTCACTGTCACTCATCCCAGTCTGCAAATATGTCCTTCAACTTCTCTATTCCACCTGCTGGTTCCTAGCCACAGGTGTTATCATCCTTCCAATTATCTGGTTCACCCAATGGTTCCCAGCCAGGAAGTCCTCCAAATTCAAGTTTGCTGATGAGCCCTTCTGGCCACCAACACACTACTAGATCCCCACCTTCGAGTTCACATAAGCCCCAAATTGTTGGCCCTCTTTGTGAACACACTTGCCAACCAATTTGGCCTTGGCGACACAGAACAGGACTTATGGAAAAACCTACATGGTTTTGCTAAGGTACATCAATGGTTTGATTTTTCATCCATACACTGAGATTTTTTTGCATTGCAGCTCAGTCATGGATTGAGCAAATCTGACCTTGCAACTAGAACTTATCTCCTTGGCAGTATATTCTGCATTCTCAAGGAACAACACATGATTGCTGCCTCTCACCAGTCAACACAACAACTTCTCGCAGATTTGCAAATCTGTCTTGAAACCACATTTTCACTCAGTCCCAAGCAACGAGTAAGTAATTTGCTTGCACCATTGTCTATCAAGTGTCTGAAGTGTATAGACAAACATACAGATTGTGGCAGGTGATCTTATCTTTGATCCTAACAGGATCACGTTCATGACACTTCATTTTGATGTGGCGGTAAGTCCTGAGTTATTAGATAGCACTGTATGTAGAGTTTTAAAGTCCGGTTGCGCAACCGGAAAAAGACCGCAGACTTAACCGGACCACAACTTTTCTAGACCAAACTTCGGTCTTGGTTGCCCCTTGATATCACCCCTACCAGTTGCCAGTTGCCTCATTTGATCTGTGGCATCAGACTGGTGAAAAGTTGACTACAACCAGTCTAACCTAGGACTGGTTACCCCAAAATATGAAAATTACTACAAAATACTGCGTACTAGAGGCTTATGTACTATGGACTTCACCAGCTTCATTCTCCCAGTCAGCCATGTCCTCATCTACAAGAAGGAGATCTTTGTACTCATCCAGCAAGACCTCCTCAACAATACCTGAGTTTGCTTGGGCAGAATTGATGAGAGACTTACGCCACAAAAATTTGAGCATTTGTAGCTGTTCAAAATGTTCAGCACCTAGACGAGAGCATTTGTTGGTGGCTGTCTCTGCACCACCTGAAAAAAGTTGTTCACATGGAACCAATGATGCAGGAATTGCACAGACGTCCATGGCAATCCTTGCAAGTGTAGGATATATTGAAGCATGTTTCTGACAAAAGAATTAGTTGAATAGATAATACAAATGCCCATGCACTTACCAACCACCAGTGAATGATGTCCATATCCTTTGAGACGTCAGGTATGACCTTGAGGTATCTCCACAGTTCCTCAGCCCAGCCAGCGTTGTGGTCGAGTGTTGCCTTTATAAGAAGCAGACAACGATGCTGGTCGAACTCAGATTCCATAGTAGTGGCATCACTGTGAGAGCCTCCAAGTCCTGGTACTGCAACAGTGGCAGTGCCTGATGGGGTGGAAGCTGATAGATGTGCAGCAGTGGGGGAGTTACGAGTCTTCCAATAGTCTTCCATAGTCCTTGTCATGCCAATCCCTGGCACTGGGATTTCCAGCTGCGCCCTCTTGTTCTTGTTCCTCCGGTCCTCCCCAGGCAATCTTGATGTATTCAAGTTTATAGTATGGTTGAAGAACTGTAAATCCATCAGTAACATCAAAGCAAATTGAAAACATTAGAATGCACCCAGTGCAAGCACATAGACAGGTTTATCGTCCATCTTTCTATAGTACTTACCAACCTTGTCGAGTGCCTTCTCGATGACAGCCTTGTAGAGTACATACTTTGGCATATCCCGCTTCCACTCCCATGCTGTCAGTAGTTCCTTGAATGTGGGGATTGCATGCCATAGAGTTGGTTAACTTTCAGAAGAAAAGTATTGCTGGATTTCATTAGCGTCCTACAGAGATAAATTAGAGTAAGATATTACTATGAGACAAGGAACGTACCGAAATGATGACACGTGTATCTTCAACTTGCTCCCAATCAGCACTTGTGAAGGAAAAGGCCATCCAGGGAATATGTTTCTTTCCAAGCACAGGATGCCGGATAGTAGTGATGGGGCCAAAGAGTTTGTCTGCAGTATTGATAAACATATTTATAGGCTATGTAAATGGATTAGCAATGCAGCACTGCCATCAGTCGTGTTTTCACTTACCTGTTGCAACAGGTGTGCATGCCTGAGCATGCCATCAGCAGTTCCCCAGTGAATATTGCTATGAAGAGGGATCTTGAGTGGAGTTGTGATTCCACACTTCAGTTGAAGCGCCTGAAAGTATTCAATTCGTTGATTTGAGCATTGTATCTGTTAGATCATTAGCAGTACTATGAATCTCAACATCAGCAATGTACCTTAATTGCAAGAGTGCACACAGCCACAACAACATCCAGTGATCCTCCCAAGATGCGGCTGTTCGTTAGTGAAGAATCAAATTCCCAGATCACAGTAGTAGTTTCCACAGCAGCAATGCAAGAGATGATGGACATGATAGCAATGATAGCAAGATTCAGAATGTGAGTGTCACAAATTCCAAATACAAATCATTTTTTGTTCCTCAGCTTTCCTCTGGCTACTTCTAGTTACTGAACCAGTGTGGGGAACGTCCCCACTGTAGGCCCGTATCCCGTATAATTCCCAAGCCTTACCAGCATCTTCCCATGTGTTCCACTACCCATCCACGTCCTATCCGACCCATCCGCTACACAGAACCAAGCGGAACCCAGCAGAACAATCGCGCACCACGCGCATCATATCCCTTTAGCCTTTGGAATGTCCTCCTCCATCCTGTCCCCGTCCTTCCATCCTCACTGGTGAGTACTAGCTATGTCCCCCATGTTACTGACATGTTCCTATCTCATTTCACATGTGTTACGATACCTATACAGATCCTTCTGCAACTCAGAACTGGTTCCTTATCTCACAGTCTCACTTGGTTGTAGCATAGCACTTTCTGGAACCCCTTCCTATATAGATAGCAATAGATGGGATCTTGGTTTTTTTTTCACCTTTTGATAGACCCGACTCCACTTCCACTTACAGAGTACTTCCCAGTACTCCACTCACTGTTTAAAATATCTTCCTGAATCTATTCTTGATCTCATTGCAATGTTCCCACCTCTGTGAGTTCCACTCAAAACGCCCAACATCGGATCTGACAACTTGGAGCAAGTACCAGACACAAGCCTGGTCCAACTTTGCCCAATCATCCTCCTGCAGGCTTGTAGTTTCCTTTTCCCTCCATTAGTTCTGTTAGTTCCCCATTTGTTCCGTTTGTTCCCCGTTAGTTCCGCTTGTTGCGCATAGTTCCGCTTGTTGCGCATTAGTTCCGCTCATCACATACCTTCCATATCACTGTGTTCCCAGTCCTAGTAAGGACCGGAACCCTTCAGGTTGCTAGACAGAGTCTAGTCTTTGCTTTCCTCGCACTTACTTGAGGACCCGCTACCCAGTAGCAATCCCCTCAGGACGAGTATTAGTCCCACACCCTTGTTAGACATCTGAATCACCCCAGAGTCTATTTTCCTCACCCACACCGGTCACGTGACTTCACTTCCTGTCACATCTTCACCTCTTCACATATCACCTGTTGTTTCTCCGATTGGTTCCCCAACTCCACGGGCTAGAACAATCTTGCTTCCGAAAGAAGTACCGGTCGGATCTTGGGCTTCTATTTAGTCACTGTCTGACTCATCGCTTATATATCATGATGTCATGCTCAGTCATCCGCAGTATTGTACAACTCTTTTATCATTGGCTGATTTCTTTCATGCTCAGATATCTCCTCTTCAATGTTATGTATATAAGTAGGTTAGTTAGTGTAAGTACTCCTTAGACTTAACCTCTTCGTTTCTACACTTGTAGTAGACTTAGATGTTCACGCTCAATCCTATCCTTTGATCATTATCATTAACTGTGACTGAGTCCTAGTGGTTGTGTGTTAGACTTTGCCATTTGGTGAACTCTAGTCATAACAGTGAGCAAGGCAGGGGAGGCGGTGTTCATCAGCATTAAAGGAGTAAATGTTGCGGCAATGCAAAACACGTTCTATCTTGTTGCATGTTGTGTCATTATTGCTGGTATTATCGGCCATTACAACAAAAAGCTAAATTCAATGTGTTCATCTGAGTCAGTACTAGTATTCAGAGGTGAGATAGGGCAAGAAATACCTTTGTAGATTGGCTAGAAATGATACCTTACCTCCACTGTGTGCACCAGAGACACCATGGAACGTGCATCAGGAAAAAGGGTTATTGCTATATTAGCTCATATAGCACTATATATGAATATATAGCATCTATAGACGTCATAGCATCTAAAGCAATCCCCCCCTCTATAGAGAGGACATATAGTCACATATAGTGAGCTATAGATCCATATGGCATTAATTGTAGCTAGGAGTATATATATGCATATATATTCAACTTCCAAAATTTGGAGGCACCTCAATTTTTTTCCTTTAATTCACTATATTTTTGCTATATGTTTGCTATATGTCTGTTATATTTGCATTTATATTCACTTTTCACGCCAAAAAAAGTAGGACCAAAGACAAATCAATTCAAACTATAGTTAATCATAGTGACAAAAATTTGGAATATACTACTATGCCTTCCCCTGCTTGGATACCTTAGCTGCTGTCTCTAGGGCTGAGAAATCAAATATTGGGGTAGGAGCGTCAGTTGATAGAGCAGTGTGGCCTTTCCTGTATTGGCACTGTTAGCAGAGTCTATACACGTGAAAATCATGGACGCACCAGAGCCCCTCCTTCAGCTCATCCCAGACAGTCTCCAAATAAGTCGGACATTTGTTGGAAAATTGTGTGAGCAACTCCATAAAGCACTCCCACCTGTGATAATGCATTAGATATGTATAAAAAATTAAAATTAAAAAATCAAACCATGTTTTGAAGTAACTTTCTGAGAAGTCTACCGGTGATCCTCTTTTTACTCCAAGAAGGACACACTCAACCTACAATCATCATCAGTCACACTCAAGCATGAAGGATAGTGATTTACTGCGCAACCGATAAGAGCCAGGATAGGAAGATTATCCGTGTAGGCATTTCCCTTCCTACCGCACCTCCTACCTTCACCTTTGGGACCCCACCACTGAGCCTCCAGTAGTACTCTGAATGCTGGGTTTTTGAGTGGTGCCTGTGCGTCACAGGTGAGATTCTGGGTATATGAATTATTAGTATTAGTCCAACTCTGCTTTGGTCTTCCAAGTTGAAGACTCACCCTCACATCCATGCCGCCATTCATAAACCTCATATCATCCAGCAACCACTTCAAAGCTTCCTGGAGGTCATCATCAGTCCAGTCGGAGCCTGCCCCAACTCCAAAACAGGCGGGAATACTAATTCTGGCTTTGGCGACAAGCTTGCCCCTTATCTGAGTGGCGCCTTTCCATGTCTGCAAGAGTACTAATCAGCTTACAGATACAAGAAAGAGAAAGTCACTTGCATAGTCAATGAGCTGAGCCTTGAGGGCATCATCACCTTGTATCTCCTTCATCTTCTCCCACAACAACTTGTCTTGCTTGGACGATTCCAGGATGAGGTCCCAACACAGCTGGTCTCTATCAGCGGAGGAAGGAAAGCCTTCTACTGTAGTGACATGCAAACGTAGGGCCTTGTGGCCAGAGATGGCAATGCGTTTGGTGCGGGGGCTTTCCATATGACCGAGCGTAGCTACCTTTGATACCTTTGATCTGGGAACGCTGGTCATAATGTATGGCTCCGAGCTCACTTGCACCTGGTGGTAGTAGTCTGTTAGCTATCTGTATCAAATCACAATGAGCACTTACCTCTTCACCAGAAAATTTAGCGTGCTCCCCTTCCACCCCCTCCATGTCTTTCTCCCCTTGTCCCTCCTCCTCCTCCTCCTCGCCCTCACCCTCACCCTCACCCTCACCCTTGCCCTTGCCCTTGCCCTTGCCCTTGCCCTTGCCCTTGCCCTTGCCCTTGCCCTTGCCCTTGCCCTTGCCCTTGCCCTTGCCCTTGCCCTCCTGCTCCTGCTCCTGCTCCTGCTCCTCCTCCTGGTACTCCTGGTCTTCCTTGTCCAACTCATCCATGCTATCAATCTCCGAACCAAGAATTGATTTTACCATACCGGTATCTTGAGAGTCTGCGAAAGGTGAGCTTGATCGCCGAATCCTCCTAACTTTTGATGGTGGTAACTGCGCATGGTGGGCATCTCCTTCATCTGCAGAGCCAGAGGACTCCTTATCTGTCTCATTGGACAGAAGATCTGCTGCCCTCTTGCGTGATGCTATCGACAACATATTAGCATACTTTGCTTAGAGTGGTCTAATGCTTACCATTCTTGACATTTTCAGCTGCCTGAGAAGCCACTGCTTTCTTCTTAGCAGTGAGCTCCTTTAACAGGTTCTCCTCCTGAGCAGAAAGGCCACCAGGAGTCGCAGACTTGGACTTGGCCCGAGATGCCTGAGATGCCCGAGAGGCAGATGAGGAGGTATCCCTAGTAGAGGTCGGTGGTGTGCTGGTGTTCTTGTTGGTATCCACTGCACCCTTCTGAGCCACGCCTCTACCTCTTGGTGCAGTTCCACGTCCGTTTCCACGTCCATTTCCACGTCCATTTCCACGTCCATTTCCACGTCCATTTCCACGTCCATTTCCACGTCCATTTCCACGTCTGTTTCCACGTCCCGTTCCACGCCCGGTTCCACATGTTGAGGATGTTCCACGAGCTGCTGAGGAGACTCCATTACCATGGATGGGGACAGATGAGCCTTGCCCTGAGGCACTTCTAGTGTTAGGCCTAGACATGGGTAGAATAAGAGAGAAGGAATGGGAAAGTAAAGGAAATATTAGTAGCACGCACAGAATTACATAAATGAAGTTCGGCTCAGAGCAAAGAGACTGCGGTTCTGTTACCTTCTGAATGATAAGCTCAGAGGCAATGCGGATAGAAGCTGCTTACTCAAAATAAGGGGAAAGTAGACTCTGAGCATTGGTAACAGTTAGGTCCATGGTTGAAAGATGAGCGACTGTTGGACAGCAATGTAAGATCTACAGGAGTCTAAGTGGAATTGAAGCACCCATGATCCTTCCAACCATTGCGATTATCCTTCCACTTCTGAAACTCTCCATCTGAATGAAGTACCAAGGAGGCTCTTTCGCCTATGTAGTCCAAGTTGAAATGTGTTGTTTCATCGGACCTAAAGCAAGCAAAATCACCATTATGCATCTCAACAACAACTCCCTGCTCCCTCATCACCAGTCCACCCCCTACAAAGTTACCGATGGGCAGTACTAAACACAGTCGAAAGTCCTTTCTGTCTCGATGACCTATTGTGCAGACGTTGATGTTCACTAGCAGAGACAAGAAAGGTTTTACCGGTGATCCACCAGCGTTGGGAAGAATATCAACAAGCTCAGCGAGAGCAGTATAGTCGTCTGGAAGATAATGAGCAACCTAAATACATTATGCATTAGAGAACGTACTACAGTCCGCAAAAATCACTCACTGTCTGCTCTATCCACTCAAAAACCTCCCTTAGGTTATTCTGGATGTTGAGATACAGTTGCTCGTATTCAAAAGTTTCACGTGACATGTAAGGCAGCGTTTGCGTGAGGTTAGTTCTGCCTGATGTAGCCACCAAATCATGAGGGTGTGCGTCAGCAGGTGCCATGTTGCCCTACTAGACTGTCAGTGTCTGCATATCAATGAACATAAGCATGTACTCACCGAAAGACCGTATCTATTCCAATGGCTAAAGTGAATGCAGCGAAATGGTTCGTTTGCTTCAGATTGTAATACGGCCTCAGGATCCTGGGTCTCTTGAGATATAGACAACACGGTGCGATTCGTGAACACCTCTAGGCAATCAAAAGCAGATTTCAGTAATGGGAAAAGCATATCTCGCATTGAAGGAGGCATGAAATTGCAGATGAACACCATGAGGCTCCCATCCAAGTTGCGAATTTCCAATGCTCCCGGAAGGATAGACATTGGAATCTTGATGTAGGCGTCCGGTTGTTTGATTCCAGAGGGGTAGAACGTGGATAGCTGCCCTGTACAAGACCTGTCAGTTGCATACAATTCCCAGACCCATGAAAGCTCACCTTCGCCTTTAAATCTTCTGTATCTGTGATTGTTACTGCACTCTCCTCAACGATCTTTCGCTGCTCGATAGTCCACAGCAAGTTCTGCACTTTGTTGCCGTTAACCGGATTGTGTCGGTTCTCTGGAGTGTTATGGTTAAAGGCTGTCTCTATGGAAATCAACCTTGGGAAGGTCTTGATGGAGGTAGAGTCGTCGAAGAATTTGGGTAAGTGTGGTAGTCTTGCTGCGCCTACATCCCCAAATGACCTGGTGATGCACCCCAGGCTCAATGTATCGTCCCAGCAAGGGTCTAGACAACTTCTCCACGCCGATTTGCGACGAGAAGGGAGCTGGTAATTACTGAAATAGATATAATTAGATACCTGTGTGAACAGCGATAAGATGATCCTTACTTAGTATTCACCCCATCAAAAAGGCGGTCAGTGTCCCTAATGCATGTCCAGTCCACCTCCCGGTCCAGGGCTACAAACGCACCAGGCATGCTCAAAGGTAGCGCTTTATGCAGACGAGATATCATCGGTATAATTCTCCTTTCTATGAGAAGCTGTAAATCGCTTTCTGTTCCAGTTTTTTCAGGTACAGGAACTGACTGCTGATATGGGCTGGGCGGGACTTACCGCAGGAATTCGGCCTTCTCAACATCTTGGCGATTTCCTAGGGCACGTTGGCTTGCATTCCAGTTACAGTCCATCGCAGGTCTTTGGCGGCCACTAGAATTAGTAAATAGAATGACCCCCCTGCTGCCAAGTGCATGAACTTGAAACCGGTGGCAATCCAGAACAGAAAGGTGTAAAGAGTAGGTCTGTCCACTGGTAGGGTATTGTATAAATCGCTGTAATTAGTAGATGAATCTATCATGCTAAAGCCCATTTGATTAACGATCATGAAAGTAGAATGAATGTTTGAAACGCACCTCTGGCATTTCATTGCTAGCTGGATGTAGTTCACCATGGAAATCAAACTCCACCCAACACCCTTTCCACCCCAAACCTTACACCAGTAAGTCAAAGATGTCACAGTAGCACCTGAAAACTGAATCTCAGATGCCACAGAGCAAATACTCTCCATCCACTGGGACAGATCCGACTGAAGACCAGTGTCCATGGCCACAATCACCCCAATGAAGGCTTCTGCAGAGATGTTGGAAGAACGGGCCGTTTTTTCACTGATGGTCCACCTTCCTCCCATAGCCAAATTCCTGGAATTCCTTGGGCAAAGACGGTAAGGTTGCACCCGGTAAGATCCCTTGCCACCCGAAAGAGCACGTCCACCTGCGTATTGTCTGCCTCCCGTTGGATCGTCTTCGGTTGAATGTGGTGAAGGTGGGGTATGGGTAAGTAAACGATTAGCAAGAGTCACAGCTAGCTTGCTTTGCATGAGTTGCAGGGCATCCAAAACCAGAGAAAATTCTTTGTCGCCAAAGGAAACTTGAATAGACGTCATCTTTCGAGAGCTCGTTGTTCTGGATGGTGTGCGGGCAGCTCCTTATTTGGTAGTGAAACATTTCGCAGTAATGCACGCTGGATTGATGGGCGGGAAATTCCCACAAGGAAGCACCTTACCATTAAGGCCCAGCTTGACTCACTAACGGTTATCAATGGAGTCTGGTAAATCTGTGAATGCAACTCATCTTGATCGCCTCGAACATCGCAGTTGTATAGAAGACTTACTTTGTTGCTCTTGTTGATATGGATGTATGAGCGCATCTGTTGACAAACTGATTAGTACTAACCTTTTTTATGTGGGATTTGGGTTGCTTGTTTGGTGGACACTCCACCAGACTGGAACGGAAAATGTTGCACTTCTCCCCCAAACTGACACTACTCCTCCAAATGCCAAAGAAGAGTTCAAAAGAGTTCACTACCATGTCAGTTGGACCATCATGCCTTGCTCACTTTATTGATAAATGCCACCAGATGGGTTCTTGTGTCCATAACCTGGATGCAAAGGGACCACTCCAGGCAGATACCGAATATTGGGCTGTGAAGACCCTAAAACACCGCGCCTTCCACAATAACAGATGTTGCTCCTTGAATACATTCCCTCTTCTGAATGGCAGTGTATCCATGCCATCCTTCCTCAATGAGGCCAATTTGCAGGCTGTCAAGCAAACTTGCATCAACGACGGCCGATATTATGATCTGTTCACGCGCCTCCGCACACTATTTCTTCTGCATTCTGTAAACCTCACAGATGACACACTTCAGGACATGGCGCAGAAGATACATGAAGTAGGCTGCAAAGTGATGTCAAATAAAGTGCCCAGCAAGAAGACGCCATCATCCACCAATATCCTTGTACAGACCCAGATAGAAACCCAGAGAGTGAATACTGTACTTCTCAGTGCTTTGATGAAAGTTGCGGATGTTGCTGACCTTGACACAAACACTGCGATCACAATGGCTGTGACTAAGACACTTGTCACAGAGGTATGTGCATTTTGTTTTCAGACGACATACCCTCACAATCTCTCATTGCAGGCACTAAACCAAGCTGAAGGATTCGTCATGAGTCATTGGTCAAAGGATGTGTGTCCTTGGCTGTATAGTCCTTCCGATGAAGTGCGCCTGGTTGAGTTTTTGAACAAGGTGAGTTTGCATCCATTGCACACAGATTTCACAACTCATTCCCAGCGTGAAGATGTGCTTGTGGGTGGATCGGTACCTCACAGAGCTGGGAGTCATACAACCACACAATTCCGACGATCCTCATCACCATTGGATAAGCACAGGTACCACATTCTTTCAAGCCAGATCAGGGGTGGCAGCATCATCCAAGACAAGCGGGGTTGGCGCACGCAAGCCGGATATCACCCTTGTGACCAACGACTCACACGAGTGGTCCAATGTTAAATCCGTTATTGACGTCAAGTATCGCCACTCCGAGGTTCTTCTCAAGGCATCCAAGGAGTACATGGTAGAAGTTTCCCATCTGGTCTTCACTAACCAAGTGCATCGTCGCTTCTTCATAGGAGCTCTCTTGACTGGACCAGAAATGAGGATCGCTCTTTTCACTCGCGGTTGTGGGGCCTTTTCTGAACCCATCGATATCTACGCCGATCCCATCAAATACATGCAAGTCTTATCTTGGTTCATGCATACCGACCTTCGCTATCTCGGATATGATCCCTACTACCAAGCTCCCACTTCCACAAACAACTTGTCCTTGTGGTTGATGAAGGCAAACAGTACCACAGAAGAAGACATGGTGCCGACTTCGGTGCTTTCAATCATCTATAGTGGTATTGCCGGATTTGGCCGCACCACTCAGGTGATGGTGGTCAGAGGCCCAAGACAGCAACTGAGGGTTGATCAAGAGACTTTGATTGTAAAAGAAGTTTGGCAGGTTGACTGTTTCTTACCGGATGGAGAGATCCATCAACTTTTGGAGGACAAAGAGCGCCTTCAAAAGGCTCGCATAAAACTAGGTGCATTCTGAACTATCTGTGCCTCATTGATCTGCATCTCATTTCGTTTAATAGAGCAAGAAAAGATTCCGTATCCTGACGTTATTCCTGACACTGAGGCTGAGAAGAAGTCACAGTCAGTCTTGTTCAAGCGATGGCCCAAACCTGCGTGGGATGATGAGGACAAAGAAGGTTCCTACCCCAGACACCTCCCTATTCGTGATCAATGCATGTCCACGCACCCTGTTATGATGATTGACTGTGATGGGGCGCGAGTACCAGACAGTGTTGCGAACACATCATGAAGCCCTTGTCCGCGGAAATCTATCCCCTTGTGCACTATTGAACCGTCTTCAAGACCAACGCAGTCAGGTGTACCTGGTTCTCCTGTCGACGGGAATTCTTCTCAGGGTTGATAGGTGCTTTGAAGGGTGAGTGCACATCTCAGTCCGAAATTTCAGAATGCTTAGAGTCCACAACCTAGGTCATATCAATGCTTGGTTACGCGGGTTAATCCACCGTGATACCAGTGACGACAATACATGGTTTTGGGTGCCCATAGTGGATCAAGATCACGCTGTGCCTAATTGGTGCATTGATGAGGGCGTGCCCAAATTCTGTGGAGAAACAGTAGAATCTGAGTGGTTTCCCATGTGTCCTGGAATGATTGGGGACTTTGGCTTAGCACTGGACTTCTTGGATGACTCAGAGAAAGCTTTGGAAGAGAAAAAGAAGTGGACTACAACAGTACGCTCATCCTTTTTTCATGCTTTTTGCTGGAGTGCTCATGAAAGTAGGGAACTTTCCCTTACAGTAGTGTTGACCGAGAGCATCCCCCCAATATCTGCCATGATTTAGAGTCATTTATCTTTCTCGCATTCGTGCTCAGGGTGAATGTTACGGGTCCTTACCATCAACTTCAAGATTGGCCTGTCCCTGTTCGTAATACTGATCCCATAGAGACGGGGATTTCCACTACAGTTGATTCAGCCAACCTCACTGCAAAGAAGTTCAAACATTCTAATGCAGGTTGGGGCGAGAATAACACACCCCCCCTCACATCAGCACACTGCAGTCATACCAGAACTACTGCACCCACAGCCACTTCTCCGGAACTTCTTGTGCGTTCTTGTTCGGTGCCTCAATGGGTGAAGTTCGGCGTTACCAACTTCCAAGATGATGAAGTGATAATGCAAAAGGAGAACCTGACGTGGGATGCATTCGAGCGTTCCCTTGATCCGTACTGGAAGGTCAGCAACATGATGGCAATATGGAGGAAGATCTACGACTTGCTGTGGCCTTTTCCTGCACAGAAGCGCTGGAAGCTCACTCATGCCAAGCTGATCAATGTCCTGCGAGAGATGATCGATGCAGTACCGGTGGACAAGGATGGTGCACCAGACAGGTCATTGATCATGACAGCGAGGGAGAGATTCCACAACTTGTTGACTAACCTGACCTCCAAGCAGGTGGTCATGGTTAGCCAAACAGAATACCTGCCTGCATCCCTACCACCTTCAGGCACCCGTATCTCTGCATCTTCTGGGTTCGCCGGATTCGAAATCCACACTCCCGACAAGATGCGCCAGGGCTTGCAGACCTCAGAGAACACCTCGGGATCGAAGAAGCACAAGGCACTTTTATTGCAGGACAGTGACAGTTCCAGTGCGACTACTTCATCATCAGTCCTCCCATCATCTGGTACAGCTGGCATGTCTGTCAATTCATCCAATCTCTCTGGGGAAGGGAAGCAGTCAGAGAAAATCCAGAGGATAAGATACTTAGTGGTGAGGTTGCTTGCATGTATTCAATGGCTGGACTGAGGATCATGTTTTTTTAAACCTTCATTCATGTACTTTGACAAACATTCGCCCAAGTGGTTTTGTAGCGATCATTTTGTAGCTTTCATATACGGTTTTGCAATAATTGGGTTGTGAACTTTCCCAAGTGAGGCGGGATGATGAGTGCACTGTCGGTGAAAATTGTCGCAGTATTGGCGTGGGACACAATGCCCGACGCCTTCTCTTTAGGATAACCCTATATCCACTTCTTATCTTTTGATTGTAAGCTCAACATTTATAGACCATCGCATTGTCTTACCATCTTACCTTTGCCCAGATGACAGGCTTTCGTTCTGCCCTGCAGGCTTTAAATGTGAATGTTGAACACACTCGAGCTAAGGACGATGACCCTACAGTATGTCCTGCTTGTCACAAGCGCCTGAGGACAACCCAAGGACTGGCTACTCATCTTAGTACCGCCAAGTCTTGTAGATGGTACAAGAAAGGGAAGCTGAGGGCTTTAACCCTTCCAGGAGAATTCGCAGTTGATGAAGATGTACTGATGCGAGAAATAAATGAGCCTCTTACGGATGGACTGGAAGAACAAATGGAGGAGGAACCAGGTCAAGTTATGGAAGACTACCATGATAGACTCTTCGATCTCATTCCAATCGGGAACCCACCTGAACACCCAAGATCCCCCGTCCCATCCTCTGCTTCAGACATGCGAGTTGAAGATGTGCATCCCACTGCAGGCAAGGTGATATGTATGGATGAAACGGTGCATCAGAGATGGAGGAGAGAATTTGGAGGATCTGATGCCAACAGAGACGTGGAGATGGAAGATTTGGGAGAGGGGACATCCATGACAATGAAAATGTTTGCACCTTTTGAGTCTGAGCTAGAGTGGAGAGTTGCCTGCTGGGCCATTCAGGACGGCATAGGTCACAAATCATTTGATCGACTCATGGCAATACCTGGGGTGAGCATTGGTTCTATTTTACCTCACGATTGTCTTTCTGCTTAATGCATTCCAACAACAGGTCTCTGAAAGACTAGGTCTCTCATACCATAATATTAGGGGATTGCACAAGATTGTCGACAGTGTACCTCCACGTGCTTGCTGGAAGACTCGCGAACTTTGGTTCAAGAATGACCCAGAGCACAAACATACCATCTATCATCGGAATCCGATCGATGCTGTCAAGACATTACTTGGAAATCCAGCACACGCAAACGATATTGTCTATAGACCCAGGAGGGTTTTCACTAATGCTTCCAGGGATAGTAGAATCTACAATGAGATGTGGACTGGGGACTGGTGGAACACTGTCCAAGTGAGCGTCCAATGACTTCTACGTACTGGTTTACTGACTCTTCCCTTTTCATTGCCTCAGGACAGACTTCCAGCAGGGTCTTGTGTGGCTCCAGTCATCATCGCCACTGACAAGACCCAGCTCACCCAGTTTGCTGGCGACAAGAGTGCCTACCCTGTCTACCTTACGTTGGGGAACCTTCCCAGAGCCATAAGATGGAAACCATCCCAGCATGCCTGTATCCTTGTCGCATACCTTTCTGTCAGCAAGATGGTTGGCGTTGAGCTCAGCAAGAAACAAAAATCTACCTGCATTCAACAGCTCTTCCATGACTCTATGCGGATAGTTTTGGAGCCGCTAATAGAAGCAGGAAAAAGCGGTGTTGAGGTGACTGGAGGAGACGGTAAAGTGCGTATGGTGCACCTGATACTAGCATGCTATGTGGCAGATTACCCAGAGCAGTGCCTGGTAACTTGTGCTGAGTACGGTACCTGTCCAAAGTGTGAGGTGGATAATAGCCAGATGGGAAATGAAGACCCCGGTCCATGGAGGACCCAACACAAAACCTCCAAAATAATAGAAGCTGCCAGGGCCAACTCTACGTCTATCAGCAACTTTCAGGAGCGCTGCAAGCAGGACAACATTTCAGGAGGGGTGAGGTGCCCATTCTGGGAGGGGTTCCCACATTGCGACATACACATGTCCATCACCCCTGATGTACTGCATCAGTTGTACCAGGGGGTGGTAAAGCACCTCGTCCACTGGTGCAGCAGTGTGATGACTGACGCTGAGTTGGATGCTAGGATTAGATCGCTTCCTCCTTGTTTTGGTATGCAACATTTCAAGAATGGATGGTCTCACCTGGCTCAGATATCAGGGAAGGAGAGGAAAGACATGGGAAGGATACTTCTGGGGTGCATAATAGGGAAAGCTCCGTCTCAAGTGAGTTCATTGGAGTTCATTGGGAATCGTATACTCACTCTCGTTTAAAAATTATAGATGGTGGCCTGTTATCGGGCACTACTGGATTTTATATATATATCTCAGTATCCTTCACACAACAAGGACTCCCTGGGATATCTTCAAGTGGCCTTAGAGCAGTACCATGCCAACAAGTGCATCTTGATTGATCTAGGCATCCGCGACCACTTAAACATCCCTAAGCTGCACTCCATGCAGCATTATGCTGAGTGTATTAGAAATTTTGGTACTACTGATAATTACAACACAGAAATGTTTGAGCATTTCCACATTGACTACGCAAAGGAGGGGTGGAGGGCTACCAATTTCAGGGATGAACTACCACAGATGACTCAGTGGTTGAGTCGTCAGGAAAAGGTCGCAATGTTCGAAACCTACTTGAAGGACTATCAGCCAACTGAAGTAGAGAGGGAGCAGGAGGAACAGGATGCACTAGAGTCTGAAAAGCGTCCAGGAGTAGGGCTAGCCATATCCAAGAAGCCGGCATCACCTTCTCAGCTGCTCACCAGCATCATATCAAAACACTGATGTCCTTCTTTTTTGCACCATTTGAGGGTGTATCTTAATCGCTTTCTTCCCAGAGGGGAAGCCATATCACGCATTCAGCTCCCTCACGCACGCTTACCCTTCCATCAACTGGATGTCTGGCACACCTTTAAATTTTCATTGGACACTCTTGGTAATGATGTAGATGGCCGGGAGGAGATAGATTCAGTCAGGGCTAAGCCAGGGAAAGGCAGAGCTGAGGACGTGGGAGATGGGAGATTTGATGTTGTAGTTGTTGTGCAGTCAGATGAAGCTGAGTCCACTGGACTTCATGGTGCGCTACCTAATGCTACTAGTACTTCCTATCAAGTTAAGCTTTACTGACCAATACTACATTTGCAGGTATGAAAGTCGGAAGGCTAAAAGTCATTTTTCGCCTTCCAGACTCTATTCCTTTCATGAATGATGCTATAGTTGCCTGGCCTAAGGAACATTTGGCTTATGTGGAATGGCTCACACTCTCTAAACGGCCAGGATGACACCATAATATGTATTCAGTCACTAAGGCTATTGGGCAGAACAACAACATTGTTCCAGGTGACATAGTTTCTCTTTCTACTATACGTCAATCTTGTCATCTTATTCCTCACTTGGGTCCTAACATTAGTTGGCCTTCCAGCTGGAAGTCTGCTAATGTTTTGGACTTATGCAACAGTTTTCTTCTTAACAATTGGTCAAGTAAATTTGCTTATCAGACGCTTTGGTAGTCAATACTTAGTATATATATGATTTGTGTGATTTATAGCAAGGGTCTAACTCTATATATGATTTGTGTGATTTATAGTAAGAGTCTAACTCTATATCACTCAAGTTGTTAATATAGCGTACATATATTTAAATATAGCCCTTAGTGTCTCTATTTGCATAAACAGCCCAAAAATGGCAAAAACCCTTTTTCCTGATGTATGGGACTAGTCATGGTTGGTCAGACCAGTCATTAAACTTTGTACAGTGAGTACACGCACTTTTGGGACCTCCACAATGTCTAATGGGATGCATAGTGGGATACCCTTATGTTCCAGATGCATCAACAATGCAACATATGCACAGTGGTTCGGAGACGTCCAGCCGTCAGTTGAAAAGTTGAGTTTTCCATCATATTCCTGGTATGTGTGTCAGTTGCTTCCAGTGTGCATTCAATTAATGTACTCTTGACATTTTAGCTATTTGTTGCCTTGTTTTGGCGAAGACGAGTCTGGTATCCCACGAGACTGTGGAGGGAGATGGTATGTAGTATTCCGGTCTTCCAGTTTTCATTAATGACTGAAAGCCCCGGTCCTTAACAATCTTGAATGGCCGCAGATTTTCGCTGACCCAATGTACAATCTCGGCTCTGAGCGAAACTATATCAGCCTCAAAATCTACATTGAACAATCTCTTACTTTGTCTCGGTCTGTGTATGCTGGCAATGTGAGTAAGTCACTTTGCCTTGACCTTTGCGTTCAAACACAGTAGTAATTGAACCATTTCGCAGGAAGTTCCCAACTATCTTCATATGCGCTTCTTCGGCATTCCTCGCTTCATCTGCTGCCTGCAGTACTTCATCCCCCCAGCAAATCCTGATGTGCTTGCACATATTGCCGGTGGAGCGGGCGTCTTTCTTGTCGAGGAAGCGCCGAATCTTGACTTGGCATCCCTTCGCCATGCATTTGAAACTATGTGCACGTTGATCTCCCTTTGTCTTGATTGTTGGAGTAGGATCGAAAAATGCATAAATTGGTGAGGTCCAGTCCTTCATCAACCGCTCTGTGACACTGATGTTTAACTTGGCATTTAGTCTTCGTACTTGTATGCTTACTGAGTTCATCCTCAGGGGTCTCAGCCTCGTTGTCTGTGCTCATCTGTTTGCTAGCATTATCCTCATCTTCACTGATAACAATGGCCTCGTTTTGCAACTCTTCTGAGTCCTCTGTTTCAGTGCAGACCAGCAGGTTTCCAGGTGCCACAACTGTGTTATGTAATAGTTCCTCATTGTTGGAGTAGACCACTGTGCGCTGTTGTTGGGCCACCGGGTCATTACGTGGTGCTTCTTTAATGTTCTTACTGTGATGTTGGGTTGCTTTTACCTTCTTTGGCTGTGTGCTGTCCACACTGGCACTGTCATCATTCTTTCTCTTTTTTGATTTGGCCTCGAGCTTCTCGTCAAGTGCAGCCTTGGCTTTCCCAGTTAGTTTGGTAATCCGTTTAGCGGCAGAATGGAAGGGGTTTGGCTGCATGACAGTAGGATGTGTTCGTGATTTAGAGTTTAGAGTTAGAGTTTGGAGTTAGAGTTTGCAATACTATTTGGATGTCTTTGGAGTTGGTAAAATATATATCTGCTTACTAAACCCACACCCACAACATACCCACACCCACAACCCATGTGGGTTTCATATACCCATGCTAATCCCTATGCAGTGTTGAGAACAAGGTCATCAGGGTTCCCAATATGATGTATCACAGCCTTGGCATTTGATGTCTTTGCCCGTTCTTCATAAACAAACTCAATATTGGAAGCCAAGCCTATGCACTTGTGCCCTCAGCATTGATGCTGCAAATTTGCTGCACATAAAATTTGCTTTCATGGAAACAGAAATTCAGTGACTGACAACTTGTACAGATAAATCACCAACCTCAACAAGATAGAGTAAAAAACCACCATGTGCCCTGACTGCAGGCATAGAGTAGGATGCTGCTGGTTTGCCAACACTTCCACATTCCAGAAGAATTGCATCTGGACACAGAAGCTTATCTGCATCTGAGCCTTGGCACTGAATAATTTCTCAAATACACACTACAATTGGAGATTGCTCTGCTATGCCCTTTGCTGCAAGGACCCAGTCTCCTATCTTACATACATCCCCATTGAAGAGTACCACAGACTTGCAAGTATGGAAATTATGTCCTTTGAGAGTGTCATTTAGAAGTGATTGAAGTGCATTTGGAAAATGTTTCCCTGTCTTGGTAGTGAGGTATGGTTGAAGTGGTAGGTTGATACAAAGGCATTGACCTAAATATACTGACCCTTAGTATTGTATTTCTCAAAGTTGGAACTTGTGTAAAATTGAACTTTACCATATTTGTTAGTGTCAGTTTGTGTGTTGAGTCTGAGGTAGTCAGTGATAATATTTGGCCATTGAACAAGTGACAATGGACCCTTTCCAATAACTTTGACATTTATAACATCCGGCAGCTTGTCTGATGAGGGATCAGAGGCTTGGATAAGATCAAGAGAATTGGAGTGAATGTCATTTGTATCAGTGTGTATGAGTATTTGTGCCCCTGAGAGAATATGATGAATCCGACTTCCATGGGCAAAAGAATGTGCAATATCCCAAGAAGGAGCACAGTGGTTTGAATGGATACTTTTTGCATGGATGACAGCATTGAAGGACTTGAATGCCTCTATTGCAAACAAAGCAGCTGGCCTGAATCATTGAATGTGGTCAACAACATGTAATAGAATGTGAAATTTAGGCCTATTGAACCATTGAGGAGTCCACCTGGCGGTGCATGCAAGGAAGTTATTGATTGATGTTGTGAGATTGTGCTGAGACAATAATGATCAGATAATATGAATATCAGCAAATAAAACTGAAAAGTATGCCACATACCAAATGTTCTGTGGAATTTTCAATTTCAGGCTGCCAGATGAGTGGTATCAGGTTTGATGATGCAACCCAAGTATCATAGCATTCTGTGGGTACCAAGTCATGAAGCACGAAGGGTGCAACTTGCGCAATGGTATGAAACTCATGACCAACAAGAGACCCTGCATATTTAACAAGGGTGTGACCAGCAAGATGGCTGAGTCCAAGACCTGAGATGTCAACAGATGATAGGTGAGTTTCTAAAAGTTCATGCTTCAATTTGTCTTTTCCAATCCTTACAGAGACAATGTCACACCAAAGGTATTTGACAAATCCAAGAAGGACTGTGTGAAGGATTTCCACTGGTGTGTCAGTGTGAGGATCAATACCTGAGACATTATTGAAGTCAATCCTACACTGTGAAAATGGCTGAGACCTTTGATTCGCCACACAGGACTCGTAACATTTTTGGGCAGTGTCTCTCTGACTCTATTGAGTGCTTCCTGCTTTGCCTTGTTACCACCCCAGATTTTGCAGTGGGATTCAGCTAAGTGATTCAAGAATGAATCTAGAAAGGTGTCCTTGATGCCTGTAAAAGTCTTTCTTTGCTTGATCTGGGTCTGATTCCCAACTGTTGATGCATGAATGAACATTGACTTGAGTTCAGTGACAGTTTCATTCTTGTAATGTGGTTCTCCTATCTGCCATGCTTCATGAACAAAAATATATGCAAGACCACTCAGATTTGTTACCTTTACAAACCGCTTGACCCATGTTACCATCTCCTCCATGGTCTCTTTTGCTCGTTTCTGTGTAGATTTCGGAGGAGCATTAGTATGGGCTTCAGACTCACTTCCACTAACCTCACCAACACTGTGGTTGGTATCTTCAGGCTGTGCAGCAGCTGCTTGTGCCAGATTGCTCTCTGCACTGCTTGCATTGTGCCCCTTCACTTTACAAATATGGCAAAAATATTTTCCCATTGACCCAATATGACAGGCCATCTCACTTTACATGGGGTTGTCCCCAAGCAAGGCCAAGACTGAGGGAATGACAAGAACATACTCCTCGTGGACACAGTCCCAGGTCCAGATGCCTTGCTTCCATGATTCTCTAAATTTTACCAGCATCATTATTTTCATTTGCCTGCTTGCAACAAATCTCACTCACTCAAGTTGGTCTACAATACCATCCAACATTTCAAGTGGAGGGGCAAGATTTGATGTACAAAGAAAATGGATGTTGTGCTCCCAGTGAACTTCTGCTTGCAGCAATCCCGCAGCTGTAAAAAGGAATGAATTGTGCTTGTTCCACTTCTTCAACAAGTTTCCCGATGTGTCGTCGCAGTATAACCAGAGAGGCATTGCAAATACACGAGCACCTGATGCCCAAACATGCCATCGGTTGCCTTCAGAAGGATTGGTTAATGTCCATGGCTGCAATTTGCCATTTGGTTCACATTCAACACCTAAACAGATATTTGCAAGACATAATAGTCAAAGTGATAAAATGTCACAAATTCCAAACACAAATCATTTTTCGTTTCTCAGCTTCCCTTTGGCTACTTCTAGTTACCGAACTGGTCATGTGACTTTGCTTCCTGTCACAACTTCACCTCTTCACACATCACCCATTGTTTCTCCAATTGGCTCCCCTACTCCATGGGCTAGAACAATCTCGCTTCCAGAAGAAGTACTGGTTGGATCTTGGGTTTCTCTTTAGTCACCATCTTACTCATTGCTTATATATCATGATGTCATGCTGCATCATCCGCAGTCATTGTACAACTCTTTTCTCATTGGCTGATTTGTTTCATACTCAGATATCTCCTCTTCAATGTTATGTATATAAGTAGGCTAGTTAGTGTAAGTACTCCTTAGACTTAACCTCTTCATTTCTACACTTGTAGTAGACTTAGACATTCACGCTCAAATCTATCCTTGCTTGTTATCATCACTCTTGACCGAGTCCTAGTAGTTGTGTGTTAGACTTTGCCATTTGGTGAACACTAGTCATAACATAAAATGACTCTACCATAGATTGAGTATGTGCAAGGTAGACCAGATGTTGCTTTACTCAAATCCCAGTTTTTGAATGATACAAGAAGATCGTCTTCTGATACTTCAAATGAATGAAAATTTTCTACAACCCAACCACAATCTAGTTCATGAGCGACAGGCTGCAATGACCAAGCTTTAGTGTACATCTTCCCACCACGTGTGAACCAGTGAAATGGAATGCAAGCTTGGCCACTCGATAACAATGCAGGCTCAAAACAAAGAAATCTTGGTTGTGCAGTCTAACAACAGGCATAAGCAGCTCCGGGTCGAGTTCCTCAAGCCAATGTTTAGCTTGTTGAGCTTCATTCAGTTTGATACCAGTATCTTCAGGGTAGAAGTGTAACAGTGGGCGAACTCGAGGATTCATCATTTCCTTCAAACATGACTAAGTATAAAATATGGATTACATTTTAGCAATACAACACACCTGCCAAATAATGTCAGGCAGTGAGTTAACATAGTACCTATGCCCAAGAGCACCATCATAAGGGATTGAGTGGATACCACATAATCGTTGAATAGTGTCTTTGATGAGTTTGACAGACTTCACCAAAGGCATATTGTCTACATTGTTGACCTGAAGTAACCAGAGCAAAATATCAATATGTTGCTCTGAAAAAACAGATGTCACGAGTTCCATGTACAAATCATTTTTCTTACCTTAACGTCGCATCCAAGTCTAAGCGCCCGAGTCACGTGACTACTTCACCTCTTCACGCCCGTCACATATATCACCCTGCATTCCAATCACCCATCACAGAAGCGCCAATACCCTATGCCCATATTGCACCTTTCACATCGCCGATCCCATCTCCGATCAACGTAACGATCAATCTCCCATCTGAGGACTCTCCCACTCCACGAGCTAGAACCATAGCACTTCCTATCACTGCACCCATTGGATCTTGGATCTCTATCTAAGATAGATCTTCTAGTTAATCTCCGTCTCTTCTTTTCAGATACGATCTCTTATCAGAACCTATGATCCGAACCCTTACGCCTGAAGCTTCTATTATCGCCTTCCTATTTAGTTGTTACCTCTTCTGTCTTGGTCCGTGCACTGTTCTCATAGTATATAAAACCCTAGTAGGTAGTCAGTAGTTCTTTAGTCTAAACCTCTTGTACCTTCTGTAGAGAATCTACTTGACGTCTATCGCTCTTCTTCCCTCCTCGTGAGCTCTAGACTTAACCTCTTCGGACACTTGTCCTTAGTGGCCATTGTCGTGACTCTCTCTTTCTCTATTCTTTGTTTGTTGTTTGAGTCCTGGTCTGATTGCTTGAGACTATAATTGTCGAGAGTCGTCACAACAGAGCATGGAAGGTGCATGAGAATATCAAGTGTGCATGTCTAATACAACACTGCTGGATCAACAACAGTTTGCAGGTTGATAGACAACCTTACAATCTTATCAGGCCACAGAAACCACTCCTCATTCACAATTTGATGTCGAGAACACTTTCAATCACTGCTGGTTCCAATAGCAGCATCACTAGCCCAGTTGTCGTCTGCTCAAAATGTCAAAGTGAACTGCATATTGTATAGTTATGTCATATCCCATACCTCTGGACCTGGAATTCCGGATCTCCCCTGCAAAAGTCCAGTTCTCCATCCTGTTGTCTGCCCAGCGCTCCACCTTTATCTCCATACTCACTCCTATCTCCTTTTAGAATACTGCTCTCCAGCTACCGGTTATGTCTTTTCGCTTTGCTTACTGATCTGTCCGTTTGTACTTCATTTCTGACTTCACTGCTTTGATCCATTATACACTTACTAATAGACTTTCCACATGCTTTGGGCATAGCTTTTTACCTTGCTGACTGATTTGCCTATATGATACCTACAGTATATAAACTTCTGTAATACTCCAGTACTCCTCAGTTCGAATATCATCTTAGTTCTGCTCATTCCCGCTTCTCCGGACTTGAGTCTGATCTCTTGTCCAACTCCAAGTCTTAGGGTTAATCCTTAGGACTATATCTCCGGCTCTACCTTAGGGTAGTCTAACTCTGTTCCACTTCTACTCCAGACTTGTCTGTGGTAGCCTTACTCTGTTCATTCCTAGCCTTCTGGAGTTCTGCCAAACTCCCCCTGCATCTGACCTCTGGACTTACCTGGACTTCCATCAGACTTCCCCTCTGCCTCTCGGAAATTAAGGGCATGTACTCGGGTAAGGGGTGCAGCACACAAGCTGAAGCTGAAGCCCTTTGAGTTACCTTTCCCTTGAGCATGACCTTAACAAGTTAGAGTAACATACCATTGTGCCATGTCTGCCCCATAAAAACCTCTTCATCTTCTGACATTTCAGCTCCCTGATCATCCGAGAGGTCATCTTCATCTAAAAAGTCACTTAAACCTTGTGCAATCATTGCCTTCATGACTGAGTAGTTGCTGATGTTGTCTGCTGAGTTGCCCAGCTCGAAATCAGGAGTGCTAGCCATGTCATCGAGAAGACAATGTAGCTCAACAATGGAGTTAGATTGAGCTTCGGGTACCATTGAACCCTTCCCGCAATGCTGCTGTTTTCTCAAATGATATTTTACTGCATCTTGATGTGACCGGGTGTTATGACCAGCATTCACCAAATGGTAAAGGCAAGCACACAACCACTGGGACTTGGTCACTGTTGATGATAATGAACAAAGATAGGATTGAGCGTGAATGTCTAAGTCTACTACAAGTGTAGAAATGAAGAGGTTAAGTCTAAGGAGTACTTACGCTAACTAACCTACTTATATACATAACATTGAATAGGAGATATCTGAGTATGAAACAAATCGGCCAATGAGAAAAGAGTTGTATGATGACTGCGGATGATGCAGCATGACATCATGATATATAAGCAATGAGTCAGACAGTGACTAAATAGAAACCCAAGATCCGACTGGCATCTCTTCTGTAAGCGAGATTGTTCTAGCCTGTGGAGTAGGGAAGCCAATTGGAGAAACAATGGTTGATATGTGAAGAGGTAAAACTGTGACAGGAGAAGTCATGTGACCAGTGTGGGGAACGTCCCCACTGTAGGCCTGTATCCCATATAATTCCCAAGCCTTACCAGCATCTTCCCATGCATTCCGCTACCCATCCGCATCTTACCCAACCCGTCCACTACATGGAACCCAGCGGAACAATTGCGTACCATGCACATCATATCCCTTTAGCCTTCAGAACATCCTCCCCCGTCCTGTCCCTGTCCTTCCATCCTCACTGGTGAGTACTAGCTATGTTCCCCATGTTACTGACATGTTCCTATCTCATTTCATATGTGTTACGATACTTATATGGATCCTTCCACTACTTGGAACCAGTTCCTTATCTCACAGCCTCACCCGGTTGTAGCATAGCACTTTCCGGAACCCCTTCCTATATAGATAGCAATAGATGGGATCTTAGTTTTTTACCTTTTGATAAACCCGACTCCACTTCCACTTACAGAGTACTTCCCAGTACTCCACTCACTGTTTAAAATATCTTCCTGAATCTATTCCTGATCTCATCGCAACATTCCCACCTCTGTGAGTTCCGCTCGAAATGCCCGACATTGGATCTGACAACTTGGAGCAAGTACCAGACACAAGCCTGGTCTGACTTTGCCCAATCATCCTCCTGCAGGCTTGTAGTTTCCTTTTCCCTCCGTTAGTTCTGTTTGTTCCCCATTTGTTCTGTTTGTTCCCCATTTGTTCTGTCTGTTCCACGTTAGTTCCGTGTAGTTCCGCTTGTCGCACAGCTGTGTTCCACTCGTCGTGTACCTTCCACATCTTTGCGTTCCCAGTCCTGGTAAGGACTGGAACCCTTCAGGTAGCTAGACAGAGTCTAGTCTTTGCTTTCCTCACACTTACTTAAGGACCCTGCTACCCAGTAGCAATCCCCTCAGGACAAGTATTAGTCTCACACCCTTGTTAGACATCTGAATCACCTCAGAGTCTATTTTCCTCACTCACACCGGTTCAGGGAACTAGAAGTAACTGGAGGAAAACTGAGAAATGAAAAATGATTCATATTGGGGATTCGTGACACCAGGTCCTCTTGTGCTTCTGCACTACCTGCCGATCATGAGGTTTGTTGTCCTGACAAAGGTTGCAGACCCATTTGTTCCCCTTAGTAGGCGTCCAAACTGCCAAAATTAAATCCTGGGTGTTAGTTGCGAGCTTATCTGGATCACTTTGTACCATCAGGGTGGGGGAATTCTCCATCAGGCATAGTAGGTTGAGCAATGGGCCTGTTGATGAAGTGATCATTATACTGATGATAAGCAGAACAACCGTGCAAGGATATCTGTAAGATGCCCTACATATATAGTACTTACAAGGCAGAACTGTAGAACAATATTGTTTCCAGTATATGCTGTTTTCGGCTGCAGTGGGATGACCAAACAAGCCTGTTGATCCAATGATTGTTGTGCTGACAGTGTATAGAGAGACTGCCCAAGGATAATTTAAGGATGCCCTGCACAGATAGTACCTATGGGGTGCAGCCCTTGTTCAGTGTTGTTCCCAGGATAAATCGCTTATGGCCAACAGACCAAACACTTTGAGCCTCAGGTTAAACCCAATTAACCTGAGGCCATCTGCTCGGCGGCTGCCGGACAACTCAACATTAGTGCTTTGTCCTTGTTTACACTTAACCAACGGATCTTCTCCTAACTCAGTACTCCGTCTTTATTCAAAACAGTACAGCACACAAATTTATATATATATTGAGTGCCAAAAGGACCGGCTTAACCACAGGTTCAACTAACTTCTTACCATGTATTATGCATCAACTACACTCTTTTTAATCAAATTTAATTGTTTTCGTATATACAAGTTGTAAGTAAGGAACAGCTAACTCACATAAGGGACTAGAAATCTTTATAACAGTAGCAGTAATTTGCGAAAAACTTGTGATAACTATGAAAAAGTTGTAAGGCAGTAAAAGAGTTCGCTAAATTGTTTAATTATACGGAATTATCGACAATTATGCTAATTTTGTCTATTTGTATCTAAGTTAGCGCGGGAGGTTTTCCCTGATGTTGTCCGCTAGTCAAAGTGCTTCTCATGTCACTCCTCTCCTGATATTCAATTACATAACATATGCCAGCGGCGAAGAATGACGAACTTCCTTCAGCGATGTAGGCTTTGAGAGTATGGCATTGGCTAATTTGATTTCACTTGTTGGAGTCCAACGGTTGGACTCTACTTAGCAAACACCCTATGTCGTAAAGTACACTGTATGGTAAATGTTTGGATCGACAATCAGGTATTCTATTGCTGGAGCGTCAGCTGTGCGAATGAGCAGCAACGATCCAACCCGTGAACCGAACGATGAAGACGTATATTATGGAATAGTATCGAAGAGACACTTTGCCCGATAGAACCTGTGCAGACATTTATGGTGAACTTCACCAAACGCTCGAAGCGGTTTGAATACTCACTCGAAGCATGATACTTCCAAGAGAATATATGTCGCCGAGTGTCGTGGGCTGGAGATCATCTGACAGGAGCAGCTCAGGAGCTGTCCATCGCACTGCGCCTGGATACGTAGCGGTGGCCGCGGGGTATGTCGTACCGTCTGCAGGTCGCCGAGCATGCTCGATAGTGCGAAATCGGGGATGCATGCGGTATATCCCAGAGGATAAGAACGTTAAACTGACAAATAAGTTCGTGAGGATGAGAGTGGGCTGAGGTTTTACATACCCCAATGAGATCTCCATGGGTGACGGGATTGTTAGGATAAGAGCAAGGTTATACTCAATGAAAGATGAGTGAGGCCAAGACGGACAATAAGTGAGTCCAGATGCAATATCGTCCAAACGATCCCTTATAAATAGAGGACAAATTCAAGTGATGTGATCATACCAGACTGAGTTCCTCAGCGCTAGTGATCGTCGACCAGCGTTTCTCCAGGTGATCAGTCAACGTCCCATTCGCAGCCCAAGGAGCAACGAGGACCATCGAAAGACCAAAGCCGAAAGCAACGCCCATGAATTCCATGACATTCGGGTACTCAGTCTTCTCCAAATGCCCGTCTCTCTCCCCAGTCTCTGTAGCATATAAACAAGTGGTGCAGACCACCAATGCTTTGACATATTTTCGAGGTCTCCTTGTTAACTGTGAATCTGAAACCCTTCACAGCAACCTGAAACAGACACCTCTTAGCATATCGTCATCATCAAGTCACATCTGTACGAACCGCAATGCTCCGGGTACCATCATTGTACGTGCATTTCCAGACGTTACCAAAAGCGCCCCCAGTTATGGGATCAAGGTCATAACCCATTCTGTCAAGTCGATCGCTTGGACAGGGGTCACTGGACTGTAGATATCTTAGTAGGGCTCTGAAAAATTTGAACAAATAAACCCTGAACGTCTGTTGGTATGTGGGGATATGAGGGTATAAAGCATCCCAGATCACTAGCAAATCCGCACCTACGATCTACGATGGTCATTCTCAACTGTGCCGAACAGTGCTAGTGCTTGGCTGGTCCCGAGAGAAACCGGGCAGATCTACACGACCTGGGGAGAAGTAAAGGGGAGTGCTTAGGCTCGGTTGTTTATGCTCCTGACCACATGCGACACTCTTCTCGAAGAAAGAAGGACGTAAAGGGGAATCAGGCGTGATGGGAGGGCCAAGCGCACTCTAGAGATATTTCATGTCCACCCACAGCAACTGAACGCGACGTAGACGATTGCGAGTTGGGGGTTGAAAAACAAGGGCCTGAATTGGGGGAAACCGGTGTATGTGGAAATGTGGGAGTGAGTCCATTTGGCAATATCAGGTTCCCTCTGGCAGATAGTTCGGATAAGTCAGATACCCCCGAGCACGATGCACTGGTGCTATCTGACACATCGCGAGAGGTTGTCGAGACGAGATGAACGGAAATGAGAAGTACGGATTGGTACTGGGCGCTCGATGGCAAGACCATTTAGCTGATAAGCCCTTCAAATCCTGTACCTGCGGCGAGTCCAGATGTCTGAACGCGATAACTAGTGAACTTACATATAACCCAAGCTCCACCAAGCTCGTTGAAGTAACAGTCCAACGAGTGAGGGGGATGGTGAGAGTACTGCGGGGGAGAAAGTCGCCCGCAGGACATGTTAGCTGATCAATTTTGTACGTTGCAGCTACACGCTATTCTTCGGAAGGGTTGTCATCGCCGGTACGAGGCTAGGCATCTTGAAACGATCATGAGACCTTGGGCTCGGCATTACGAGTGCTTCAGTAAGTATGTCTTGCTATCGTTCGTGGCGGTATTGGACACCCACAGCATTCGAGAGTAGCATCGGAGCAGGTGGGTCGGGTATCATACAAGATAATCCAACTCTGTTGAAGGGACTTGCTCTCTTTAGCAAGCCGAACGTCGCAGCACAACACTTCAGCAGCACGAATACTGCGCTACACAGCCTGAGAACGGCATCTCGGTCGTACACTTTTAACTGCTTCTCCTGATCTTTATAAGCGACGGTGTCCTGAGTACGAAACACGGATGAGCGAGAAGCAGATCATGATGAGATTAGTTATACATGCAGCAAGATGAGAGGGGGGGGGGGCCGAGCGAGTAACAAACAGCAAGTGGAACTACCGCAACAAGTCGACGACAAAAATAAGCTATCTAAACCAGAAGAACCAAGATGTCACTGCACGCTGCAGCTTTTGCGATAAATAAGACATCATGATTCCGCGTGAAGAGAGAGAAAACAAGGGGTCAGCGCACAAACTATGTACACGTATGAACTGAAATGAACACCAGGTAAAAATGTTCGAAAAGCAAGAGCAATGACACAAACACGTGGTTCCGAAAATGATGTCTTCCATCCACCGTTCATTTGAGGTCCACACCGGTCGGATCGAACCATTCACGGAAGTCTTGCTCAAAGTCTGTCCGAAACATGGATGGGTCTAAATCCTCCAATGCTGACATAGATTGGATGAAATCCGAAGACATGAAATTAGGTGGTAGATCGCCTAGATTGGCTTGCGGTTGGCTTGCAGGGATCGAAGCCGGAGGTCCTGATGGTGTTCCGTTTGGAGCAGGGGACTGCGTGATGCTTGAATTTATGGTATTCGGAGTCGGGGGTGCTGTGCCGTGTGCGCTCCCTGTAGGGTTGGATGAAGGCCCTCCCTGGCCTGGAGCAGCGGGAGCATTGTGAGGGGACCCTTCTGGAATACCTGAAGGGTTATTGTTGATGATGGGTTTAACATCCTTCTGATCTTTCATAGGACCGCCCATGGCTGGTGAGGCGGGTGGTGCCATGCCTCCCATAGCTTTGTTCTGAACCAGGTTCTGACCGACTCGATTGTTCTGTGGACCAACGAATTGTTGTGGTTGACCTTGCACAGGATGGAAACCCTGTTCAGAACTTCCAGGAGCTGCTGCTGCCAACATGTTCTTTGTCGTCGCGGTCAGACTCTGTCGGTACTGCAAGTGCTTCAGAACAGTTGAGGGGTAGCCATCAGAATCGATAACTTACCATCATCATGTTATTGCCTCCTGGGATCATACCCGGGTTCATGGCACTACCAGGAGCACCCATGGGCAGTCCCATGCCAGGATTGCCCATGTTCGTTGGAACACCGTGTGGCGGGAAGTTATTCATGGGCGCGCCTTGCATTGGCCCTTGACGCATCATGCTACCATTAGCCATCGATTGTGGCCCGCCTGGCATACCCTGCTGTTGCGGGTGTGGATACCCGGGACCCATGGATGACTGTCTGTTCCAGCGGAGGCGTGCGGCGCGGCCGCTTCCTATCCGGAGGCGAGCTCTCGCTATTCGGGAGCGTGCCATGCTGTCAAATTTGGCAAGTTAGGCACTGTAGATATTAATCCAAGAAAAGAAATATTACTTCTTCTCCGGGAGACGTGCTGTTGCGTTTCATAGCGCGCTGTTGATGTTGCTGTTGTTGCTGTTGCTGCTGCTGTTGTTGCTGCTGCTGCTGTTGTTGTTGCTGCTGCTGCGACAGCTGCTGCATTGTCGGATGTTGCACAGGTCGGCGTTGTTGCCCAGGTGGTGCCATCCCTTGTATGTTCGATGGACCTGCAGGGCCGAGTTGTGATGCCTTCGCGCTCCGCTGCCGCACCTCATTGATAATACGTTGCTGTAATCCACGTCAACAAATCATCCCAAAATGGTGATTGTGACAATGAAAATACCTTTTCTTGGAAGGTAAGCGAGTGCAAGTCCTTATCGGATAAACCCATCGCTACTTTAACAATTGTAACGAGCTCGGTAGGCATACGGCTAAGTTCCTGGTTGAGCATGGCTAGGTCGTTCACTGGCGTCTGGCGGGCGACCAACGATGGGCTGCGTTGCATCATGCCGCTTTGACCAGGCGTACCAGGACGGCTTGGCGAGCGTCCAATAAATGGCGGTGTCTGCGTCTGGGGAGCCGAGCCAAGGGATGGATTTGATGGGTGCATGGGACGATTGAGCATCGTAAGGTGGCTGGGCGGGCCCCCCAGTTGACTCATTGGAGGCTGTGGATGCTGAGGTCCGGCGCCAGGGTTACCTCCTGCAATATGGGGAGAATGAGGATGTGTCATCGTTGGAGACTGGAATGGAGGCGCAGCGCCATTTGGTCTTGGAGGACCGCCAGGCCTCTGCTGCCCTGGTAGTAGCTGTGAGAAGTTTCCTGGTTGACCTGGAGGGCCGCCCGATGACATCGGAATACCGTTTGCTTGAGGACCGTTCATTGGGAATGACATGGGGCCCTGGGCGCCATTCTGCATCGGGCCCGGGTTACCTGGCAAAGAAGCAGGTCCAACACCGTTAGGCATCTGGCCATTGGGCGGCATCGATGCTTGGGGTCTTTGCGTACCGTTCATAAAACGACCCATCGCCGGTGGCGCTTGCCGCATTTGGGGCGCATTGTGTTGTCTGAGGTGTTGCTGCTGCAGTTGATGCTGTTTAGAGGTCGCGGTTGGTACAATGTTACGAGTATTGCAGCCCACGTACCTGCGTGTAGACAATAGCATCATCCGTTCCTGCTCCGTTGCTTTTTGCCGTGAAAAGAACCCAAAAAACACTCCACCACCTGGTATGTGGTCAACCGAGCGCCTAAGGAAGAAGTCAAGGGAGACGTACTCGAATAGAAGACCCTGACGTGCATTGATGGGGGGAGCAGAGTCTGGTGGTATCTCAGCCTCTCCCAACAGCTCGTGAGCTGTTTTACGGAAGCCCCGCTTCTGGCAATAATCATAAATGTAGATGTTGAACCTGGGTGAGCAGGCGACGGGTTAAGTTGGGCCAAGGGAATGAGATATGTGGCGACAAACATCCTGTCCCCTTCCCAAGAGGGATCCGACGACGGGAGAGAGGGTTCACCTGCAGGAGGTTGTGCAGGCATTGATCCGGGTGGGCCAGAGGCCATGAATGGGTCCGATACAGGTTTGAAGAAGGAGAGTAGAATGACAAGAGGGAGTTTAAAAGATCAGGAAAAGGGGAGCGCACGTATCAAATTGGTCGGGTGGAAAATATAAGTCGATGGCAGGTGGCAGAGTCGACTTGAGCTGTGTTAGGCTGCAAAGATATAATAAGGCAGCTCAAGCTGGTAAGACAGCGCACAAGTTCTCCACGACCAATGAGTGAGGGGAAAATGGGATAGATATTACAGGACGGCTACAACAGCGTCAAGATAGGCTTAATCGTCGTCGACGGCGACGGCGAGGAAGTTACCTAGCGGAAGGAAAGAGTAGGCGAATGGGAAGATTGGATTCGTGCCAAACGAAAGGCGCAAGGCCATACTAGATGGGAAATTTCCAATTGTCGCCGACTTTGCCACCAAAAAACTACACGCCGTTTGCCGCATGCTCGTCATGACTTGACCGGTCTACTTTCCACTTCCTTGCCATTACTCTACAATACGTTAGAACATATGATACACGCCTTAACACTACACAATATTAACTCAATGCCTACGAACAACAGCAATCTGAAAATCCCATCCACCAACAATATACTTCACCTCCAATAACCGTCTGATCTCCCGCCACCCCGCACTCCCCTCCTCGGCATCCTGGAGATCTGTTACCACGTAAATGAAGTCTGCAGGTGAGAGAAGCGATCGCAGCAACGATCCAATTAAGAAGGCGATTAGTGCTATGATTAGAACAGTCGACAACGGGTATGTCGTCGGTATTCGAACAATGCTGGTTGTCACTGGGGGACTCGTGGCATCCGTCTCCGTACTCGTCAACCCACCAGGCAGCTTCGGAACACTTTCAGACGATCGACGAGAAGATGGAAACTGATGGAACTAGTGAAACAGGGTCCTTGGTAGGCGAAGACGCCCAGCGAGATAGCGGATTAGGATAAGCGTTTAGGAATCCAAATAATCCACCACTTGATGGTGGCTGCGGCAGAACCTGCAAAACTGTTCCATGCTCCGGGGCATCCTATAACATCGTGGCTTAGGGAAGCCGCATGTTCCTAGTAAGGAACTTACCAATGAAGGTCCATTCTCGATCACTTCCGCCTTTGGCCCATTCTCCTCTGGTGCTTCCGGATCTTCGTTGATATCGGTGGCAGGGATGATAGCGCCGTTATCAAGGAGATCATCCGCACGGGACAGGGGCACCTTGAGTTCGTCGGGGAACGAGTCTCCGTCGTCTGCGGATCTGGTGACGTGCGTCAGCAACGGCTCGCGCGTCAAACACGATTTCTGACTAACCTTTGCAGTACAGGCATACGAGAGACTCGGTCATCCTGAAGCTCATCACGCCCAAGCGCTGTTAATGACTCCTTCTCACTCGCAATCCCGATATTGGCACCACCAACCTTGACCGCCACGCCACCGTCACCCTTCTTGGCACCCAAAGCAGACGTTACGACAGGCTTAATCTCCACCCGCACCACAAACCCTCTTTCATGCAAATCATTAAACCACTGCGGCTTGGGAGGTGCACTCCTGGTCTCCCCTGTAAGCGGATCTTTTACTGTCGACACCTGGTACTGCGCCGTGGGCAAAGTTAACCTTAAGAGATGCCGCGGTGGCCGATCAGCATTCAACCCTGATGAGTGTAGCGGTGAAGCAGGGATGGTGTATACGTTCGAACTGATAGGCAGGTCGGTCGAATCTGAACTTGTGTCCGATTCCACGGATATGAACTTCGTGTTGTCTCGGGGACGAGATATAATGAGTACTTCGTAGCCCTCAGGATAGAGCTTCGAGTCTACGACAATCTCAGCGACGAGGAGATCTGTGGAATGTCTGATTTCGCCTTTCAACGTAAACGCAGAAGAAGATGGCTTCAAGGGCTCCACAGAGGCAGAGGATGTCCTGCGAGGATTTGGCACATGTGATGGGATCGAAGGAGATGTAGGAATGTCTACTGGACTCGCTCTAGCATCAGGAGCGGGACTAAGAGCGAGACCCGCTCTGCTCGGCCTAGGAGTGGTTTCATCAGTTCTACTCGATGTGATATTGGCCAGCGTGAGCAGCAAAACACTGCAATGAGTTCGATTCAGAGGGTTGAAAGTCGAAACGATCAACCTCCGATTGTCGTCCTTCTTCCTTAGTCTCCAAGATGGCGCATTGACTCCCGTGCCGCTCTTCTGTTCTGCCAGAACAACACCTGCTGCTGGAAGCCTCGTATATGGCATGGGTGAATTACCCTTCAGGTAGGTCTCCACCGCAAGTATCGACTTGGGGAGGGCGCTATTGATCAGCGAGTTCACTGCTACTGGTATGGATCCTGCGCAGTCCACCGCAACGACTCTGGTGCACCGCGTTGATGGAATGGCGTAGTTCTCCTTTGTATATGGATCAAGGGTCTCAAACATCCAACCATCGATATACGTCCGCCCAATGGGCAATGCATACGGGTTGTACTTGGATGGCGAATATGATGCAACCGAATCCGGGCTGAAAGATGCTGATACGCAAAATATGACAGAGCGAGCATCTTGCGAGGGACCCGTCTCTCCCGGCGTAACGTCTAAACTTGAAAGTGGAAGCCTGGAGCGAGCCATGATAGACGCCTGGAAGAACCCGCGGTCACGAAAAGGAAACCCTCCCTTGGACACCACAAACGCAGTATGGCATTTCGATCCAAACCTCTCCAAAATCGAGGCTGAAGCGAATCGGACATCCCACTGCTTGCGACACTCATAGTTGGTCACAACGGCAGCAACCTCTTCTGCGGAGACTCCTTCAATGACTTTTTCGCCCTTGTGCACTGGGATGGAGGGCGAGATGTCTGGGAGTAGTTTGCGGTGAACTGAGATAGCCTTGTCCGCCAGCGCTGTCCACCCAGCTTTTGCATCAGGACCACCGCACTGCAGATCTCGCATCCATTGCAAAGCTTCCGCAGCATGTTGCATAGGAGCTCGTGATGCAGACGGAGCACCTCCATCTCCAGGAGCCATTGCAGCAACGGCTTGCTGGGTCGTATTTGTCGCCGATTCCACCGCAGTCGACCAAAAGCTGGCAAGCGGACTCGAGAACTTTGGAGACGTTAACCACGTTGATGAAGGCTTCGCAGACTCGAGTGGCTCAGGTGATAAACTTCTGGGGGTGGATTCTGAACTCGGAGAGTCGCCATCTGCGTCCCACTCTGCCCGCCGTCGTCGAATGACGCCCACGACTGGGGGCTGGTCTAGCGGAATACGTAAAGGCTTGATGCGTTTGCGCTTCGCAAGTGCTTTGATCTCCTGCTCAGGAAGTTCTTCGACATCGACGGTGACACGTGCCCCATTGACCATCACGATACCCTTATCTTTCCCGGATCCCATCGGCCCGCGGCGTACGATAGCGAGAAGCCTTTCATCTGCAGCGAACAGAGCATCGTGCGTGAGCGTGAGCCATAGCCCTCCTCCACCCGCAGATAGTCTATGACGACGCAGAGCGGAAACACTATGCGGAGGGGGGTCCACGACAACGTCAAGCGCAGATGCCCACGTGTCCATGTCACAACGGATCTCACACTCGATCGTATGCATCGTGCGAGAGTTGGTGGACACGGCTGATTCATTTGCCGGATCTTCGGGAATGGTGGTGGGTGACCGACGACTCTCCGAGCCTTCGTACTCGACCCGGAAGGCACCCCTCTCATGATCATATCTCATCTCGTTAGCTTTCGCACCCGCAAGACGTGTCACTACTGGGGGACCACCGCATTTGATGACAAAGTCACCAACGCCAGCGAGCGAAGAGATCATGGACTGTGGGATGCCCGCTTTGTTCGACCATCCTTTGGGATCTGATTGCTCGAGCAAGGTGAGCTGGGTGGTATTCGGAGAGAGTGTTTCGATGGCCCATCCTAGTAGATCGACCTGCGTACGAATGAGAGTTGGGTCTTGAGGAGGGATAGAAGGGAACAAGTATGGATCATCGGCTGAGAATGAGAAGACGTGGATTGTGGTGGGAGATTTATAGACGGTTTTCAAGAGAACGGTGTCTCGACCCCTAAACGCAAGTCAGAAGTAGTTCATAGTGAAGTAAGTGAAGTTTGCGAACTGTACGGGCCATGCAGGTTTGGTCTTGAAATGCCACAGTTGCGTTAGCTCGTTCACATCTTCGAGTAGCACTGCATCCTCGTGTTGCTTGTCCCAGAAAACCCTGGCACCAGGCGAAACCAACGCGCCGTACAAATCCCATAATCCAAGGCCAACAAAGGTAGCTTCGGCTCTATACACCACCAGGGTCGGATCGATAGAATCTAATTGAGTGACTGACACCCCACGTGCTTCCGTAGCTGCACAACGTCCTGAGTACACTGGTTCGAAGCAGAAAATGAAATTCACTCACTCCGCTTCCACTTCGCTTCTGGCTCCTGCAATAGGGACGAGAAGTATATATAACTCCTTTTCACGCGCGACAATATCGTTTTCTCCGCTGCTGCAGGTCGCTCAGTCAATGACCGCGCCAGCTGGGGTCTTGTAGGCGCTGTGGAGCTCGATGCAACAGAGCTCACTGAAGACGTCGTCTGAAAGCTCACATCCGCAGCACTAGTGGCATCTTGCAGGATCTGCTGTTGTTGCTGTTGCTGTACGAAAGACAATGGATCGCGCTCTTCTACAACCTGAATGGTCTGAGGAAGCCCATTCAGCCTGATTCCGCTGGATGGTGCAGAGAGTTCTATAACCGCGCGAACTTTGATTATAGAATGATCGTCTGGGAGGGGCGCGTGAGATATACGGAGAACCGTGAGTTCCGGTGGTTTACTCCCCGCGACGGGAGAAGAAGGTTTCTGCCGCAAGGCAGTGGCGTTCCAGGGGAGACTCTCGACCTTCTGAGAGGAGCCTTTCACAGTTAGTTGTACATCCCACCCTTCATTCGAAGGAAGGACACATTCAAGCGAGCGCACGAGGCGCCTGTGTTCCTTAATGACGTCTAGCCCCTGACCTGTCTCCGCTGTGTGGTCTTCTTCCTCTGTGTGTATCACATATTCAATGGCAAGTGCCTGCCTGTCGAGTTGGAACCGTATTTTCTCAATGCTGACCCCATATCCATGTCCCGCAAGCACCGGTATGCGCGAGCCACGTGCTAAGACGGTCTTATACAGACCCAGCATCATCGTGCACAGCTGTTGGCACACACTAGAAGCAGAGCCAAAATTCCAGATAGCGCGAAGGTCGTGCTGCCAGAAACACGTAATGCGAAGACGTGGCTGCGCTATATATGCCGACATACGCCTCTTGATTTGACCGGCCGGAGAGTTGGGCTGTGGTGCTGGGGATGGTTGAACATACTGAATACACCAAGCGAACACTAGGAGTTATTAGCGAGGCGGGAATGGAACAATGAAGTTACTTACATGCAACATGTGATCTGACGTAGGGAGGGGACGGCCTCAAATACGCTGGCTCATCAGATGAGCGTGGTAATGAGGTGGAAATATCTATTATCGTGGATGTATCTTGGTAGAGGCGTGAAATCGTTACAGTATCTCGTGGACTGCACAATAATCAATATATCTCGAAGACCGACAGAAAAATCACGAACTTGGCAGGCCAACCAAGCGTAAAATTAGTCTTGGATATTCGTGTCTGGCGATCGAACATCTCCACCAAATGCGCGCTTTCAACTGCGGGGTCCCACTCCTGTCTAAGTTCCGGTGTGGTGATGACGGCCTTCCATGCATCGAGAGAAGCGGACTGGTCGGTAATTGGGACATCGAGGACAACTCTGTACACGTTCTCGCCCGACTTGATGGCTTTGCGGTGCACGGCGACGTCGGTGAGCTCGGGATTTGAGGAGGCGCGTGACTTTCCTTTGCCTGGCGAGGATGAGTCGCTCGCTAAGGAAATATGTTTCCATTCCGACGAGGAATGGGAATTAAGGAGCTGGCGGAAAGTGGCTTCAGCACCATCCAGTGCTTCCTGCCATGTTTGACGGAGCCTAAGGCAACATTTAGAGCTTTGCAGTATAAGGTAGAAGATAGCAAACCTTGTACCGTCAGTCATACCACAAACTAGAAAAACAACAACGTTACTGGAAACTTGAGCTCCACCAAACGTTCGACGTACTTACTACGCAACACACCCCTCCCATTTTGTAACCGCCACGTGGCAAAGACTCTTTACCAAAAAGGAAATTTCTACAAGAACTGGCCGCATTCCGGAATCCGGATCGATCACAGCATGATAGCAGGAAGTATCGACTCGGACTCCGACAAGTGGACGGCGATGGCTATACAATCGACGCCAGAGATCAATGGCACGACTAGGTCCGTGATCCATGCTTAAATCATTTGATTCCTTACTAACACCAAGCAGCGAACCCGCAGTCGAACCCGCAGTCGATACCGACAGGATATTGAGCATCCAGTCGCACGTCGCATACGGATACGTGGGCGGGAAGGCTGCTGTATTCCCCCTCCAATGCATAGGCTATGACGTTGATGTACGCCTCTCATTTCATGCAGAACACCCTCTGACTGTACCTAGGTAGTCAATACCGTGAATTTTTCAAATCACACCGGTGAGTTTACTACTTGCTCCACCATGAGTCACTCCTCAGTAAAACTGTATCAAACATAGGTTATGGACGCTTCGGTGGAACCAAAGCATCTGCAGAAGAACTCACATTGATCTTTAAGACGATGGATGGGGCTGGATTGCTGTCTCCCCGCAGACTCCTCACAGGTTATATACCAAATGCCGCGGCTTTGGAAGTCGTAAAGGAACTTGCGCAAAAGCTTGAGTCACATAACCCGCACCTTATATACCTCATGGATCGTAAGTTCCTCAAACCCTCACCACCCACCATTTTTCTGATTTTGACAATCCGAATGCAGCCGTACTCGGTGACTCGGGCAAGCTCTATGTATCACAAGATGTAATACCCATATACAAGGAGATGTTTTCTTTTGCGACGATCATCACTCCTAACTGGTTTGAAGTAGAGTGAGCGCCTTTCCCTCACTGATTGGTGGATCCTGACGTCATAAAGGACTCTTACCGGAGTACCACTCCGTTCCCTAAGCGCTCTCCAGAATGCACTATCCATCCTGCACAAACGTGTCCCACACGTCGTCATCTCCTCTATACCCCTACAACCATGGTTGTCCTTGGTCCTCCCCAAGACCATACAACCTCCAGCCTCCATAGACGACCAACAAGACTATCTCCTCTGCATCTCCTCATCCCGCACTCTCGGAACAACCACCCATTCCACAGTACACGCTAGACTCGTCCCACTGATCCCAGGATACTTTTCCGGAGTCGGCGACCTTTTCTCCGCGTTGACCCTCGGGCACTTCAACCCGTCCTCCACGCCTTCAGATAGCAAACTTCATTTGGCGACACAGACGCCGTTGTCATTCGCCGTTGCTGCTGCTTTGCACAAGACATATTCGATCCTTGAGTTCACCAACGCTTTTGCAGTGCGACTTCCTGCTGAAGACCGCACGGCTACTGATGACGAGCTTGACGCAGCTGAGCCTGTGAGAAAGCTTAGACGAATGAGGGGCAGAGAGCTTAGACTTGTGCAAGGGCAGCACATATTGCGGGAGGAGTGGAGGGAGGGGCAGGGCAAAGATCTGCAATTCTGGGATGGTTTCTGGGACTCTTGTTAAGAGAGATACCAGTTGGTTGCACGTAACTTAATCGTGTTAACCAGCAGTTAGACTCAGCACACCTGACACTAGAATTTTCGTCTCGCGTTTCTCAAACGGATTGATACCAGGATCCCGGTCATGAGGAGGTGCAAGTGCACATGTACCAAGACTTGATGAACATCACACAACAACAGCGGACAGCAGTCAATAAAACGAGCACGAAGTATTACTATGTATCCTCTCTAGACATCCTAGCACTGCACTAAGATGCAACCCCACCCTGCCGCACAATCTCCATCGGCGTCACACCTCCATGACTAGGCGCCGGTATCGACGACGCCGCACTCCTCAACTGCTCCTCCGTCATCCGCCTTCGCCGCTCCCCCACCTTCCATATCACATCCTTGAGCTCCTGCACCACCTCCCCACCCGGCCCCCACCGTTCAACCTTAGACTCACGCGCATCCCCAACAGCCCCACCACTCTCCCGCCGTGCCCTCGCAAGCTTTATCCGCTCCTCCCTCGTCATCTTCGACCGCTCACGCATATACGCCGGTGAGTTCCCCGTCTCAGCTTCAAACACCTGCTCGATACCAGGCGGAGGTAAATGATGCGATGACGATGTTAGCAGCAGAGGGGATGTCGCATCATCTGCATCGAATGTCTCTCCGGATGGTGAGATCACCGTCAACCCGATGTCCTCGTTTTGCCTGTCCATGCATGGTGGTGCTTCTTCAGGCTTGTCGGAATCGTCGCTGCCCATGTCAGGAGCTAAGGTGGGCAAGTCTTCTGGTTCCTCTGGCGAGGGGCTGGGTGGATGCACGATGTTTGTGAGCCTCTCCCTGCCGCGCTCACACTCCCGCAATGCAAGACCAATCTCACGCCGCAGGCGTTCGTAGGCCAAAAGAGCAGGGTGACCAGAGGGCTCCATAGATGACATCGATGAATGCGGAGAATGTCCAAGCGATGTCTCTTCTTTCAGCGAGGTCACGCAGTGCTCAAGGTGATCTCGCGCGTCGTTTAGAGCAGACGAAATAGCATCGACGTGAGCTGCAAATCGTGCAAGGTCACTGGGCAATGGCGCAAAGGATGTGATTTGAGAGATCGAGTGCGAAAGAGGGCGCGTGAAGACTGGAGGCGATGGTAGCGAAGAGGAAGCCCGCATGTCGGATGAAGAATCTGATGCAGCTTCGTCCTTACAAAGCTGTTCCTGTTCCTCTACCTCATCCAGAACCTCAGTGAGTCTCGATGAAGCATCCACTAATGTTGTCGTAAGGAGGCTCATGAGCGAACGCACGTCCTCCCAATAAGCATCATCTTCATCCTCTTCGAAACGAAGAGCTAATAAATGAGAACATGCGTATCGTCTCGAAGCAAGGGCACTCTGAAGAGACAGATTCAAGGATGACAAGGAGAGCGGATGTCGGGTTGTTTGCATACTTGTGTATTTTGAGGCGGGGGACATTGTTGGAAGGTGCCTCGAGTCAGAGTTACTTCTGAATAATGATACGGCAGAATTTCGGGGTAACACCCCAAATTTGCTCATACCCTGACTCTGACGCTTTCGGCGGAGATCAAGAGCAGCAGCACCAAAGAAATCATCCTCACCCTCTGGTAGCGAGGAAGCCCCAGGGTGAGTGTCATCCTCCTCAACCACATCAAGCAGTGGTTTGAGAGGGGACGGGCTCGTCGGAGCGCTGACACTGCTTCTTCGTGATGGTGACGCAGCATCAAGGAGTGCACTAAGATCTGATCTCCGCTTGTCTCTCCTCTGTGCAATGCGGGAAGTGGGACTTCCTGCCTGTGCAAGAGCAGAGTAGGACCCATTCCACGTTGACCTCTTCAGATCGCGGGCGGAAGTAGAGTTGCCACGTTGCCGAGATCCTGGCAGAGAAAGTGGCCGATGGTGATCGCTATTAAGAGAGAACGTGAGTTTCATAGGTGATGGCGGGGCATACATCTCCGAAAGCTGCGCAAGCTCAGGTGGAGATGCAATTGCAGAAAGCAGTTGGCGAACATTATCGCATTGGGTTTGAGTCGTAAGCAGGGAGGTTGATAGTGCCACCCTGAGTGACGAAGGAGGTGTCATTGGAGAGGATGGTCCGTAGAAGATGCTGTAGATGAGACGGTATGGTCAGGACACGCGTTTCGATGATGTCATATCAAATACCTTCGCTCTTCATTTTCTAGGATGTCAAGGGTATCATGAATAACGGCGTCCCACACCTTGCCCGCTATTATTAAATTTTGCAGAGCTTCCAGTGACTGAAAAAGAAAAGGTAAGTTCATTTCCTATAAAGTGCAATTGCAAGGCTCACAGGTGTGATGATGTCAGGTTTAGAATGTATATCCAATCGATGAACGTGCATATAATACAGTGTGCCAATGAGCAACAGAACAAACAAGGAGTAAAATCGAGCGCTGAGTGCTGCAACAGCAAGAGTGATAGAAAGGGTTACGGGCCATACATGTATTTCGGATTCGGCGGGTATGGTTAGGGAAATTTGATCGGTTGCTGTGCTTTCAGCAACGCTGGTAGTCCTGCTGTGATTACTTGCGAGTTTGCCAGGAATTGAGGGTGAAAAGGAACGGCGGTGTGGGTGAGGGACGGGGGTGGAGGCGAAACCCGGGGAAAGAAGGGAGGAGGATATGACACCATACTTGAAATGCTCGGCGAAAGCTCGCGTGCGCTTGGAGACCCGCTCAGAAGTAAAGAGCGAGTTCAGAAACTGCATGACATAGCAGGTGAGAAAGAGTGAAGAGGTTATGAGAGATGGATTGACCGAGGATATAAAGATATATACGCGAACTCAGGAACGGTGTTATGACTACGAAGTGATAACATACCTGAAGCGCGCCAAAAATAAGGAAACATATTTTTTCGACCTGGGCACTGTACTTGAAAACTACTGACGACTCTGTGAATGAATACTGAGACATTGAGAAAAGTGGGCAGCTTCCAGGCATTTGTTCGGGAGCTTCACCCGAATCTGCAGCAGTGAGAATGAGCAACGATCAACAAAGACGTGGTAACCTTTGCTTTGCACCTGTCAAATACTCCTCCAATGGATGTCCGTCATAGTAAGGCTGGGCCATGAGCTGAAGTTGAGGCGTTCAGTAACGATCGGTTGGCGAGATGAGCACTGGTTTTCGTGATACGTTCGTGAAGAATAGAAACCCGGTTATTAGGTGAAAAAGAGAGGACAGCTCCAATGAACTAGCAAGAAAATGGCGAACAAAGGCGTAAGCGGTAGTGTCCTTGGCTTAGCTCTACCGCCTTACTTAGTTCTACGCAAATAGTCTTCCTTAGGGACAAGAGCCTACTAATATTTGCTTACCTAATGTCAATAGCTTCCCACATCATCTCATTGTGCTACTTAGCAGGTTAGCATGATGTCGCTGTCCATCGATCATCCCGCAGGCAGCAGAACGAGTACTACTAGGAGAAGCGGTTCGAAGCAGCATGTCCTCCTTGAGTTGTTCATCTCGTATAATTATCCACATTTCTTGGCTGTTCGACGCCGGCGAACAACATCTAGCTTATCCGTGTCATGACATGGAATGGAATCCTAACCAGGGTCCTCATGCATGGTTGCCTGCATGTTGCGGAACCGCCAGCCGTTGCAATCGGATAGCCTCAGCACCAAGCTCCACCGCTGCGGTCCTGACCAGGTGTTCTCCGGCACAAAACCTCACAGTAGTTCCACCCACGAACATGACAGTTTCTATTGTGGTGTCGCGAAAGTTATTCCGTTTCAAACAAGGAGTCGCTGAAGACTAACTCTGGCAGGGTTCAGCAGCCAGTATTTTACATCAAATACGAGCACTCTACTGTTGCGAGCGAGTGTCCAGAAATAGACGGTTGCTTCTGGTAAACATCGGATCTATCCGACTTACTACTCGATTGATCACTGTCAGAGAAAGTTATTCATGCCACGCTAGTCAAAACGTCACATCTCCTACGTGTCTCTGGCAGAAGTTTCTGTACAAGAAGAGAATCGTGGCGTGAGCTGGCTGATGATTCTCACTTCCTTTTCTTTCGACAGGCTCGTTCAGTCATCGTCAGTCACTGTCCCACACTTGTATCAGCTTGTATCCTCAGAAATGATGACGATCCTATTTCCGCCGGTAGCGCGTCTATTTGCCTTTCCACCGCTTACTCCCAACACGCCAGGTTTTTAAACGCCAAGTTTGAGACCGAGGCGTTAGCGTTAACCGCTCACCGCCGGGACCAGTTCACCGGGCCCAAGCAAGATCCATTTAGTAAAGACGATCTGAATGACAGGACCACCATCTTTACGATTAAAAACGGATCCCGGAATGTGGGCAGAGGAACAGAGTCCAGACTAATGATTTCACCAGATTTAGGTTGAATGCCAAGCCTCGCCCTAGGATGTCCTGCTTGTGGGTGTTCGCTGGGATTGAACCCTTAAGTTGCTGTCATGCGATTTCACATACAGGGACCTGCGGCGCATCTCTGACAACGACATAAATACAGGGGCTAGTAAGGTACCGACGAAACTTGTCACTTGCAAGGTCATATGCCAACTATAGGTCCACAACCATCGAATTCAGCGGGGCCTTTGCAAGGCACTCTAACCACTTGCAGGATAATCAGATGGTACTACTACATACAGTGGGTCAGACATATTCGTTCCTGACCGGTCTGACCGATGATCACCACATATGTATAGAGACCCTTGATACCAAGAATGTATGAAAGAGCCAGATTGACTTTTGTACTTGTGTAATTACTAACGTCCTGTACAATGTGCGATAAGGTATAGTTACAAATTAATTTCGGTTCACATGTCCTGATTCCACCTAAGGCTCTCGGTCAGCTTCCGGGTCACCTACATTGTCTAGGTCTAGAGATGACAAGTAGTATGATTCAGCAAATCCTTCAAGTTGTCGGTCCACCTCAAGGCTGAGATCGTGTGTCGAATATGTACGCGTTTTGAGACCTCTCAGGTTCAGGACCAGGCGCTGACCGGCCACTGAAAGTAACGGACACGAAAACCTACTTGCAATAAAGTCACCGAAGTGATGAGGTCACACCGATGGCCGACGCACCCTTTAGCAAGGAAATATTTTGGATTCTGTGGATTGTCTCGCGTCAGTTAAGAAGAAAAAAAGGCCCGCTAGAAAAAAGAAAACTGACGTGCGAATATGCGGTCCTGAACCATAACGTGATGAGTTGATGGAACCAGTGATGAGTTTAAGCGAGCCTCACCAGGAAGAGAGGATCATGGCATCATTGAACATGCTAATCTGGTTCTTATCGTCTGCAACATATTATATTATATAGGCTTTCTGTACTCACAACAAAAAACACGATTGCTATTTAATTATGGTTAGTTGCAAATGAAGCCCTGCAGATCTGTGCGAGCATGCTGACCATCTCGAACGAGCAAGTGGAGGAGTTTAGAGGGGTAGAGACACTCAAAGTCCCTAGAGTATCTCCGGAGACTTTGCATTGTGAGGACAAAGACTCCTATATCGAGAACAAAGCTTCATGATGTTCAGCAGGCCCAGTGAACAGGGAGGAGAATATGCTAACCTTCCGACATAACATGTCCACTAGCGATGTAATGAGATTTCCGTCAAATCATCAAGATATAAATATACCAACTGACCACATATTCTGTAAAGCGCTAGTCAACGAATCTGCAATCGGGGTAAAATGACAATAACAATGACATACTTGGCATCGCCCCCACGCAGATCTGAATCAAGTCGAGGTAGTGGAACTTAGCATCTACCCGAAACACAAGTATATCAACGAATAATACAAGCGAAAAAGCAGGGAAGAAACCTACCAGGACTATGGCTTGCGCCATACGTCGCTGCGCCCAACAGTATAAGGACGTAAGACACGTAGCTCCCGACGAGGATCTTTGACACGCCAGTTCGAGTTCCCCAGATGGCCCACGCACGCATGAGCACAAGTACTGAGTAAGAATCCTTAGCACAAACCATCATTCAAAATTAAACGCACGCACTATGAATCGACTCTGAAGAGAGGATCATAAAGTAAGAGGTGGAAAGGGCGAAGTGTTGGCAGAACTGGCACATCCAAACCCGTCGCTCCATCACCTGGTGGATGTTTATTTGTGAGACTGCAACATACCTCTTGAGAATTATGTGCGAGGAGACCGGCCTCTTCCAGACGAATAAAAGTCTGCCCAGCAAGGTTGCCATATCGGTTGATGAGGAACATGACTTTTACAACCGTCCAGGGGGCGTTCCAGATGTACCAGATCTGCAACTAAGAGTATGTTTTCAACACTATGCATGTCAGATGATGAACTCACTTCATCGCTAAAAGTCAGACAGAAGTCGTAGACAAGTAAAGTGTGACCAGCTGAAGAGAATGACCTAGACGATGAAGCGAGAAGATAAGATTGTCGTACGACAGACAGACCTACCTCCGCACCCAGACATCTTCCATGAATTGGGGAGATAAAAACATGGGTGGATGAGCACTGAGCAATATTCCAGCACAGCTTTAACGACAACCCAGCGATGCCAGTAGACCTGATGTGAAATCTGCTATGCTTTATAGTGTATACAGAGGCATGCCCGGTTTTTGATGACATAGGCTGCGACGTAAGCAGAGAAGCGAATTCGAACCTGATGTGAACGGGTGAAAGCATAGCGGAAGCTTGGGCTGCTTGGCGAGGGTGCGCTGAAGGCGGACGCTGAGACCAGTCACCACGATGTTGCCAGAAGGGGAATATTTGCGACCAGACTTCGCAGTATCGCTAGAAACGCACAAATTGGAGAGGGTCGCCCTGAAGATGTTACTTATCCGTCTAAAGGCACCAAACCGGCGGAGGTGAGCAAGGACAGTGAGAAGTGTTTTCGTAAAACACCATAAATGATTACCTGACCCGTGAGGTTTCATTTGAGTGACACTGTCAGATAAGTATAGGTGGTGTGTCGTGTCATAATCATGTATCTGCCACCGAAAAATAATCTTGAATTAAAACGGCCAGGCTCTCGCATGTGAACGTCATCCAGTCTCGATCAACTGTAAGGAAAAAGCCGCCTAGATAAAATAAATCTACCGCAATAATGATATAAACGGCAAGGCCGAGAAAAACAGTACCAGAAACGTCAAATCGGTATCGACGCGGGCGAGTGGAAGTACATTTCGGCATTAAATGATTCTTCACATATGAGCGTAGAGACGGCGCAGGGTAATCGGGCAGCGCCGAAGGGTGCGTACGTGACGCAGTGTTCCGGGAAAAAACCAGGGCTGGCACCACATAAACACCAGCAGCATGAGTATAGAAATATGTAGGAGATCAAAGGCAAAGGAAAGTGATAGATCGTCGATGACGGGGCGATGACACAGTTCAACGCCCAGAGAAAGCAGGAAGGTGAATAAATAATGCGTGATTGTGTTGCACTGATGCTGGGATGTTACGACTGCTCAGCTCTGAGCTCCGTTCATGAATACACCAAGTTTTCTAAATCGCCAAGATTAAGAGGGTATGTCGGGTATAACTGAGTACCCGAGCCGCTGAGTTGAATGTCAGGACCGTGCCGTGAGGAACGAAACACTTCGGACGCTGTGCCAGGCTCGTACACACTGCAGCTAGAGAGGTTCGGGCGGTCTCTGAGGAGCACCCAGCAAGTTAGACAGACTCGGGACCTATACTAGACACCACGTCAATTTCAGACCCTGCACAACCTTATCTCAAACTCCAAGTAAGGTTGCGCTGGGTTTCGAATGATTTACGTGACCAATATGTAATAAGCATAAGACTTACCGCATCCACAGACCGCCCTCGAACCTCTACAGCTGCGGTGGGTATTAGGACTCTCCTGACTTCTAACAATTCTGTATAGGGGCTAGCCAGTAGGTACCGACGGACAACCATCTAATTTAGGATGAACCAATTAGTACTTTGCCAACTACATCAGCGAGGTCACCCCTGGAATGCCGGAATGTGGGTAATTACCCCGCCTCTGTCCAATGAGAGCTGCGGCAGAACGCAGGAGATATATGTACCCACAATATAATACAATGGGTCGGACATAAACAGTGAATATTAAATATGAAAAATCGAATAGTGAAGGAATGCACTATGCCAGACAGGACGGAGAATCGCTCCGGATCGTTATCATATGTATAACGAGCTTGAAAACCCAGCACTGTGGGGCAGGAGGAAAATGCAGGACACAGAAGCGAGAAGGAAGGTCGGCAATGTTCAGTTGAGTTGCAGTTTTTTGTACAGCACTAACATACGCTCACCAACAGGGATTAAATTTGGCTCAGATGTCCTGATCTCACTTATGATGTGCACCTTCCGGGTCACTGGCATCCATGGCAGCCCGACCTCGAGGTGACGAAGAGTTTGTTTCAGCAAATGCTTCGAGTTGCCGATCCACCTCACGGCTGAGATCGTAGGTCGTGTAGGTAAGCGTCTTGAGACCTTTCAGGTTCAGGACTAGGCGTTGACCAGCTACTGAGAGTAACGGACTCGAAAAACTACATGCAGTAAAGTCACCGAAGTGACGAGGTCACATCGACGGCCAACGCACCCTTTAGCAAGGAAATATTTGGGATTCTGTAGATTGTCTCGCGTCAGTCAGCAAGAGGGACGGGCTATGAACATGGAGGACTGACGTTCGAGTATGCAGTCCTAAACATCATAATTAGATGGAATGAGTGGATATTTTGCGCGAGTCTCACCAGGAGGCGATGGTCAGTGCACTGCTGAAGATGCTAACCTATTCTTGTGGTCGGCAATGGGATACATTATGCAGGTTTTCTATACTCACAATAAAAAGTACGATTGCTATGCAATTGTGGTCAGTTGCAAACGAAGCCCTCCAGAGAGCATGCTCGCCGTCTCTAAAGAGCACATGGAGGAGATGAGAAGGATAGAGACTCTGAAATTCCCTAGAGTATCTCCTGAGACTTCGCATTGTCAAGACAAAGAGTATTGTATCGAGAACAAAGCTTGATGGGCTTCAGCAGGTACGATGAAAGCGGGACAGATCATCCTGACCTTCCGAAATAAACCAGCCACTAGCGGTTAAATATCAGCAACGAGATGGCCGTCAATCCGTCAAACACATAGCTGCCAACTAACCACATATTCTTTGATGCGGACCATCAATACGCTGAAGGAGCGAAACGAGTATCACGTACTTGGCATTGTCACTACGCAAACCTGGATCTCGTCGAGTTGCGGAAATAAAACTACCCGAGCGCAACCATTCTAGCGAATGAAAGGATGAAAAAGCAGCGAGGGCGACTTACAATGACCAGCGTTCACACTATACACTGAACTGCCCATCATGATAAGGGCATACGACAGGTAGCTCCAGATGAGGATCTTTGTCACGCGCTTTCGAGTTCCCCAGATGGCCCACGCACGCATCAGCACAAGTACTGAATAAAAACCCTCAGTACATGCAAATTATTATCAACTGGATGCACGTACTATGAATCGTCTCTGCGGATAGAAACATAAAGCAAGTGGTGGCAACTGCGAAGTGATGGCAAAACTGGCACGTCCAAACCCGTCATTTAGTGGACGTCTACTCGCGAAACTGCAACATACCGCTTGAGAATTATGTGTGAGGAGACCAGCCTCTTCCAGCCGGATAAAAGTCTGCCCAATAAGGTTTCCATATCGGTTGAGAAGAAACAATACTTTAACGACCGTCCAGGGGGCGTTCCAGATGTACCAGATCTGTATCCAAGAGTATGCTTTCAACATTATGCAAATCAGGCAACAAACACACTTCATTCTCGAGAGTCAGGAAATAGTCGTAGACTAGCAAAGTGTGGCCAGCTGCGGAGAATGATCTAGACGATGAGGTGAGGGGACAAGGATATTGTGCGATAGATATACCTACTTCCGCACCCAGAGGTCTTGCATGAATTCTAGGGATAGCGGCATGGGTGGATGCAGGACAGCGGCAGGACAGATCTAGCGACGACGGGCTGGTGAGGCCAACAAACCAAGTGCTAAAATTTGAGAGCTGGTATGCTTTAATAGCGTATACGGACACGGCTCGGGAGCGTAAGCCTTCAGCGTCGCCAAGAATGCACATATTGTTAGGGACACGATCGGCGGAGACTACTGCCAGTCACCCCAGTGTTGCCTTGAAGCGATGCACAACTTGGTAAGGGTTGCCCTGAAGACGTTACGACACACCGCCCAACCTGCCCAAGAGTCCAAGGCGTCTCAGACTCTGGGAACTAGTGGGGGTACATTGCTTTCGGCAGCCTCGATTTATTGGCGGGGGCGAACACACATTTAATAATTTGGTACACTGACCTGTAAGGCCTCCCACTAAGTACATACATACCAGTGAAAGTCGACAAGAAAGAGGTAAATAGATTAGTAAGTTGTCATTCTGTTACTACGTAAGTACTAGCGAGCTGGCACTGTGGTTGGGTGGAAGACCCCGGCGTCTCCCGCTCCGGCCGCTAAGCGTCCCGGTAGCTCACTCCAGAAGTTCTTGCCCACCTTCCGTGTTGTTTCGGCCTCGAGATGGCAAGGAGTTTGCTTCAGCAAATGCTTCGAGTTGCCGGTCCACTTCACGACTGAGCTCGCGTGTCGAATAGGTACGCGTTTTGAGACTCCTCAGGTTCAGGACCAGGCGCTGGCCGGCCACTGAAAGTAACGGACTTGCGAACCTACATGCAATAAAGTCACCGAATGTGATGAGGTTACATTGATGGCCGACGCACCCTCTAGCAAGGAAATTTTTTGGATTCTATAAATTGTTTCGTGTCAGTCAAGAAAAGATGAAGTTCGCTAAGTATGACCAAGGAAGATTGACCTTAGAGTATACGGTCCTAAACCATAGCATCATCAGCAGATGGAATAAGTTAAGAGTTTAAGCGAGTCTCACCAGGAGGTGAGGATCAAGGTATCACTGAAAATACCAACCTGTTCTTCTTGTCGGTAATGTACCATGGTACAATTGTTTATGCTCACAATGAAAAACATGATTGCTATTCAATTACAGTCAGTTGCAGATGAAGTTCTCCAGATGCGTGAGAGCATACTCACCATCTTGAACGAGTAGACGCAGGAGATCAGAGGGATAGAGACGCTGAAATTCCCTAGAGTATCTCCGGAGACTTCGCATTGTCAAGGCAAAGAGTACTACATCGAGAACAAAGCTTGATAGTCTTCAACAGGTCACAGGTGGTACGATGAACACAGAACAAATATCCTGACCTTCCGAAGTAAGACAACCACTAGTATTTTAATATTAACGATGAGTTGTCCGTCAATCAATTATCCATCGAATATAGCTGCCAACTAACCGCATGATCTTTGAAGTGGCTGACTATTAATACGCGGTAGGGGCGAAATGATAATCACATACTTGGCATTTCCCCCACGCAAATCTGGGTCACCTCGAGCTGTAGATACTGAACTACCCGATCGCAACCATTTGAGCGAACAAAACTTAAAAAAGCAGCGAGGCGACCTACAATGATCGATGTACATACTGTACGTTGCCGCGCCTATCAGCATAAGGATGCAGGACATGTAGCTCCAGACGAGGATCTTTATCGCGCGCTTCTGAGTTCCACAGATAGCCCATGCGCGCGTGAGCACAAGTACTGAGTAAAAATTCTCAAAACATGCATCATTTATCAACTAGATCCACGCACTACGAATGGATGCTGTGGACAGGATCATAAAGTAAGTCACGAAAAATGTGAATTTTCGGCAGAACTGGCACATTCGAATCTATCACTCAATGAATGTCTAGCTGTGAGATTACAACATACCGCTTGAGAACTACGTGCTAGGAGACCAGCCTCTTCCAGCCGGATGAAAGTCTGCCCAACAAGGTTTCCATATCGGTTAATGAGGAAGACGGCTTTCACAACCGTCCAGGGGGCGTTCCAAATGTGACGAGTCTGAAACCAAAAGTACGTTTTCAACACTATGCATATCAGCTAACGAACCCACTTCATCTTCAAGAGTTAGAAAATAGTCATAGACTAGCAAAGTGTGGCCAGCTGCGGAAAATGATTTAGATGATGGAGTAAGAAGATACGAATGTCACACAATAGATAAACCTACTTCCGCACCCAGAGGTCTTCCATGAATGTGGAGAACAGAACCATATGTAGGTAGCTGAGCAGCGAACAGTATACTCCAGTTGGACAGATCTAACAACAACAGAGTGGTAATGTCAACAGACGGGAACTAGGATCTAACTCAGAGCTGGTATACTTTAATAGGGTTTACAGACGCACACGCATTACAATTTTCACTATGTAGAAATGACATGGGCAACAACGTAATAGATATGTTGTGGAGAAGCAAAGTTCGAACTTGACGTGCTCGTGGCAGGAACGATGGTACAACCCTGGCAAAACCGGACACTGAGAGCAGTCGTGACAGTGGCGCCAGGAGTGCACATGCTGGCGGATCGAGGGTCGCCATGAAGACGTTACGATAAGCTAGCCCGCGTGGCATGGGTAATGTCAATATGGCAGCGCTCACATTGGCGGGAGTGCCATTGAACAGGAAATGAGACATATTTTCGTACAGTGCATGAGAAACCTTGACCTCCTAGTGAAAATCGAAGAAAGGGATGGGTGCGGGTGCGGGTGTGTCTCATGTAGGGGTTCGGGACCAATTCAAGACCGTCAAAATGTATGTTTATGCAAAATGACAAGATATAAATATTATCCATGGAATTGAAAACTAGGTTGAACACCAAAGCCTCGGGTTGTCGCTGGGATTAAATATTAAACATGCGATCTCGAGGGAGGTCTGATAGGGGCCAGTGGGTATGTGAGGCAATAGTCAAATTCAGGATGAGACCACTGCAGAAGAGCACTTTGTTGAAGGCACGCTAGCTACCCATTAGTATAATAATACAATTCTAGTACAGTGGGTCGGACAGTCACTGCGATTCAGGATACAGCGAATCTTGGATATGAATATCAAGAAGTGAAGGAATGCAGCCATTTTCATGCGGGACGACATCCTACTATAAAAATGGTTACAAACGGAAATCAACTTTGTTTCCTGATGCTCACCTGCCGTGTCACCCATGTCGTCTCTGCATGGAGAGTCTGCTTCAGCAAATGCTTCGAGTTGCCGGTCAACCTCACGACTGAGCTCGCGAGTCGAATAGGTACGTGTTTTCAGACCTCTCAGGTTCAGGACAAGGCGCTGACCGGCCACTGAAAGTAATGGACTCGCGAACCTACATGCAATAAATTCACCGAATGTGGTGAGGTCACATTGATGGCCGACGCACCCTTTACCAAGGAAATATTTTGGATTCTGTGGATTGTCTCGCGTCAGTCGGTCAGAGCAGTAGTCCACTATGAATAAGGAAGACTGACGTCTGAATATGCAGTCCTAAACCATAACATCATAAGCAGACGAAATGAATGAATGTTTTGAGCGAGTCTCACCATGAGGCGATGGTTAATGCATTGCTAAAAATGCTAACCTGTTCTTGCTGTCGGTAACGTGATACATATGCAAATATTCTATACTCACAATAAAAAATATCATTGCTATATAATTGTGGTCAGTTGAAGATGAAACCCTCCAGAGAGCATGCTCACCGTCTCGAAAGAGCACATGAAGGAGATGAGAGGAGTAGAGAAACTGAAATTCCCTAGAGTATTTGCGGAGGCTTCGCATCGTCAAGACAAATAGTGCTGTATCAAGAACAAAGCTTGATGGTCTTCAGTAGACACAATGAACACGGAACAGAACATTCTAACCTTCCAAAATAAACCAACCACTAGAGTTTAAATATCAGCAATGATATGCCCGTCAATACATCAAACATATAGCTGTCAACTAACCACATATTCTTTGAAGTGGCGGACGATTAATACGCTGAAGGAGCGAAATGATAACCACGTACTTGGCATTGCCGTCACGCAAATCTGGGTCACGTCAAGTTGCGGAAATAAAACTACCCGAGCACAACGATTCTAGCGAATGACAATACAAAAAAAACAGTGAGGGCGACCTACAATGACTGGCGTTCATACTGCGTGCCGAACCGATCAACAGCATGAGGACATAGGAAATGTAGCTCCAGATGAGGATCTTTGTCACGATCCTCCGAGTTCCCCAGATGGCCCACGCACGCATCAGCACAAGAACTGAGTAAAAGCTCTCAGCACATGCAACAACTATCAACTGGATGTACGCACTATGAATCGACTCTGTGGATAGATACATAAAGCAAGTAGTGAAAATTGCGAAGCTTTGGCAGAACTAGCACATGGAAACCCGTCTCTCAGTGGATGTCTACTCGTGAAACTACAACATACCTCTTGAGAATTATGAGCGAGGAGACCGGCCTCTTCCAGTCGGATAAAAGTCTGCCCGATAAGATTTACATATCGGTTGAGAAGAAACAAGACTTTAACGACCGTCCATGGGGCATTCCAGATGTAACGGATCTGCAGCCAAGGGTATGTTTTCAATATCATGCATATTAGCAGGCGACAAACTGACTTCATCTTGAAGAGTCAGAAGATAGTCGTAGACTAGTAATGTATGGCCAGCCGCGGAGAATGATCTAGATGAGGAGGTGAGAAGACAAGGATTCCGTGCAATCGATAGACCTACTTCCGCAGCCAGAGACCTTCCATGAATTGGGGGGTCAGAGACATAGCCTGGTAGATGCAGTATAAGCGGCAGGACAAATCTAGCGACAACTGGGTACTGATTCCAAAAGACCCACTGCTGAGATCTAAGGCTCAGCGTGCTTTAATAGGGCACACAAGCATTCCGACTTTCACTGGCAATGAATTATGACATAGACAATGGCAGTCGTGCGGCGGAGAAAGGAGGTTTAAACTTGGCGCAACGATGGCAGAACCCTGGTGAGAGGAGACAGAGAGTAGTCTCCACTCCACTGTCACCAGGAACGCATATATTGGCGGATGGATCCTGAGACCACTGGCAGTGGCCAGTGTCGACTCGGTATCGCAGACTGTCATATCTTTGTCACTTAGGTCAGCTCAAGGGGACTACCGAGAATGCGTAACTTGGCGAGGGTCACCCTGAAGACGTTATGATATGCGACAGGCTAGCCGATAGGCATACCGACTGACATACGTCTGCATGGCTATGGGTCAGTAACTGGAGACTGGGCAAGCTGTCGGAGGTGTATGGGGTATGACTTACGGCAGCGCTTGAATCGGCGAGGGAACAGACTCAAGTAGAGTTGTACTTGTTTTTGTACACTTGACCTATGAGGAGCTTCTTCTATGTCAGATATAGACGTAGTACGTCACCACTGAAAAATCATTTTACATTAGAACGGCGGGGGCGTACGTGTAAACGAAATGCAGGATTTTAGAGACCCTAGCACTGTGGGACAAGGGAAATGCAAAGAAAACTGTGGAAACAGAAGCGAGCATGAATGTCGGCAACGTTCAATCGACTTCTAGATATTTTAATGCAGAACGACATCCTATAACAGATGGTTACCAACGGCGAACGACTTTATCTTTATTTCTTGACGCTCACTTAATCTCGCTCACCTTCCAGGTCATTCATGTCGCCTCCACATGCAGAGTCCGCGTCAGCAAATGCCTCGAGTTGCCGGTCCACTTCACGACTGAGCTCGCGGGTCGAATAGGTACGCGTTGTGAGGCCTCTCAGGTTCAGGACCAGGCACTGATCGGGATCGGCTACTGAAAGCAAGGGACTCGCGAACCTACATGCATTGAATTCACCAAATATGATGAGGTCACATCGATGACGCACCCTTTACCAAGGAAGTATTTTGGACTCTATAAATTGTCTCGTACCAGTCAGGAATAGGAACATTCCACTGTGAATAAGTAAGACTGACGTCCGAATATGCAGTCCTGACTCGGAACCATAATAATACAAGCAGATGGAATGAATGAATATTTTGAGCGAGTCTCACCACGAGGCAATGGTCAATAAATTACTGAAAATGCTAACCTGTGCTTGTTGTCAGTAATGATTAAATATACCGGTTTCTATACTCACAATAAAAAATATGATTGCTATGTAATTGTAGTCAGTTGCAGATGAGGCCCTCCAGAGAGCATGCTCACCATCTCGAAAGAGCACATGGAGGAGATGAGAGGGATAAAGACTCTGAAATTCCCTAGAGTATCTCCTGAGACTTCGCAATGTCAAGACAAAGAGTATTGTATCGAGAACAAAGCTCAATGATGATGGTCTTCAGAAGGCACAATGAACGCGGGATAGAACATCCTAACCTTCCGAGATAAACCAACCACTAGAGTTCTAATATCAGTATTGAGATGTCCATCAATCCATCAAATACATAACTAACCAACATAGTCTTTGAACTGGCGGACCATTAATACGCTGGAGGAACAAAATGACAATCACATACTTGGCATTACTGCCACGCAAGTCTGAATCACGTCGAGATATGGAAATAGAACTACCCGAGCGCAACCATTCTAGTGAATAACATGAAAAAAGCAACAATGCGACTTACTATGACCGTTGTTTATCCCGTACACTGATACGCCCAACATTGAAAGGACATATGACATGTAGCTCAAGATGAGGATCTTTGTCGCGGTCTTCCGAGTTCCCCAGATGGCCCACACACACAAGAGCACAAGTACTGAAGCAAACCCCTTAGTACGTCCAACAATCATCAACTGGATGTACGCACTATGAATCGATTCTGTGGATAGAAACATAACGCAAGTGCTGAGAACTGCGAAGCGTTGGCAGAACTAGCACATCGAAATCCGTCATTTAGTGGATGTCTACTCGTGAAAATGCAACATACCACTTGAGAGCCATGTATGAGAAGACCGGCCTCTTCCAGCTGGATGAATGTTTGCCCAATAAGATTTCCATATCGGTTTAAAAGAAACAAGACTTTAAGCTTTAACGACCGTCCAGGGGGCATTCCAGATGTAACGGATCTGCAGTCGGGGGTATGCTTTCAATATCATGCATGTCAAGCGACAAACTTACTTCATCTTGAAGAGTCAGAAGATAGTCATAGACTAGTGATGTGTGGCCAGCTGCGGAGAATGATCTAGAAGACAAGGTGAAAAGACAAGGATCTTGTGCGATAGATAGACCTACTTCCGCACCCAGAGGGCTTCCATGAATTTGGAGGTTAGTAGAGACATAGCTTGGAGCATGCAGTATAACGGCAGGATCTAACGACAACTGACTGGTGATGCCAAAAGACCCGATGTCGAGATATAAGACTCGGTGTGCTTTAATAGGGTGCACAGACACACCAGCATTCCAACTTTCACTGGCAATGTCATCGAAAACGACGTAATATATTAGATATGAGAGTAGGGAAAATCGACCTTTCGGACGAAACGATGGCAGAACCTTGGCGGACGCTGAGAGCGAACAGTCATCATTGTTGCCCGGGAGCCACAAACCGGCTGAGAAATATGCTGAGACCACTGGCAGTCACCACAGTCTGGGGGTGTCGCTAGGTGTACACAAATTGGTGAGGGTCACCCTGAAAACTTTACGACAGACTAACCGTCAGAGGTGTCTGCCTGTGGTACTTAAGTATCACTGGTATGGGGTATAACTTACGGCAGCGCTTGAATCGGCCGGGAACAAACTCAGGTAGAGACTGAGTTGGACGTGTTTTCATATACTTGACCTGCGAAGAACTTCTATTTCAGATATAGACGCGGTATGTCATCACTGAAAAATTATTTTGAATTAGAACTGCAGGGCGCTTGCACAATAAACGTCTCACGGCGTCGAGATAAAATCAATTCATAATAATAGCGATACAAGCGCCAAAATCCAGAAAAGCTCGCGGTGAGCAGTACTGTAGTAAGAAACTTCAAATAGGTATCGACGAGGAGAGGCTCGTTAACTGGCGAGTAAAAGCACATTCAAGCATTGAATGATCCTTCACAAGAAGAGTGAAAGGTGGCGCAGGGTAGTCGGACAGCGCGGAAGGGTAAAGGTGTGTACGTGACATGTTCGGGACAAGACGGTCAAGTCTGACAATCACGTAAACAATGGCAGGCCAGCATGCACAGAGAAACATAAAGGAGCTAAAAGGCAACGATAAGACAAGCTAAGTGACAGATGACGGGGTGACGGTACAGTTCGACGACCGGAAAAGCAGGAAGATAAATAAATAGAAAGCGGTTGAGTTGCGCTAGCGCTTAGATGCCATCATAAGCATCGCCTTCATCGTACATGGTGTATACGGTATCGGGCCGCTTAGCATTGGTGATCTCTCGCCCGCGAGACGCTGGGGCCGGCTCATGTGCGGACGCCGTGCTGGCGGCGGCATGTGAATCAGCAACGTGAGCGGGAGAAAGTGCACGAGGCGCAGCATCATGCGTGGGGTAGGTTTCTTCCACTTCGTCGTCGAAGGGGCTAGGCAGGGGAGTAGCATCCACAGGCTTGGATGGAGACATAACGTCACCGCCGAGTTGACGAGATATATCGGCATATTGTGCCGCTTGGAACGGAGTTACACTGGAACGATTGAGATTAACATAGTGAGCCTGAGGATCGTCGTATCCTGCAGTGGCTGGTTGACGAGACAAATATGTTGCATTGGACGGTTGCCTAGCGAGCTGGCTGTGGTCATCGTGAGGGGCATATCCCATTGCCATCTGAACATGCGGCTGCGTCGGGGGAGGAGAGCCAGCATGCATATTTTCAGGAGACCCGTACGCAGCTTGTTGACCATAACCACCATAATAGTTCTGATAGCTGCGTTGAGCGGCTAATGCAGGGGATGCATTGTGACGTTCGATCATGGTTGGTGGGCGAGGGTTATAAGGTGGTTGCGGTTCTGGGTCGTCCACAAGGATGGCAGACTGACGCTTGAAGGCTGCAGCACTCCATTCTTCTTCATCCGTCTTGCGTTTGCGCCGCTATAATTGAAATTGAGAAGACGGAACCCAATATTCAAGAAAATGACATACAATGCAAAACATGATCAGGTAACCTAGGACAGCCAAACCGAGCAAAGAGCCAGCAATGCCACCTACTAGGGCAGTAGTATTGACGGAGCCGGAGGAGCTAGAAGTTGCGGAAGGAGTTGCAGATGTGATAGTTCCGGTACCAAGGGTCATACTAGTTGGTCCTGTGGTGACGGCGGTAGTGTGCACAGTCACGGCCGCTATGGGGGTCTACCAGACTGTCAATAATGTATATTTGTAGGAAGGTCAGACACCGACCGTAGTAGACAGCACGGTTTGGGGGGCTAGAATTGAAGATGTAGATGAGGTAGAAATGCTGGAGGTGGTGAGGGTGCTCGAGGATGTGGTCGAAGAAGATGTGGTCGAAGAGGACGAAGTGGTGGGGATGGTAGAAGCCGAGGATGGCTGGGTAGATGTACTAGGGGTTGTGGAGGCGGAGGCGGAGGTGGAGGTGGGGGTTGTCGCGGGAGCCGAAGTAACGGTAGGTGCTGGATATTCGTTAGCTCACTGACATTGCAAGTGCTGTAATTGATGAAACTCACTTGCAGACTTCAAATCTGAGGTAGGAGCACTACTAGAACTAGTCAATATAGTTTCTGAAGGAAGATTTGGGCTGAATCGAGCAGCCAGGTGCATGCGCTTATTGGACAAGCGTCTTCCCAATTGGCCACGGTGTGCAAACATGATTAGTATTGGTTTTAACCACGTTTTCTGTTTATTTTGAGTAAAGAGCGAAAGATTTAAGGAATGAACGAGTTATAAACCCCAGACAATGAATGACGGCGAGCAGCAGCTAGTTGTTGGAGACGAGCGCTGTAGGATACAAGGGACGAAAACGTTGTCACTTCATTGTAGTCACAATGTCACGCACAGTCACAGACTGTGACTGACAAGTGACTGAGTCTGAAAGTTCTGAACGAAGCTCCATAAAGTTACATCAACTGGCCCTATATGAATCGACTGATAGCATATAGTGCCTCACGGTCTCTTACGGTGCCGCCCAGTGGGCTTGACATTAAGTCCGCGCCACCCAATGGTGGTCACAAGGTCTTTCAATTATTCGGATGGCGGCCGCTGCAGCGGCCACCGCGTGTCCAAGCTCAAAAATTATGGACCCAGTTGCTTGTAGTGTGGTGCGCCTTGCCTACCTCTCAGTGAGCGCCTCTCTCTTGATTATGAACGTCGATCTCAGAAGTCCTGCTCAACTTGGCATATCTCAGTGGTAACGAGGTTAGGTTCCATAGTATTTCCGGTTTCTAATCTGAAGCTTCCTCATTCCCTGATCACCCACAGGGCATCCAGCTGGCAGATCAAATAATTTCGTCATAAGCAACGAAAGGCGCCTTTATTAATCTTTTTTTCAAACACTCCCTGAAATCGGATGCCAGACTGTCTTTCTCGGTTATTTCTCTGTCTTTATCTGCTTAGCACTTTGACTCTGGTACTTCGTGCTCAACAGCAGGTCGTCCTTGAGAGCACCAATCCAGATATTGTGTACATCCCCCAATTATGCAACGCTTCAGCCGCCGAGACGGGATGCCTGAGTGCATGGTGAGTGCTTGACGCTTGCCAAGAACTGGTTCTTGTCGAGTTAACCTGTATACCAAGGCAAACATACATCGATATTCCTAACATTAATGGAACGGCAGCAGTTGCTACTGGTACAATGGGCCCAATACCGCAAACTGGGAACACCCCACCCCAGATGTTTTTGACCTTTCGAGGTACATCGCATTTAATTCAATCAATATGGCAGCGCGCTCATGCTGAGCAGCATCAGCGCTGTATCTACGCACCTCTCCTTTCTCCAACGCGACCGTCAATGTTTCGCTGACTGCTGACCCAAACGGCGTTAGCATTACCCGTCAGGTCAATACTAGCGTCGGCCTTATCATCGCCGAAAACCTCCCTGAGACGCAGACGACCACATTAGGTGTCACATTTCTGCAGGGGCCGTCTCCCACTCGCTTTGATGTCGAGTCAATTACTCTCAATGTCACAAATAGCAGGTAAGAACTAGCGCCCCAAATATCCCGATCCATTCATATGTATAATAGTGCGGCGAGTTCCTCTTATCTCCCAACACTATCATTACCCACGTCAAGTTTCCCTCCGAGTTTATCGCCCTCCTCGACGAGCACAGCGAAATCGAATGCAAGCCAGCGCACAGGCACCATTATTGGTGGGACTTTGGGCGGGGTGCTTGGCTTCTTGGCTATATTAATTGCAGGGACTCTTGTATATTGGAGGTGGCGTCGACGACGAATAAGGCGGTCGGAGACAGGTGCAGGATATGCGATGACACAAGTTCAACGGTTGACCAGGCGCTGATAGTATCAACCTCTATATCTTGAGACTTTAGATACTCGGACTTTATTCAACACCCTGTAATTTATTGCATAATAGTGAATCACAGAACGTGAAATGAGCTGAGCTGTGACTTTTGAATTGCTTTTGAAAGTTGCTTTGCTAGCTACTTATTACATGAGTCGGACACAGCCGTTGCCCGCTAAAGTAGTACGGTGAGACAAGATCAGTGACATACATATCTATACACTGCGACCGTGATCACAGACTGTATCTACATTTCGTGCACTATTCCAGAATCCGAATCAAATGGACTCAGAACCCCCACTCGTAGTCGACAACGGAACGGGTGTAAGTCGATTAAGCTGTCCTTGACGCCCTCGTCTCAATCTTTCCCGCAGTTCGTCAAAGTAGGCTACGCTGGATCGAACTTCCCAGAGCATGGTACGTTCATTCCACCACCAAAGCATATACACCAAGCTAATTAATCACATCATCTAGTATTCCCCTCCGTCGTAGGTCGCCCCATCCTGCGCGCAGAGGAGCGCGTGGGCTCCGCAGTGATCAAAGACATCATGGTGGGCGACGAAGCCGCCGAAAACCGCAACTACCTCCAAGTCACGCAACCTATGGAGCATGGTATAGTACGGAATTGGGAGGATATGAAACACCTCTGGGATTATACATTCGACGAGAAGCTCAAGGTTGACCCGCGGGGACGCAAAGTGCTGCTTACGGAGCCACCCATGAACCCTAAAGTCAACCGGCAGAGGATGGTGCAAGTGATGTTTGAGGAATATGGCTTCCAGGGGGTGTATGTGGCGATTCAGGCTGTGTTGACGCTGTATGCGCAAGGTGAGATCAGTCTGTGTGATAATTGAGGGTCTGATTATCGATTGGGTGGCCAGGCTTGACAACGGGAGTAGTCGTCGACTCGGGTGATGGAGTGACGCATATCGTACCGGTATACGACGGATTTGCCCTTCCTCATCTTACCCGACGATTGGATATCGCAGGTCGAGATGTCACGCGGTACTTGATCAAACTACTACTCATGCGCGGTTATGCATTCAACCGTACTGCCGATTTCGAGACCGTGCGTGAGATCAAAGAGAAACTTTGCTATGTGAGGTGAACTCTTCGATGGTTCCTATGGTTTTACGCGATTGAACGGTGGACTACAGCTACGATCTTGATTCCGACCAGAAATTGTCAGAAGAGACGACAGTGCTTGTAGAGAGTTACACGGTATTTCCACTCTGTTGTCCGTTGTCGTATTGCTAAAGCCCATTTACTCCAGCTTCCCGATGGTCGAATGATTAAAGTGGGCTCAGAGCGCTTCGAAGCTCCAGAATGCATGTTCCAACCGCATCTTGTTGATATCGATCAGCCTGGTGTAGCAGGTGAAACCTTCTCCTGACTCCCACTCCACTCCACAACACCCGTCTCACCCCTTTCCAGAGATGCTCTTCCAAACCATCCAAAACGCAGCAGTTGATACCCGAACGGAACTGTACAAGCACATTGTCCTTTCAGGAGGTTCAAGCATGTACCCAGGCCTCCCAAGCAGGCTCGAGAAAGAAATGAAACAACTGTACCTCACGCGTGTACTGAATGGCGATCCCACGCGATTGAACGTGCGTCTTTCCCACTTCTTGCGTACCCCTTTCCCACTTCTCGCGCTTACCACTAACCCTCTCCCAGAAATTCAAAATCCGTATCGAAGACCCTCCCCGTCGGAAACACATGGTGTTCCTAGGCGGTGCTGTCCTCGCCGACATCATGAAGAACCGCTCAGAGTTCTGGATATCGAGAGAAGAGTGGTTTGAGCAGGGCATTCGCTCGTTGGATAAGCTAGGACGTGGAGAGAATTAGGATGAACGATACTTATGATATGATGGACTTCCGGTAGTTTTCACGATGAATCATTAAAGCAGAGGGCGTGGTGTGTCATACGATCCAGCGGGAAATGAATAATAACTGCCCCATGGCTGAGTTGGTTACAGCGTCCGACTGTTAAGCGCAATCGGAAGGTCGTGAGTTCGAGCCTCACTGGGGCAGATTCTTTTGTCACCTTTTGCTCAGTGATCCCTTGGCTTAGTACATTTTTGTTCCTAACCATCGCGTGAGCAATCATGTTGAAAACGATGTGTATGTATGGGTATCTTTACTACGACATGATGATAGACGACAACGAGAAGGTCTACGACGCGGTGGGTATATTATGTACACGTAGTCAGGACAATTTGAGTGCAAATCAAATGTTCGATGACGAAGGCCAAAATACCATAAGTATCAACCTCTAACAAAGAATGGGGAATAGTTGTATTCGTAACTAAGTGTACACATACGTCCTGATCTTAAATAGTCCGTCCTTTTTCAGCAGGTATTCTACAAGTTATAGACAAACCATGCGCTTTTATCACCCAGATCCTCGGGTTCGTCCTCTGGGGCCACAAGTTGCCGCCTTTGTGCCTTCAGGCGGTTTTGGTGCCATAGATACGCAAGGTTAACACTGGAGAGTACCACCATGCCAGCTGACATGATAATGAAGGTGACGGTAGCTTTTGTATAGTTGGGTGCGGGAGACAAGGAGCCTAAGAGCCAGGTGGCCAGGATGCCGCCCGCGTTGGTCATGATGAAAGCAATAGCGACAGAAGTTGCTCGTCTGACATGTGGCGCGCTGTTATTTGCAACCCATGTGATGACTGGCGGAGCGCCACAGTAGTTGCCACTAACGGTTAAGAAGAGAGATCCATAACGAATGTGATTTGATTTGCTCGCTGCCAATCATAAGATAGTGTGCCAAGACGAGCCCTGGCAAAACGCACCATGGAATATGACGAATCCGATAAGATTACAAAGCGAGAAGAAGATAAGCATGAAGCCACGACATCCATACCGATCCGAGATCGCCGCACTGATCATTGAGACTGAAAAAATAGCAGTTAGCGTCATAATCAGGACTCGAGGTAGGAAATGACTGACCTACAAACGCCACTGCGAAGGGCGGCGCACTCATCAGCTGGGCTTTATTACCAGTGTAACCGAGGCCAGCGACGATTGAGGGCTCAAAGCTAGAGAGAAAGTGCGCATTAGTTTTCATAGACTTGGCAGACAATCACCGTGGACCTACTATGCAAGGCCATACAAGGTCGTACCTGAAGCAAAATTCACTTAGATATACCTAACCCCAGCAACGTATACTTACCGAGGAAAAACAGGACAGGCGCCAACATCCAGACGTGAACTGACTGACAGCACCGAATTACCTCAGTCCAGCTGAATCGATCATTCTTGTCGTCGCCAGCAAGAGCGCCGTCTGCCTTCAGTCTAGAAACCACATAGTTGCGCTCCTTCTCAGATAAAAAGGCCGCGGTAGTCGGGGAGCTGGGAAGGACAAAGAAGGATATACATCCAAACAACAACGTAAAAATTCCCTCCTATTTGGATGATGAACTGCCTGGTGACGGAACAAAGAAGAGAGGCTACTAACGATAATGAAAATCCAAGCCCAACCAGGCCTCCCACCTCTCCCGTCGATATTCATGATGCCAGCTGCCAGCAGACCAGAGAAGGCACCAGAGAGCGATGCGGAAGCAAAGAACGTGGCAATCCTACGGAGACACTAGAATTAAATGTTTTCGGACAAGTGAAGGAGCCGCATGACAAACCTGATTTGCAATCTCTCTCTGGGATAGAAGAACGACATATAGAGCACAAGACCAGGGAATAGACCGCCTAATATGATAGTTAAGCAGGTCTACAATATTTGACGCAGCAAATTATGGTACCTTCCATGAGACCCAAGAAGAATCGACAAGCAAGTAGGCCCGAGTAACTCTTCACGATACCTGGAATAATCAATGTATTAGCTGCGGCACCTTGGAATACTACGACAATCAGACTAACCTTGCATGGTTGCCACAAGACCCCATATAGTGACCATGGCTGGCAGCATCCACTGTGGTCCCACATACTGTTTTGGGTTACCGTCAGTCGTGTGTAGAAAATCAAAGACAATACTTGCCTTCAACAGCAAGTTCGAAGGGAATTCTGCTGCGATGTACGGTCTGGACAGTGCCCAAGGTCAAAGGATGTTGAATTGCGAAGATTGCGAGCTTACACATATGTCATGGTCAGAGCAATACTGTACTGAAAAGGTATCAGGTATCAGAGCAGGATACACTAAATACGAGATGACGGAGATCTACCTGGTAGTTGGACATTTTGAGACTAGTCTGCATCCCAGCGACTCGAGCATTTGCGATATTACTCCGGTCCTGTTTAAACGCAAATCCGATCCATATGTGTGACATCATGATTGATACCAGAGCATCACTCACAAGGAAAGAGAGGAGATAGAAGATAGTGCAGACTGGCAGCACCCATCTGTCTAACTTCCTCCAGACAGTCCCTTCAAGGTGAGCTTTCTCATCATCTGAGATTTCCGTATTATTAATATGGTCGATCTCCTCCTTCAAAGAAGTGCCTGTCGAGGGGGAGTCGTGCAGAGTATCTTCCATCCTGTGGACGTCACTTGAGCCGACCTGAGTCGACGGCGGTAAAGAAAGATATAATATGAGTAATACGAGTCAGATTTGGAATGAATCACTTACTTGTATATAAGCTCACCAGAACGGTAATACGCATTTTCGCCGTCAAGAGCTATTCTAAGGATGACGGGCCGTAGGAAAATACTAGTGATCACATCAAGGATCAAGGGCACCATCAAGCGGGTGACATTCCGGCACGGATAAGTAATGGGGCCACATGGAGGACTCGTATGGTCAATTTCGCTACGCATCAGTGCCCCTTCATCAAGAGCAAAGGCATAAGTACCTGTATACCTAGTGAGCACCAGTGAGTTGGACCTTGGTATAAACGAAATCCCACATGCGGTGGAATTTAGTGATGTGTGCAACGTGGCAGAAATTCAATGTGGCGTATGCTTACTGGGAATATAGATCGACTTCTTGACAACAGTCTGACGCTTTGTATGCTGAAGTTGTACTGTAAGGGCTAATTTTGCAGGTCTGTGCAAATAAACGACTTGCCGTCGCGTGTGAAAACTATTAATGTCCTGCAGATAAGGTATGTACAACTGCAACGAGCCAGCAAGTTGCCCGAGAACACTATAATCTAACAGGCACCCAATATGGGCACTCGCGTCTATGCAACAATGGTTATACGTAGGACCGACCCCAGGTCACATCCTTATAAATGTTTCGTATCACATCATTCATGGTGAGCGTTATGATCCTGGTGGGAGATATTAAATGCCATGCTGGGGCGAAGCGTGGAGCAACTCACGTATGAGGGGTGATACGCAGGAAGTGCGCAAGAGAACCTTCCCGTTGACTGATTGGCGTTTTGTTATCATCTCCTAGTCACGATCACGTACCTTTATACCAGCCGAGAACTCCCTCCGTTTTGACAGTTTTCCACAGACAATCTATCGGACTCTTGTACAATGCTCCTGTGACCCTCCCATCGGGTAAAGTCGTCGTGGGTTGGTTGTACATCCTTGTGAGTGCCTAAAAGTGACAGGTAGGCGACGCGGTTCATATCAGGACGGTTTTACTTACAGTATCAGCAGGCTGCATGACAAGGCACTACAAAGACCAATCAGAGGTAAATTTGACAGCATGTTATGATGGAAGCATACCACGCAAACACCAGAAACTGAGCTGCTTGCAAGAAACGTCCACACACTGTCCCCGGGTAAAATACCATGACCGACGAGCTGATTCTTAGTCCAATTATATGTCGGTAGTTGAACAGATGAGCCCATTGCTGTACGAAGAATGGCAGCATCCATCCCGCGCAAGTAACCGCGAACACCCTCGGTCTTCCAGATCGTACTCAGAGCATTGAAAGAGTTCTTGTAATGGCGCTGTGTTCCTATAGGAAGAGCGGGCGAATATGCCTTGAGATATATCAATCACTTAGCACTAGGTAGATGCGAAGAGGACTTATCACCTGCATACGAGCTTTGACGAGAAACAAGGGATTGCCGATGATAGCTACATCCAGATGTGTAAGCGACCTCATATATCAGCACATAACAAACACACCGCCGACAACACCACTGGCTGCGCCAGCAACCAAGGACGTGATGGGTATCTGATCTTCAGTCGTCCAACCGAATGCGCGATTGATAGTCCGCCGGAATGGCTCATAGAAGCCTGCAGAACCATCAGACCAGCCAGAGTTGCTTCACATGTCACTCACTCAGGCGGGACCCATTCAGCGGGATCTAAACTTAGGTGAGTGTTGTATCGTATCACTACGATTATTTTCTTGCCTGATACGCATACTGTAGTGTACTCTGGTGAGGCGGCTATGCTTAAAATTTGTAGATTAACATACCGCTACACCTAGTCCTCGTTGCATGCCGCGGATACCTTCATTCCTCCATATTTTTATCATGGCGTCAAAGGCATTATTATAGACCTTGAGACTGCCGCCCTTGGCGAGCTCTCCTTGCAACTGCAATCGTGTCTTGGCTACCTGTTTCCTCCAGAGTAAGTAACAGAGTCTGCACGCAGTTAGTTCAACTGTTAACCTCAGCAGGATTGGATACTGTGACCTGCGCTCGTGTATTATTCAGCAAACCAATGCGAGAAGCAAACAAAAGCTCTACTACTGACAGCTACACAAGCAGCCAAACCACCGCATAGAAAGCTTTCTGTCGTTGAGAGTTGACGGTTGCCGCCGGACATAGCTGGTACCTGGGGAAGCGAAACAAGCACGGAATTCAGAAGTACCGAATAACGCGCAGGGTTTTGATGGTGTGAATAATTAATTATACTACTTATGATTGACCTCTAAGCTGTTGGATCATAATCACTCGTTAGCACATCCCCGAATGCCACGAAGCGCGACGACAGTGGTGGCAATTATGTAATCTTTGAAATTTCTGCCTTTGTCGTGGTCAGACTTACGATGTGCTGTGACCAACCGCAACAGGGGCCCCAACGCCGGAAGGTAGGAGAAAGCTTGCTGTCGCCCTCGGTTGCCGTGAAATAAACCCGATAGGTTTGAAATCGCACCCCGCAATCGCCGGTTTTATGTCCATCTGTACATGGATGCTGCGGTGCCAATGTGGTGCAACCTTTTCGCAGAGCGGAGTCTTGTGGAGTTGCTGTGGAGTCCCCATCATCTCATGATGCGGGCCCATCGTCCCCCTCGCGGTTGCACGCCATAGGGCCATCACCTCGACAGTTTCTTCCTAAACTCACACCTCCCGATCACCGGTCTTTACGGAAATTGATTTTACCAGCGCGAGGAGCTGGCCACGTACATAACATGCCCGCGAATGGTCAACCGCTCCCAAATTCGACCAGTCTAGCCCACTACGTGCCCTTGAGACCTTCTATGTAGCTCTGCGCTACCGTGAACTCACGAATAACACTCGTAATGCAAGCATAGCGTTTAGGTAATATGATATACAAATGGGTGATTCTGATCCGCAGTGTTTCCTGGCGCATCAGATTGATTAGGCTTTTGTATTGAGAAAGCAACATGTGCCAACGAACCATGATGCCATTTGGTGATGGCACTCTAGTAATCTCCTGTGTACTGATCAAAAGTTCCGCTACTACGCAGGCACCTTCAAGAATCAACTTGAATGTGTGGTGGTTAGGTAAGTCATAGTACAGGTCTGTGTCGACGTAACTTTTGATCATAATGCGTTTAGCACCCTCCGTCCTCACATTCTTTCGCGGCCTCGGCGGCGCTGAATATTGCGAAAACGACTGATGGCATGCAGTGTTCACTGACAAGTCAACACGCTGTCATTTTCTGTGACCAGAATACCTTCAGTGCAGCACGCGATGAGCTCTCTTCAGAACCAAAGCATGGTGTGAATCCAAGGTTAATTTATTTTCACAGCCGCAGATAGGCATCTCAAGGCTGTACGAGGTCGCTGCAAGACCAGACAGATCACCAAAGTTTCCATAGAGAAAGGGGATCAATTTCTGGTTCTCTCCAGCTTCATCAAAGCTGTATTGTATAAAACGTGTTAGGTAGGTGCTGGCAAGAGCCGCATCGCTTGCACATACGTTTTCCCCATGGCGTCCACTGTAAACCCTAATAACACACTCGGTACTCTCCAAGTGGGGGGCTCCATCATGGTATTTTTGTTTGGAATAGAGACCTTGCAGACCTATTACTACTTCAAAAGATATCCGAATGATCGCCTTTGGTTAAAGCTGCTGGTGAGCACTTCGATAGATACCGTTCATCAGCCTTATCCGCTGCTGCTCTTAATCAGGTGGTCTGGATTTGGTGAGTAGCCTCTTTCAGATCTATCTGCCTGCTAATGGCTGCATGCGCAGGATGGAAGAAATTGGTCACACGGTCTCTGTTTTAAGTGGAATGTATCTCCTTACCGTGACCGAATTTGGACAACATGACGCGCTCGCCGTGACGACCATGCCGATTGGCTACGCGTGGTCAATTGTATTCAGCGGCTCAGTCGGATTTATCGTGGAGGTAAACGTCTTCTCAATCACCCCCCGGATTTTTCTGAGTCTTCACGTTAAAATCCAGGCCTTCTTTGCGCACCGTTTGTATGTGTTGTCGAAACAGTTATACCTCCCAGTAACCGCCTGGGGTCTTGCATCATTCCGATTGGCAGGGAGCATGGTCGCGTCGTCCAAGGTGTTTGGAAACATATCTCTAGAAGTTTTCTCTAGAGAATGGAGGGGCTTAATCACCGCCTGCTTTGCTGCGGGTGCAGGAGCCGACATCATCGTTGCAGGAGGTCAATGTTATTATATTTACCGTGAAAAACGTATCGCGATTGGGCGGTAAGTCATCGACCAACGACCCTTCAATTATAAGCTCACCGGTTATAGGACACTAAAGCTACTTGACCGCCTCTTGGCATATACTGTTGGTGAGTGAAAAACTGGAAGTCCTTTCTTCCAAAGATTGATCATCGTCTTGCAGAAACTGGCTTAGTCCTAAGGTACAGTGGTATGTCAGTAATAATGGACCCGCTCTCACCATCAATTCTAAGCATGAGTGCGGTTGTGATTCTCGTTGTGTGGGCTACGACTTCACATAGCTGTAAGAACCTCATCCCTGTATTTTACTTCGGATTCTGCTGATGCAGCCAGTCTGGTGGTTCGGAATCTATTTATATTATACGGAGGGTAAGCCATGGTTCGATTCGTCGTAATTCCGCGATCGCTCATCCCTGTACCTTAGTTTTTGCAAATTGCTTGATGGCATCGTGAGTAATTCAGCACTGGCGATAGCATGGGGACTCTAAATGTTATGTAGCCTGAATACTCGACGGGTCCAAGAGGATTCTGTGGGCGAGAAGGTCATCAATCTGTCGCACAATCTCCACATCCGCAGTGCAGACAGTGCCTATACAGCTAGCGTAAGTGATGGATTTCTTCATAGCCCTGGCGACATTACTCATCCAACACTAGCGCAACCAGAATTTCATGAGACACCCCCCAAAGTCCGGATTTGATGCGGACATCGAACTAGCACCCGCAGTTGCTTCCAACGGTTCTAATACACGTGATCCATTCCAAGGACAGGCGGTATGTCTCCCCTCATATTTGTCTAGTAGAGCTGGTTCTAATTATGAGATCAGATGGATCATCCAAATATCGCCATTTCGGTCTCTCAAGACGTTTGCATTAAACACGATAGGTCGGTAGATTTGGAGTCTCAGGTGTAGCAGTCATGTCGACAATGGGCTTTGTATTTCTTATATCACTAACGTGTACATTCTTTTTTATCCAATGCGAGATGGATTTCTGTAACTTGGTGATTTTTTCGCTGAGCGGTGCCTTGTTACTTTGTCGATATTTTACTCCGCTCCCACTTCTGCCCTCTCTAAGAGCTGTCCTGTATTTATCTCGGACGCTTCAATGCTTCCTTCGCTATTGTTCATCCAGCCTTACTCTATTGTTTGGGCGGCTGTCACGACACTGCCAGTATGGTGATCCCGCTGTCTCTCTGCTCGTGTACTTCTGGCACATCCTCCTGCATCCCCCGAAGATCAAAGCAAGTCAAAACCTTCGCCCGACTTATGGATCTTTCGGTGGCTGGGAAGACCGATATTTCGAGGAACGACTGTTTTGTCGGTTTAATTAGGGAGACCTGAGGAGGCGACATAATCACCGCGATTTTCATTTCACTTATGTATATTGATCGTCGTCTCTATGTAGTTCACATCCACGCGCATATACCAGATTTAAAGCCAGCAGAAAAGGCACGAAGAATTCAAATTAAGACTTTAAGATGGTCTCCAATACATTTGTGATACTATTTTATCCGACAGTTTAGTAGTGACAGCTCGTACATTGGTGGGGGGGGGGTATGGTGAGTAATGAGTCGCGGGCCTTCGGGGACGATCTGAATAAACAAGTATATCTCAGTCTCTTGAAAGAAGCTCTGGTAACGAGCTATGTACCTAATAAACAAGTACACTAGGGACTCGTCAGTTTTCTTCTAATCGATATGTCGAGACTATTAACTCACATCTCAGTCTCTTGAAAGAAGCTGAGATGCGTTCGTGCTACTGGTGGCGTTCTTATAGTAAGCTATGTAGAAACGAAAAATATATCAAACGAATAAGTAACATATTGCAGGGCACGAGCCGACGTCAACACGTCACTCGTCAATGTCCTTTTGGGCTCGGACCTATCATTCTCTCTCCTCAAATATCTCGGATCGTTCGGAGTCTAACAGGGGGGGATGGCAGCTACCGCTGGCTTCGCCGCGCAATCTTTAAAAGCAAGTTTGTCTCCCCATGTTGCGTTCTGAGGACTGAGTACTGAGAGCTAATGAGAACGCAGGCACCTGCCGGGTCATTTCTTGTAAGAAAATAAATACATATATAGATTCAACATAAGAATTTGGGGGGCTAATAATACTATGAAAATGTTTTTGAAGACATATCTAGCGAGGACAATCTGCGTAGACATCAGGGATCTCATGTGACCCGATAATTACGAGAATTCTATACTACAACAAAGATATTGCGGTTGATCATGAGCTTCACTGCCAATAAGAAAACAAACCCTAGAATATTGAAGATAGCAGTAAACACAATCATTCCCGAGTACGCCCCATGCTGTCTTGCGTAAATGGCGCCTCCAATAGGACTTCCAATCAAGGATCTGTTGGATAGTAAGTAAGCTTTCATCAAAAACCATGATGCAATGAAACCTACGGGATAGACATAAAAGCGTATGACATCCCAACCCGTGTACCGATATTTTCCGGCGGCGAGATTTGCGCTGTAACAGCGACATCCAATCCCATGGTCGCACCTGCAAACACGCCATATAGCACAGCAAATGCTGCTAGGGTTGCTGCATCATGCGCAAATAACCAGAGGGTGATACATGAACTACCTGCCAGCAGAGCAGAGGGGATCATGAGGTTTAATCTGCCGAGTTTATCCGCAAACCATCCGGGTACAATGCGACCAACGGTGTTGGCGGCATTCATGATGGATAGCAGATCAAACCCCGCATTTTCGGACAAACCCTGTGCTTGTGCATATTGGACGATATAAGTGGAAGGAATAAACAGACCTGTGCATCAACGGTAACAGATGCGTGTTAGCATTCATCACCAGGCATTGCCCTATGGTGCTCACCGAGGCATATTAGAGCATATGCGAGGCACACCAGCACATATTTCGCATCGCGGAATGACTGGGTATCTATCCATGGCGTGTTTTTGTTTCGGGGCAAAGGACTCGAAATTGTGAGCGTTGCGATGATGCAGCACGCAAGTGCAAGAAAACCCTGTATTCGAACCGCCCATGCAAACCCGACGGAGTTGAGAAGGCGTTGGAGCAACAGAGGAAACACCGCTCCGCCTTCGATATTGATCAGAGAACATCCATGGGCACAAATCAAGGGTACTTGCCGGCACCAGAGCCACTTAGCACGATACCACTAGATGTTCCTGCGAAATGGCGGAAGCGAGTGGTTGATGCGGCAATACACGGGTTATACCTATATTCCATGATGAGAAATTTCCACAACAATGAAAGCAAATCAGGGGTAATTCACACTAATCCAGCCCCTAACCCGAGAAGAAATCCTTGAGCAATCATAAACTGGTAGTATCGAGTTGCTAATGATGTCATCATCAAACTGAGCGTGTATATAAGCGTCCCAGATGCGAGCAATAGGGTGGGTCCATAAGCATCGAATAGGCGACCAATAAGGCCTCCCTGTAATGACAAGATATGTGAGGACTTCTATTTACAAATGGTTGTGTACCGACCGAGAACATCATGACCCAAAGTTGAAGCCCGCCAATCCAAGAGATTTCGGACGGTGAATAAGAGGATAATTGATGCCCGGCGTACCATGCTTGATAAGTTCCGAATGAACTCACTTGCCCCATGGTTGCGAAACTTCCTACGAAGCCACCAAAGAGTGTGAGGCATCCTAGGAATCCACCTTCAGCCCACAGACTCGTAGGAATAGGTGAAGTATCATGGTCCGCTTCTGTCCGAGCCACGAGACTGGCGTCTTTCGACTGTAGGTCCTGGTAGGACCCAGAGGACGATGTATCACCACAGGGTGCAGGTGCAGGCTGGCTGGCGGCTTTCGACTCTATGCCCTGGTGGGAGTCTAGGGACGACGTATAATCACAGGTTGCATGTGCTGGCTGGTAGACCATCGTGTTTGGCTACTAGGAAGTGAATGGGTGATTAGTTCTTTGTTTTCGGAAGAAAATCGTAGCATGAATGTACATATGGATGCCTCTCAGATATCGGATCGGCGAGAGCGAGGATCACTTGCCTCGTATCTCAGTATGGTGTTGAAAAGCGGTACACACTAGATCAATCTTGTAACTTGACTGATTGACTAGAATAACCATGCCTGCCGCCGTTCACCATCGCCGTGAGAGTTCGTTGTGGGACCATGATGCATAATAATAGCTTTCTCAAGCGGAAAATGGAGATCGGAGAATAACCTAGAATAAGTTGATAAGTATACCTCACTGCATCGTTTCGCAGATCATTGCACCACACGAGAAGTGCAGTCAAAGGCGCAGTGTTATGGAAACCCAACTCGAAGTAGACAACAACCCGTTGATGGAGCCCAGGGTACCAGTCCCTTGAAGAACACCGATTTCGCTGCGTCATTAGGGACGTTCAACGTTGAACGCTGAGTGCTTGAGTTTTCGACGCCGTTTTCGACAGCGGGTGCGTCGGACTCCAAAATTCGGTACAAGCCGATGCTCAATTCTAAAATGTCGTTGTCGTTTGCAAGTCGCAAGGGAGCCAAATTCACGCTAAGCGTTGCTAACCCTGTCCCCTCAATCCTAAACCTTACGGCACGCAGCGACAACGATCAATCAGTTTTGTACACGCAGTCGAAATGCATCGTTTTCGCCCCGCCGCCATATGGAAAACTACACGTGTGCATGTCATGTGATCAGTTAGTAGTACTTTAAGCACAAAAGACGTCCGATTTTCGTATTTGGTCAGTGAAACCTCATTACTACATGTCGGATCGCACAAAAAGCCCATTATAGTGACACGAAAGTGCATGAAGGTTTGTAAGTATGAGAGATATAATTTAAATTTGTCTTAACCTTGCTGACTGCATTAACTATGTTAACTACGCGGCTCGGACTCCGGAGTCTAAGGCTCTCGAACTTCTCGAAGCCATATGCTTGAGCTTGATGCGGCGGCCAGCAGGTGATGTTATTAATTGATGCGGCACACACGGTGACCACGACCGCAATCCCCTTTTGATCACAACTAACCATCAGATCATCGTCAAGTACTGATTTTGCAGCTGTGCCACGCACGATCACCGCGGCGGAGTACATACAGGCTCACTGAGTCTGAGATTAAAGCGCCTCAAAGCCTTTACTACTCGGCTACCACGAGCTTCTTAATAGATAGTGCCTGGGCACTTTGGTTGGTAGTCCGACAGGCAATCTAAGTATTCACGGAGACCGGTTTTGTGGCAGTGTGTGGGAGACGCGTATTATGAGAACGGGTGGAGACTCTTTAGAAACCGTGTTAAGTTCCGGCATTATTATCTGGACTGCCACTGATCAACCATTTGACATTGTCAAATGGCCTCCACTTCATCTGCATGTCTCCGTGGTCTTTCCCGTCGTGTGCGAGCTACTCCGAGATTATTAACGAAAAAACCATTGCAGGCCGCCACCTACTCGCTTTTGAGGCCTCAACAGCCAGCCCAACGCTTGTGGGTGCCGAACAAGCGGGTCAATCAAACAGTGGTTCATCAATAGAAAAACAACTAACAAGTAGAACTCAATCAGGTTCTTGCTACCAGAGGGTTGAAGACGCTCGACTTCGCTGGCTCGAAAGAAGTCGTGTACGAGCGCAGTGATTGGCCTCTGGCTAAACTTCAGCACTACTTCAAAAACGACACGCTCGCCCTCATTGGCTATGGTTCACAAGGACATGGTCAAGGCTTGAATGCTCGTGACAACGGTCTTGATGTGATCATTGGTGTCCGCAAGGACGGAGAAAGTTGGAGACAGGCAGTGGAGGATGGATGGGTTGGTCGCTTTTAAACGTTCACGCTGTCAATTTTTGACGGTTATGCCGTTATCTAGGTACCCGGAGAATCACTCTTTTCCATTGAGGAAGCGATTGGCAGGGGCACAATCATCATGAATTTACTCTCAGATGCAGCACAGTCATCAACGTGGTCCCAGATCTCGCCTCTGCTCACGAAGGGCAAAACGCTCTACTTCTCGCATGGGTTTTCAGTTGTGTACAAAGACGATACCAAGGTGATTCCTCCACAGGATGTCGACGTTATCCTAGTGGCACCCAAAGGGTCTGGTCGCACTGTCCGAACCCTGTTCAAGGAGGGCCGAGGCATCAACTCCAGTGTCGCCGTTTTTCAAGACATAACTGGCAAAGCGATGGAGAAGGCTGTTGCTATAGGTGTCGCTATTGGCTCTGGCTACATGTACGAGACAACCTTTGAGAAAGAGGTGTTCTCTGATCTCACTGGTGAACGTGGTGTGGTATGTAAACCGTTATCAATTGTGGGAATACGCTGAGCTTGAGTCCCTTGGCTAGCTCGCAGCTGCAATCCGTCAGTTCATTGTTGACATGTCATTAATTTGAACCTGACGATTCACAGAGGGCTTATTCTGCGCACAATACAAGGTGCTCCGTGCTAACGGCCACTCACCTTCAGAAGCATTCAATGAAACCGTTGAGGAAGCTACCCAATCTCTCTATCCTCTGATCGGACAAAAGGGGTAAGTCTCCCTTTAATTTAAAATTCACAAGTTGGTGATCTGTGACTATCTACAGCATGGATTACATGTTCAACGCCTGCTCCACCACTGCCCGACGAGGGGCCCTTGACTGGGCGCCGGTCTTTGAGAAAACAAATCGTCCGGTTTTCGAGAAGCTTTATGAAAGCGTAAAGAATGGCACGGAGACGCGCAGGGCACTCGAATTTAACGGGCGTGCCACTTACCGGGAAGACTTGGCCAAAGAGCTGAAAGAGATTGACGAGCAGGAAATCTGGAGAGTCGGAAAGGTCGTCCGTTCGTTGCGGCCCGACTACAACCAGACTGTTGAGCGGTATTAAAACACAGTCCTGCTGTTTAGCGTCGTACAATGCGCACTTATGTCTGGCAGTCGATCCCAAATTACACACGACAGAAGTGATTCTGTCGGATCCACGTGAGAGCACCGAGGCCTTGAGTACTTCCAGAAAGCACGGACTCGTACGCAGGGAAACCCCAAGCTTTGATACAAGGGACAACTATCTTCCTTCGATGGTAGTCTAGTCACTCTATTGCCTAGGGAGCCTGCAGGGAAACCCCTCGACTGCGGGATTGGTAAATCATTTGACTGACGATTTATTACGCTTACCTACAAACCCACCAGAACTAGGCCCAGCCAGGCCTGGGACATTGCTACAGCAAGTCATAGTACGGAGAGACGTGAAGGGTAACTTGACTATCTGTTCCTATGAGCCTACCTACCACCGGCATTGTAATTCTTACCAAAAGGTACTTTAGATCTGTAAGCCATAATATGGTGCAGACGCGCATGGATAGTTCGTACTCCATGGCGAAATTCTGGCATTGAGGATACCTGTGCGTCGCAATGCTGACTTCAAGTGTGGAACATCTCATGGAATTTATAAAACTTCTGGCAAAAATGATGTAGCATCTTGTAGTATTACAACTTGCAAAACCTTCCCGGGGCGATGTTATTTGAAGTCGACATATGGGCAGCACTTTAAAAATTCCATGTTTTACTACATCATCTGGTCAGAGCTCCCATTTCCTGATGTCTTTTTCAGGTCTTCATGCCAAAATCTCATGCCCTTCCAGATCGCGTTGCTCTCCCACAGCGTTGCAGATTGAAGATCATCGCGATCTGTAGCACGTTTGTTCGTCCGTATAAGTTGGTCTATGTGATATGTCACCATTTCGCTTCTGGAGTCAACCACTTCGCCAAGATGCGTAGGAGAGCTGGAGCATCCCACTCGGCTGCCTCGGTGTGTGACATGCAATCTGGTTCCCCTACCCCCGTGGTGTCCACTGCTACTGGTTTCTGGCACCGCTGATCTGCCTGGAGTGTGTGTAGCTGGATGTACACCCTGTGAAACCATGCGAATGAGCGCGCAATTTGAAGACGCTGGCCCCGCAGAGCCTTCACTACCCTCCCTGCTCCCGACTTTGAGAGTCGCATTTACTGATCCCAAACGTAAAAGAGGAAAGCGGCAATGGTTCCTGGGCGGAAATTGGAGTCGAGTGAAGTCAATGGCGGGCACAGGAGGGGAGTCATTAAGACACGTAATAAGTCTAGTACCATCCGCGGTGAGAGTATATGCAGGGGTACATTCATGGGTGCAATTGGGTTTCTTATTCCCCTGATCGTTTTGTGGAGAACCGTGGAATGATGAGACCTGGGATTCATTTTTCGGCATAGCTTTGAATGAGGGAGTAAGGTAACGGGGAACGGATGGTGTGTGGCTATCGGAGGGAGTATTTGCGAAGCATATGTCTGGTGTGACGACACGAGGCGTTCTATGGTTATGGTTATGTTTGACAACTGTGGAGTCATGTTCTTCTGTGATTGCAATGCCGGATAAAATTTCCGCTGATGGGGATGGTAGCTTCAAGGAGAGCATCCGACGTTTACGTGGACGTCGCGGAAGGCTATCTCCTAATTCACCGTTGGGGTAGGCAATGCTGTCTCTCTGGCGCTTTCGTTTCTGGAGGGCGTTCGGCGGGATGCAGAAAGGTGTTGGTGGTTGACTCCGTGGCACCAAGGGTTGAGGTACCCGTTGTAGATATCGAGGAGAAACTACTGGAGTGAACTTGTGATCTTGGAATCCCATATGACTGAAAGGTGACCCAGCATCAAAGCCATCTGTGGGGGAAGGTAAATAAATTTCCGAGATACAGTATGGTGTGGTCGTGGAGGGAGGGACTCGTAATGTGCCATGACAAGTAGAGCGAAGGGTCAAGAACACAGCATGAGACATGATCGTACCATCAAGTATATATTGCGCGACCGGAACACGAAACGAATTCGCGACGCAGTGCAAAATCCAACCCATATGTATCACCTAGTATATGGAGGCCGCTGAGGAAGGGAAATCTGAGGTTAAAAAGTAGCTCACCACTACTGATCTTCTGCAAAGTATACTGGTCCACTCGTCTTCACGACTGGCGGCAAAAAAGTAAGACGCGACAGCACCAGTTTCTCCAGAATGTATTCTTCCTCCGTGAGCCACTGTCCGATAGCAGATATAGCAGTTAGCCACAACGTTCAATGGTATCACCTAGGTCGAGTCGTGACATGTTCAGAACTTACACCATGTGTGGATGGTTTCCTTCGGCACGCGCTTGCTGAAACACGCTGATAAAGGGGTTAGATGTACAAAAATCCACCAGCCATGGCGTCGGAATATTGAACACACCTTCCTTATTGAAAAACATGATGCCAGAGGAAAGAGATGTATGCGTCCTTTAATGCGTCCCGATATAACCCCTGAGGCGTGACCTCGGCGCGGAGTCTGAAAACTTACTTTTCTGCAGCCGTCAGGCTCAAATCTCAATTTCAAGCTTCAAGCTTTAAGGTTTATTTATGAGTGACCTCCAGAACATCGCTAACATGTGCTAAGGTAGTGTTAGGAATGTTGTAGTAGACCAAGGTCTGGGTGTGTGATGTTTACCAGAAACTAGACAGTCAGATAATGGCATAACGTCGTCACGAATTCTGGTAGCAGCTCTAGCACGATGCACGATGCCCAACTCACTCTATCACACAGCGTCGACTCGCATGTCACTCTTAACAAGATGGGGTGGGCATCTGAACACCGGTCATAAATTGGCGTTTGTTACCCTTAAATGGCTTCTCCGATAGACCGCTGGATGGGCAAAAAAGAGAGAAATGCATCAACTGGTTTTTGGTCGGTCGGGCAATTGAAAAGTCAAGTACAGGTCAATATGGAAATCGTACTGTGTTCAAGGAACTTACGGTCCGAGTTGTTCACGAGAAAACGTCAGTGGTGCCCGTCACGGGCTAAATGAATGGATGCACGCATACTAAACGAGTGTTCTTAGACCCAATTACGACCTGTTCTCGAAGTGTAAGCCCTTGTTGGTGACATTTTTTTTGACTCTGTTTATGCGTAGATACACACCAATAGTAGTTAGTCGATGCGGTGATTTAGATGCGGTGATTTACGAAAACACGACGAGCGCAATAAAAATAGCATCAATGTAAACATTTGAATTAGATATAGTTCCTCTAAGCAGAGGCGAAAGAGATAGTACCCGAAAAACGTTTCAGTTATTGGGCGTGCGCATCGCGAGGCTGGTAGCGACGAGCAAGTCGAGCATGGACTTCCCTGACTATTGAAAAAATGATCACATAGACTAGGGATCACAAGATGGAGACGTACGGGTTGAACCACGAGAACGCCATCCTTCGTCACCGACATGGACGTAATACGATATGTTGCTATGAGGGCATCCTCTGCATCTAAACACTGGCAGGAACTACGTGATAAATACCCTCATATCCCCTGCCCCTGTACGCACCTCCATCACAGCACTAAACAGCCGTGCAGTTGTCTGCCAGCGATACTCCTTCTGATCAGGACCCTTGAAGAAAACCGTTCCGTCGAAAGCTCCCAGCTTCCTCTCCATCTTGACTGTCCGTCTGACAGCCGTCATGGACAAAGTAGTAGGCCCATGGTTGACTTCATCCATTAGTGGTGGTCCATTGTACGAAGACTGAGCCCGACAAAGCAGAGGGCCATCTGGGCCATCAGCGTGCAGATCAAAAGTCCAATGCAACGAACTCCGAGTGTTTTGCATAAAATATCTGTTACAGCGATAGAGAATGAACATACGAAGCAATCGAACATCCCGAGAACTCACAAAGTGGTTGTCTTGTCTTCCCCCTTGATAATCTTGCGATTGCCAAACACACTCCCGAAGTTGTAGATGTGCAGCGTAGTCGGTCGTTCCTTAGATGGGTCGAGCATGTGCAATCGCCCGAGCCTGAAAAAGGATCGTCGAGGTAAGGTGAGAACAAGATGTTCGCTATGCACTCCTCTTCCCGAGTGTATTCAACAGAGCGTGCTTGTTCTGGTATAACAGAGTCTTTTATGCAACAAGGGCAGGACATCGCGGGGCATGGATTTAGAGATCTGAAGGCTTCTATTTCCAGAAAGTTGACTGCATCCGATTATCGCGCCAAAGAGCTATTTAGGGACTTCTCGAGGGCAAGTGGCATGTGGAGAGCTCGGTAAACAGATTTGAAGACGCAATGGGAGACAACAACGCTTACCGTTTTCAGCATGACGCAAGTTCCAAAGTTCTACACGTAGAGACTTGCTGCCAAATGAGTGCGAGATACGCAGTTCCCCGAGTACCTGGATGGCGAGCACCATAACGGTCCAAGAGCAGCTCAAAGAAGCCTATCAATCACCGAGCGCACCGAAAAGTTACTAGTCCAAACCTGCCGGTCAGTGCCAGCGATGTGGCCACGAATGGCTGAGGGAGCAGAACGGGTCCAGCATCAAGCTTCCCCGTGAGAGCGGTGATATCCAGGTGAAATGAACTCAACAGCGTCCGACAGGAGCCAGAAGCTCCTTAGCACGAGGAACAAAACCAGCGCCCACCAAAACCATCTACTTAGCCCGAGGGCTGGAATCAACGCCCACTGAAGCCACCTCTGTAGCACGACAAAATGAAACCGGCGCTCAGCAAAACCACACTCAAAGAGATGCAAGATGCGAATGTCTTATGCTCGAAACTAACCTTACGTAGTGCCAACCGCCATCGAAGAACATCTGTTCTAGCTGGGAACCAGGAACCACCGAGTGCCAAAAAATAGGTAGTACTGGGTCGAGAGCTGGAGATAAAGAAATATTGTCCTCACCCTTATTCTTCTAGTAACACGCACTCAGCCTTCCAGCACTGACCGCGAGAATGGTTCCAGGGTTGCACACATGAGATAGTACTAAAAAGTAAGACCAGTAGAAGTGGCCACCGGCTGCAGCTGAGTAGGTATGTAATTGAATGATACCCAGTGTTTTGCGTTGTAAGACTGTATGGTGATAAGTGATCGATCCTCTGAATCGCAGCAAAAGGGATGGTTCGGGATCGGAATCACTGTAGGCTTTAGATCAGGCGTTCGCTACTAAGGCTTTGACGACACGCGTAGGCATTGCACACACCAAAGTTAGGCGGAGCATGGTGTTCTAGACTTATCAGAGGGCGCGCTCCTTCCAGGTGAGGGCCCATCAAGGCTTCCTTTGGAGATCGTCTGGAGATGAAAAGATTTCCAGTTTGCCGCCAAGTTGTATTCTCGGTTGCCAGAAGGGTCTAAGGGAAGATGGGCCAGTAATTCCACAATGACGAACCAAAGCCTTCGAATCTAGTACTCAGGAGCATAATACACGCATTGCAGCATGGTCGTCTGCCGAAAACGTAACTTGAAAGGCGGGCGTCAAAGCGAATACGTCCAATGTATACCCAGCACACGGATCCTGCCGTCACACAAAGTTATTTTCTAGCGCATTGCCAGCGCATGCGATCTTCTACTTAGCTTCTTCCGAGTCTACGTTCTCCTCGTAAGCGAAGTTCATGAAGGCCTGCATTCTTGACGCAGGTAGTTAAAGGCCCATCGGTAAAGATTTATGCGAAACTGAGCTACCATATCGGAATGGTGAAGATCGTTGGCTGCGTCCAGGACATTACAATTGAGGCGGTTTCCCTTCACGAGGTTTGGGGCGCAAGTACAAAGTGGCAGTACACTTATCCTAGCCTCTTTGGGAGCCTACCGTTATAGTATCCACAGATAACACGAGATGATCAAACTACCCTCAGGAGTTTCCCCGCTTCTTCCGATCTCGAAATTTACGACACGCGCAGATCTATGTACATTGCACATACGTTTACTAGTGTCCAATCACCAGCCGCGTCGCCGACCACCTTTTCCCCACTTTTCAATAAGGAAAAGAGCCATGTACTCGTAAACCTCTCTATTCGCACCTCTGCGACTGATTGAGTGATCACTACTGAATAGTCAGCGTTGTATCACGTGGAAAGCAGTCCATTGGCGAACCTGTCTGTGAACATCCTGAAGCGGAAGTTTCTGACCTGGGCTTCTGTGAACATATCCAACAAGTGAGCCGTGTTTGCGTAGTGGACATTGTCATCTCCGCTGCCATGCGCGAGGAGGTAGTCTATGTTCTTGAAGCCCTCTACATGTGAAATGGAGGCGTTGATATAGCCTCCAGGATTATCGTCAGGTAAGCTCATGTACCGTTCTGTATAAATGGAATCATATAGTCTCCAACTGGTCACAGGCTAAACACGCCAGTGAGCGCAGCGACTTCGTCAGTAAAGAGATATACATACAGCGACGGCCATGGCCAAAGTATGGATCCCAGCACTTGCTTCCGCAACCTTGGAGGCCATGAACCCACCATACGACTGCAGCAGTCAATTAATACATTGGCTACAGAATCCAGAAACTTGGCTCACCCATCCCCAAATTCCGATACGTTTCGGGTCAACATATTCTTTCCCAGCCCAGATGCTGCCAAATTGTTAATATCACATGTCACCATAAAATCAGGCATTCCGTACCGTGCGGCATTGATCTGGTCCTGGGTCTCCCAGAAGCCAAGATTATTCCTTACCGGGTTGCGCAATTGCCGCCCCTTGAACCCAGTCCCTCGACCATCTACGACGACAACGATATACTGGAGTGTGCAAACGAGATAGTCATGCCAGTCTCGTTTGTACTCGACATTGACCTGCTGACTCTCTGGCCCACCGTATCTGAATATACAAGAAATAAGTGGGGTGGGTTTCAAAAGGTGTGTACTAACACGAAGAATAAGACTGGGTACTTCGTCCGCCCTGAGTCATCCATGCGCGGAGGGCGCATTTCCTTCACATTCAGTTCTGAGAAGGTGTATAAAGTTTCATCGCGAGAAGAACGCATCAGATGAACTTACCAAAGCCATCACTTTCTATAGTTGAATACGTGACGCTGGCAGTTTCAAATTCAGCCAGTGTGGTATTTAATGCAGAGTTGTCCGTTAGGACATAATCGAAATCTGGAGCTAAGGTGTAAGCACTAGTTCCAGTAAATAGAGATGAAATTACCATTGTTGCCGACCTCGACAATTCGCTGCCATGGTACACCTGGTCCGTTGTAATTAAGAAGATAAAATCCTGCTTCAGATGAAAAGCTAGCACTGTATGAAGAGGATATTGATTCATCTGTGAGCGAGACCGGCTCTACAGATCCTGAATTTAATGTTGAAATTGGGATTGAATAGATGTGACGTTGAGTTGATGACCGTGCGGCTTGGAAATATCTGTAGGCGGTATATGGGCGCAATGAGTCATGAAGTTCCGACGGGAATTAAAAATAAAATATTCACTTACATCAATCCTCTTTGTGTATCCACTGCTTTGATGCCTCCCGTGACTTCCCATGGCCCGGAAGTGAGAAAGCGTGGAGTCTTACTCTCAGCGGGATCGAATAAAGCAATATGGTTGTAGCCGTCGATTGGTACAATATCTAGATATGCAGGTGAATCCCCCGAACGCAGGGTGTCTGGAAGAGGGACAATATTTTGGGCCTGTAATGGTTTTCAGTAAGAAATGACCACGAAATGATGCAAGCCACCTACACTTTGAATCCAGCCCTCATCACCTTCCTCACCATCACTGCCAAGCCTTCGGACTACCGTTCCGAAGGTCTCTGTACCTCCCGTGTTTGTTAAATCAAAGTACACAACACTACCATTATCTGCAGCGCGAGTAACCTCCTTGACAATGAGCGTCGATTGGCCAACCCAAGTCAAATCCATGATGACACTGTTAGCTACGGGGAAGCGACCTTCCCAAGTGAGGTCAGAAATATATATCTCGGCAGAGTCAGAAGATGTTTCAGATCGTTCTAGATACTGTGCGACGTCGAAAACATGCACAGAAGCAAGAGGGTTATTGTAGCCTGGTTTGGGGTATTTGATGACAACATCTTCGGTATATGGAATCACAGCATAAGAATCATCTGTGGGATTGTAGATTGGGAACCGAAATTCGTCGACTTCAGTCTCATCGAGGCGGAGAAAAGCAATCTTGCTGGAGTCGGGAGACCACCACAGGGTGTAATCGCCTGAGAAAACCTCTTCCTCGTAGATCCAATCGGGCACACCATTGAACAAGGACGTATTTCCCGAGCTAGTGACACGAATGGGAGAAGCGGAAGCACTGTTGGAGAAGCTATCAGAAGGCTTTATTGTATGAGCATCGAAATGGCGCATACGACGGAGATGGCAGAACGTATATGTCATTGGCAGCAACGAACGCGATAGACTGCCCGGTTGGGGACCAGGTAGCATAAGAAATGACTGGGGGATGAGTGGGTGGCACTAATGGGTATGTTACTTTAGTCTCCAGGTTATGCACGTAGTAATTGCCAAAACTCGAGTGACGCCATTGCTAGAGGTTACAGATCAGCATTTGAGGACTGTACATGGAAGGTATTGACCTTCAGATGGTCGGTCTTCACAAGTATATACGTCATGTCCGGCGAAAGCTTCCAATCTGTCCAGTGAATAATATTCCCCTCATCCTGGGAAGCTCTTAGCCTGGTGCACGATAAATCTAGAAATGGGAGCTCACGTCCTTGATGTCTATCGCGGAGACAAGTTCACTCGTTTTGTTGTTTCTTAGGTCAACAAGCTGAATTTGTCCATTCTGAAAGATAGAGAACACCCCATCGCCGGCTACGAAATATGTTCATGAGGGCAAAAGTTACACGGTGTCGCAACTGACCTTCACGAACCCAGTCCACACCCTCCCGAGAGGCACTAAATGTTCGATTGAATATATGGTCCAAGGATATTTTCCTGGCACCTGGTAGTCGATAGGTCTGACCGTTATACAGAGATGTCGCAGCGAACAGTCCAATGGAGGCGGAAAGGAAAACTAGTGATGCTAGGGAGATAATCAGGTACTTGAGGCTAGCGGGCCTCTTCGATACCGACGTAAGTAAAGAGATGAGAGCAATGGAATGAAAGCTACGACTGACTCGGTTTCCTCCTACTAGCAAGCCGTTGCCCGGCTCCGTGTCACCGAAGACATTCCGGTCGTTTAAAAGAGTAAAATTGACCTGCTTCTCAATGAGACCCTCGCCTTCGTCAGAGGAAGGCGCATCGAAGGAGCCTTCTCCGTAGTACACAGAAGGTCTAATGGCCAGGTCCGGGTGTACTGCGGTAATCCTCGAGAGGGAGACCGGAAGATGAGTGTCGTTGTTTTGGAAGTCCTCATCATCACCTCCATTGACATGCTCATAAGACATTGCCACACGCCAAACAGAGTCGAATTCGTGGCAGGCAACGACTATCAACTCTCGTGGAACTTCAACTACTTCGTACCAAGTCAACCGATTAAAGCAGGTCTTTCAATTACATAAGCACCCATACCCGTTCACATTTTGACTACTAAGTTCGACCACTGAGTTTAGCAATTAATCGAGGCTCAAACTTGAATCTACTGTGCAAGCTATGGTAGCGCAGTCTCGGGCATCGAACGCTAGCTGGGACCCGATTCTCCTTATATCTCAGGCATGTTCTATTCTGTCTGTATTTGCTCTCAATCGGTTGAGCGTCCACCTCAGATCGTTTCAATGCAAACTCTCCATTATATAACTCTCTCCGTCCTCATCCCCCCATTATTATCCATTTTTGCGGAGCCCAGCGCACTCGTCTTCGAAGGAGGGGCAACTAATGTTGGTGCGTTTCATATACTGCTGAGTCATAAGATTGAGAATGAGATCGCACTAGGGATGATCATGGATTGGCGAGAAATGGCTGGCCGTCCAACAGTGCGTGGAATGCACGGCGAAGATAGGTGGAACGCTTACTATGGCGCCTGGAGTGGTGGTAAACAACTCGGTTCCGGGTGGGAGGAAGGCAGATGGGATGGCTGGACCGACCCTATGCGAGGCTGGGTAATAGCATTCTCATGGATGATCGCATCCTTTGCAGAGTATGTGATGCACAGTCCAGGAGGTCACAATAATCTAACCATACTCAGCATATACTACTTATGTATTCTCATTCGACGGCCGCGCCTCATCTTGGATTTTGCGCTAACCCTCGCCTTCAGCCACCTCGTGCTCACGACTTATTACTCAGCTTCGATACCCACCTCTCTGTTCTTCTGGCTCGTTATTTTCGCATGGTCAGCAACGACAGTAATAATTGCAGAGCAACTCTGTGTAAAGAGAGAGATGACCGAAGGACTGGTCATTTCTCCTCCGAGGGATGACGTGGACGACATGGAGATGGGAGAATTGCTACGTAGAGATTAAGTGCGTCCTCGTGTGTCTTGTGGCTCAGTTTCTGCTACTGGTTTTCATGAAACCCCTTTGCATATGCAATAGCAATGTCCAGCACTATCGAGATCCTGCCAAGGTTTTGGTGGCGTAGAAGTCCCATCAACTGGTTCAATGCTTAGCCTTCTGCAGAACTCATTACCGCTTAGGTGAGCTAAACTGACGGCAATTTGAAGCATTTGACGAGATATCTAACCGCCGCAACTCGCAAGATTGATTGGGGGTTTGAGGTCAGTTGTTAGGCTTGTGACTTTGAATTTTACACCGCCGCCGACGGTTCTCTTGTTTGAATTTCTCAAGTTCGTGTGGCCCTGCTCTTCATCCCGTTCCGGTCACCGGAGCATGAGGTCCGTATGTTGGTAAGCAATCGTTATGAAGGTCAACATGGCCCTCCGCACAGTCTGCCTGTTTGTTTTTTTTCATTTCCGCTGGGTGCGGCCCGCCCGGGAACCTTCGTTTGATTGTTGCGCCACATACACAGCAGTCGGTTGTATTTTATTCCACGTCCCAGCATGTTTTGCAAGTGATCATAGAGTCTGCTAAGTGATAGCCGCGGACATGGTGTCACTACCTTCCTTGTTTGAAGCAAGAGAGTAATATGACTGCCCACTCCAAGACGCTAGACTTATTTTGCCATTTGGCTTTGGAGCTATTGATGTGGCGGCCTCACAGGTCATGAGCTTCCAACCTTAGTGAACCTGCATGCATTCGCGTGTCGCCACGCAATTGCTCGTGGAGATGCTGTAAGCGCATAAGTCCTTCAATTTTGCCTCTTTGGTTGAGCAGCTGTTCGAAATTGCACCACTTGCTTTGTGTATCGACCGATTTTAATTTGGCATCGACCGGGCAGTCTGCACTCACCACGTGAGGTCGGTTAAACATAGCTCTGTGAGACAATGCATGGTAAGCTTCGAGACTCTGGGCCCTTGACCTGCATTGACGACTGCCAGATAGCTGGTTCGAGGGATATAACATAACATGAACATACAACTGGATCCTCCGTGCTGACGTGTCCTTATGTCTTGTGACGCGCAGCAGCGTTAACGATACTGACATAGAACTTCAAAAGGGTTCTAAATCTGTATTCGTCGACGTGCCTTGGTGCGTGGTGGGTCGTGTGGTGGAGCTCTGACAGGGGCTGGGAACTTATCTGTGTGAACTTGGGTGTGGTATGTTCAGGAATCAGACTCACTGGCGTTGGCAGTGGCGATGGGAATATGACTCCCTCCACTGAGTGGCGCACGCAGTGTGTTCTTGCTGAGGCAGTAGGGTTACCTGTCGTATTTATCAAGATCACCAACTTTAGATTCCAAACGGGGACGATCTTGTGGCAGATAATTCTGGCCCATCAGTCCAGACAATGCTGAAAGATCGGCCAAATCCGTTTAGAAGGCCTCCATTCAGACTCGCAAGTCATGGAAAGAAATGCTATGATTTGCTCTTGAATGCCGGGATTCTTCGTGAGTAACACCGGGGGCATACGTACAACTCTGGAGTCACCTTCCAGAAAGACAGTGACTCTCTGTTACTCTTCGTGACTCGTATTCCTGTACAACTTGCATGCTCCGGTACCTGCGGGCGATCATTTCCGACAATCCGGCGCAGACTTGATGGAGTTCCGCCGCATGCCCATTACCCACAGAGGAGGCCCAGCACCTATGTGGCGGAAAGTCAGCGAACAATGATTGGACAACTTTAATGCTCGTAATACCTTTCGTGGAAACTTCGCTCTCCTATCCACTTGTTTTGTGTCCTAGACTTTGGATCCGAATGTTCAACGACTTCGAATCTCGCTGGCACTCGGGCTGCAATTAATCTGGGGGGACGCAAGGTTGCGCTGGCCAGATTCCATTTCATATTATCCTTAGGACCGCCACTCAGGGGATTCCTCCATCATGCCATGGAACTTGCGGACGAAAAAAATATGGACTCGTCGTTGCTAAGGTCAATACTTCCCTTACTTCCCTCGAGACCCGTTTACCCGTGCGATGAATGATTGTTTGAACTCAGAACTGATTACGAGCGGCATGTATTACTCTTAGCGCGGTCGGCCGATTTTGTCAGGTTAGTTCGGGTCCAATTATGACACCGCGGGGTACATAAGAAGGCGTTCGTTATGCGCTCTTTTGTGGGCCAGAAAGAGGCAAAGGCTTTATGTACAACTGTTAGCACCACAGGGAAATACGCAAGACCTGAGCTTACAAGGAACCAAGTTGGAGAATGAAAGATAATGGTATGTTTCCACGCGAATAGCATGGGATAGGTGCTAGTACCTGAGTATCGCCAGACCGCAATAAGCGAAGGTCTTTAATTGCTCCGCCATGAATCGCAGGACCTAGGGCGAACGCCGCAACTTTAGTTATCCCAGTTGAACTGCCTCGAATCTATAGTTGTAGATGAACATTTGGACTTTAAGCAATTGATGGACTTGAGGCTGAGGGACGTAAAATGGACACATAGGAACTGGCGTTTCATTGAAGTTGTGATGGGGATGGAACACATGAATTGCTTACTAGCGAAGTTTATGTGTGCTTATCTTGTGTGGGCACCCTTTTTGGTTGTCCGCTGCCCTAATGCTTTTCAGATCGCACGCCAGAACATTATTTACCATACTCGCTTTCAACCGGGGAAGCGTACCGAGATATTAATCCCGTCACTCTTGTCCGTCACCCTGCACACGAGGCGCCAATAAGATACCTTTAAAAGACCGTTCGTAACGGGAGGAAGTGCGCCTCCACTTACTTTCTTCAATTCCCTCATCCTCGTAATGGATGCACTCAAGAGTATGCTGTCCCCACTGGGGGTGGGCAGTGCCAACGCAATACAAGACACTCTCGTACGCATGCGTCCGTTGAGGACCAGAGAATGTACTGACGGTCAAGTTTTCACTACAGAAACTTGTTGTCATCGGTGGGACTGTCGAAACAGCCAGAAGAGCCTCGGCGGGAGCATGGCATACATTCCTTGACTGTACGGAACACTCTAGAGTTCACTGACTATCTGCAACTAATGTTTATATCTGCAGCTTTCTTCTTGACCGCACATTTCAGCCAGGAAGACTATCCGTATGACTGGTAAATTTTATCTACCAAAACCGTGACCAAGTTCTTACCACTGTTTCTAGGCTGATGCACTGGCTTTCGAAGGTCGGTAGCAATTTGAACATGACCAACCATGAATGGTATTGACGCTAAGCCCAGCAACCGGCCTGGGGACGCAGTCGTGAATTTGAAATCACTACAAGGACGGTTGGCCGTAATGGTCTCACGCAGTCAACGACCGGTGACCTAGATGAGGAAGATGATGATGAAGATGAGGATGAAGATGCTCTCGTACACGGGCGTCGCAAACGCAAGGTGGCGTTCATGCCAAGTATAGGTAGGGTAATTGCCATATATAGGTTTCACGTGGCTTAATCTTTTGCTAGATACCACTCACACCATTTATTACCGTGGCCATTGGCTTCGGGTATGTGATACCATGCTATTACTGTTCGGTAATGTCCTCGGAATACTAACGTGTTTTGATAGATAACCAGGACCAAGCGCTACCCAGACTATGGTCATGGTTCGGCCCTGAAGATTAGGCCAGTTCTTTTTTTCTCTTTTTCTTTTGTCATAGCGGTCGTTCAGCATGCTCATCGCCCTGCAGTGTGATCGCTCGCAACAATGACATTTTGAAGAAACTCGTTCTTGAGGCGAAGCGCGAGTATGAAAAGGATGCCGAACATCGCGTTCATATTTTCATGGCCGATACGTGAGTCTCGGCTTGTCATTAAGGTACAAACGTATCTCATTCCGTTCTAAGGACGTATGGATGTTGGCGCTGGAATGGAGCTCGCCAGAAGCGCCCTATGAGCTCAATTGTGTTGCAACCAGGCGTTAAAGATATGCTTTTGGCTGATTGCAAGGACTTCCTGTGTTCTGAGGATTGGTGAGTGAGCTTCTAGAATCGAATTGCTATCAGAACATCAATTGCTTTTTACAGGTATGCTGAAAGAGGTGCGTGAGAGATAGTTTAACGTTGAAATCAGACTGACGCCATTCAGGTATACCGTTTCGCCGTGGATATCTGTTGCACGGTGTTCCTGGAAGGTTCGTACGATCATTGCGTTCTGATTATCACCGATACTCACGCTCCATTGGTCATAGCGGCAAGACTTCCTTGATACATTCATTGGCGGGTGAATTGGGTTTGGATATCTACGTTGTCAGCTTGTCGTCAAAGGGGTAAGACTGGCTCGAGTCACTGAGTAACCGACTATTAATGTTTTGCCAAAATCAGGATGAGTGATAATACGCTGACAACATTGATGGGTCATGTACCATCCAGGTATGTTTCTCTGTTATCGAAGGTCATTTGCCGGTGTTCATTTTATTTTCATAACCAGATGTATTTTGCTTCTTGAAGATCTGGACGCCGCGTTCACGCGCTCCGTCAGTCGTGATGCATCATCAACTGGTGCTCCCACAGCATCTAACCCCAGTAGCACTACGAATGAGACTAACGATGGATCAACATTGAGCTTGAGTGGACTTTTAAACAGCCTCGATGGTGTCGCCGCTGCAGAAGGCCGGTGAGTCGCATAACTTCCATCTGAAACCTCGCCACTGATGTACCTTACATAGACTCCTTTTTGCTACGACTAACCATATTGAGCGCCTTGATCCAGCTCTGAGCCGTCCAGGCCGCATGGATGTCTGGGTGAACTTCACACATGCGACGAAATGGCAAGCTGAAGGCATTTTCAAATGCTTCTTCCCCTCCAAGCCCCCTGGTGGCGCAGCCACTGCATCTCCATCTGAAGAGTTGCCCCAGAACGTTGACGCCTCCCAGAAAAACCTCCCCGTGCCAAAGCGCAAGGCGCCTAGTCACACTATTCCTGTGCTTGATGAGACTGAGATTTCTGAGCTTGCTAAGCGTTTCGCAGATGCTATCCCTGAGAATGAGCTGAGCGTAAGTTTTCGGCGTCGATGATATATTCGCGACTGACACCATTCCAGGTTGCTGCGCTTCAAGGTTACTTATTAAAGAACAAGGTCCGCCCACGCGAATGCGTTGATGAAGTTGCGCAGTGGTACGTTGACATACCTTGAGAAGCGCATCATGACCTCAACTATCTTGCAGGGTCGTTGAGGAACGCGAGACACGTGAGAAGCTCAAGAAAGAGAAGGCTGAAGTACGTATGGCACAATATCCGCGTGACGGTTTATGCTGAATTTTTTCAAGCGCGAGGCGAAGGAAAAGAAGGAGGTAAGTTCCTGTCATTTAATTGGTACTGTTGCAATATCTGATACCATGGAATAGGCCGAGGAGAAAGAGCGTAAGGAGGTACCGTACTTCAGTCCCATTCCGTTGGATGATGTCACTCACAAAGCGTTTTAGAAAGAAGAACTGGCTGGCAAGGAGGTAATGCCTTTCTGTACTTGATTATGCGCGTCCTGATGGTGAGACAATTCTAAAGCAAGAAGAAAAGGAGGCCAAAGAGAAGCTTGAGAGGAAAGAGCGTGCGAAAACCAAAAAGGCTCACCGCGCCGAGGCTGCCATGAAGTTAGAGGGTGCCTCCAGCAGCACCACTTCGCTGACTGCGACCGAACCAGTGATCCCCGTCATTGTCATGAGCGCAGGCGAATCGTCAAGCTCCGAATCCGACAGCAGCAACGGCGGTATTGAAGCCGACACTGAGGAAAGCATAACCTCAGAGGAGGAACCCGACAAGGCCGCTGATGGTACGGGATCTGGTGATCCCGCTGTCAAAGATAGTAACCACTCTAAGGAGAAATGGGTCGCTGTGAAGGCTGACTTATGAGCTGAATGCGCTGTTGTTGACAAAATTGCCTTCTTGTTAGAAATCGGGTGGCTCGTCATCACCACACACTGCTCTTGTGCATCTTGGGTCCATTCTGTGACGATCACTTCGCGAAGGCTTGTTGGTACGGTTTAGATGCTATAATGTTAAATATTTACGCAATCTGATATCCGGAGTACACGTATACTTAGCACTAGTTTCGCTGTGGTTTGATAATAAACCTGCTATGTCTACTAGCGCGCTACCTAATCGTACACGATATTTCAGCTACACCCAAAGGAGTCTATAACATAAACACTATGTAAGGTTGCAGTAATAGTTGGTAGAGCCAGCTATACGGGCTTCAAGTTAACCTCGGAAAGCGTTTTGAAGGCTTCTTTGTATGCGTCCAACAACGCTTTTACCCTCGTCCGCTCGGCGACCAACGCCTCATCCTCGTCCAGCAAATCCGCGAAAAGCTCCGGCTTGTATAGAGATGCAACCAATCGGTTCTGCACTTGCTGCGAGGTGTAGTTGACTAAAAAGTGCATAATTGCCTTCGGGTATCAGATCCTGTATGCTCTGGCGGACAATCGCGAAGTACGACGAAATTAGAGATCTTATCAGTGACGTCTCCATTTCCTCCCGCAGAGTAATTTGCGAGCCAGGTTCAGAAGACGATATCTAAAACCGTGTTATCAACCCACACAAGAAGTACAGATATCTGTGTGCAAAACACTCACGGCTTCGATATGTTTCCCCAGGCTCTTCATATCAAACGCGGCGTTATTGCCATCAAGGGTCCGCTTGCCGGCCATTAGACCGGTAGGGGCCCGCGGTCTCCGCATTCGAAACAGTCCCGGCCTGTGGGTACAGGTGATGGACCAGCATGTGACCTCTCCACGGTTGATCCCGCGATTGGCCCTGGACCATTCTGCCCGAAGAAATAGTTGAGGAACGTCTCTCGTGCAGAATGTGGGGAAGTTCCAGGTGCTCCTGGTTGGGGCGCTTGGGGCTGCGCCGATGAGTGACGGGGATGAGCGGGATGCGGCTTGGATGATGATGCTTTCGCAGCAGGCAATGCAGGCCCTGAGCCGGTAATTCGTGTGCGGTCATGCACTGTCGATGACACGGAGCGCCCATCACGAGATAGGACTCCATTTACTCCCACAGGTTCTTCAGCAGAGGACTCATCCTCATCTTCTAGTGTAGGCGCGCCATTTATCGGTTCATTACTCTGGAGCTAACAGCAAAAGAAGCGCAGGTTGAGCCATCAGATCAAACAAATCAGAAAATATTCATACGCGTGATGGCTGCGCAGGTTTTGGAGCGGGAGAAGTCGCAGCTTGCGCGGCGGCCGCGGAACCCGATATGAATGCAGGGTGATTGGTATTGATGTATGCGGCTTGTATCTCGATCAGACTCTGTGCGTATTCCGATGTGGGTCCGAGTCGTTCTCTCAAGAGTTCTGACACACATTCGATTAACTGCGCGTGGAGGCGGGGGAATCGTTCCAGCTCCTATTGTGGTAGAGTTTGAATAGGTAAATCGGGACTAGACAACGGGAATGACTAACTGTGCTTGTGCAATTGTGGCAGATTTTGACAAGCTCTTCATACACCAGCTCCACACATCTCAGACTAGGCGACTCCAGTAACTTGATCTGCGGCTTTACTAGTAGATCGAAGGCGGACTCCGGAACAAATAGGCTTGGCCGAGGGCCAGTCGAGTTCCGAATTGCAGTTCGGATATCCTGATTATCAAGATTCGAGGTCGAATCGATACAAGCAAGCGCATGCCCAAAGACGTCGTTGAAGATGTAATATATGCGCGCGCCACCTGAGAGCTCTTTGGTCGAAATGTCGACCTTGGTGCCTTCTATCGATGCCACGAAATCGTGTGCGAATTTATTCATCAGTCGTAAGATGAGTGCGCCTTGCTATGTGGCACTGAGTTCATTTGCCTACGTATCTTGACAGATGAATGACTTACCTGGTTCTTGTCCCCATAGATGGCCGCATCACCAAAAGAATTCAGTTCCTGCTGTGCTTGTCCCATAAGCGTGTTGAGGCGAGCTTTCATGTCCGGCAGCTTATCGCGTATATGATTTATCAGCACCTGGTTCAGAGTTCTAGCAAGATACTTGGTGCCATTCTTGTGTGCAATGTTCCGATATGCAGCATGATTGCGGAGGAACTCGGTCTCGGAATCTAGAGCGTCGCGCATGCTTTTCTCTGAGTTGATGTCCTGCTGGCTCCGATTCACAGCCCCAATGAAGCCCAGCTTCAGCGGGTAGACGCGTCCTGTAAGGATATCGAGCGCGTTGGTACCTGCGTCCATCAAGTCCAGCTTTGTCAGCACCCCGATTGTTCGACGTCCTTGCGGGTCAACGGAGCGAGCCAGTTTCAACGCGTCGGAGTTGGCGAGATCGACATTAGCAGGGGAGACAGCTAGTATGACACTAAATAAACATGAGAAAACTGCAGCACGACAGCAAGAAATAACGGCTAACCTATTCGGTTTGGAGATATATTCGACAACAAGACCGCGTATCTGCCTCTCAATATCACTTGGCTGGTCTCCGACTGGAATCTACAAAAGTCAGGAGTACCTGCAGTAAAAATTGACATTGACATACCTTGGTCAAGCCGGGTAAGTCCACTAGTGTGAGGTCCAGGACATCAGGACTGTATATTTTCAGCGAAATGGGCAATTTGCTGATGCCTTTATTCTGTCCGGCAACTCGAAAAGTCTCCTGCTCAATCTCTTTCCGTATCTCGTCGTAATCCGTGAACCGCTTGTCGATATGCAAAAATTGACCCCATTCCGTGTGTGTAGGGGCTGCGGGATCGGGAGAAGGGGTGTGGATAAGTTGTAGGACGAGTGGACGGCGGGTGACAATGCCCTGCCCACGCGGAAGGAAGTCGCGGACCAACGATGCTAATGACAGGCACGGTGAATGATAACTCAGATGCGATAATTGCCACATACTTTTCAAGTACACTTGATTTTCCCGCAGACTGACTGCCGACCTGCCAAAGAATTTCTGAATAAATGCTATTCGAGTACCACGATCACCAATGTGCACCCACCACGATTAGCTGTGGCATATCCAGCTCACCACCTACCCAGCACCCAAGTCAACACAAACCCTAATTCACATAGTCTTTGTCGGGAACTCACCGAGGTTGCTGAATGTGTCCTGCAGCCGGTTGACGAGTTTAATGAGGTCTGAATCCATGATGGCTGGCTACTCCCTGCGTTAGGTCGTGAATGAAAAGGAAAGCTGGGGAGCTGCAGCACAGGATGTTGACTTGCGTGCCGGACCAAACGCGTGAGCAAGGCGCGTCGTCACGGCCATTTCCTGTTTGGCCACATTTGGTTTTGTGGTACATACTCATCGAACGGTGAACATCTTCGTTGAACTCAAGTTGAACTTGCTCAAAATTTCCATTCTGAAGTGGCCGCACATATGACATTGTACTCGTGGGATGATAGAAGTTAGCTATATAAAAAACTACGCTACTCTATCATGATCTGCTTAGCCGCAATCAACCGTCCGTGACCAGTTATTCATCTAGATTGCCTTGCTTTTCACGAGCTCTGCATAAAGAGAACATGACTCAGAACTGAAATACGAATGGGCAAAAATAAGTCAGTACTCACGCTCAACCTCTGCGATTGCACTGGTCAAGATGTCTTTTTGCATCTTCTCAGTCGTTAAGGTCAGCCATAACCTTGGCAATTACGCTCTTGGCAAGCTCAAGCTGTTCGCTCTCTTTCTGCTGCTGCTCATAACGAACCCAGCTGTCGAGAACAGCTTTCACCTCAGAAGCAAGAACGACCTTCTGTTTCTGGACGAATGCGTTTGCCTCCAGCTGAGCGGTCTCCTACTCAAGAAGAGGGTGGCTAAGCGGCCATCAAACTAATAGGTAACTGTCGCTCACCTTCGAGAGAGCAAAGAGACCCTGGGTCAATGAAACAACATCCTTCATTTGCTCAACGGAGTTGATGCGGTCCTTCACTGCCTGAGTGTGTTCCGTTCGCGAGCTTTCTAAAACGTTCTTAATGCGTTCAATGTGACCATTTGCCCAGTCACGGTATGGTTCCCGAACAAGCTGCGTGAAAACACAGTTATAATGATTGTTGAGAGCGCAATTACAACCAACTTACCTTGGCGATGTAGGCAAGAAGAATGAAAGTGCCGGCAGCAACTACGGTCTCTTCGTTCACAACGTAGAGCTCCTGGGAGATAGCAGTTGCAACAAGACCGGTACCGAGGATTGCAGAACCAGTCTTGGTAATTAGACTCGGCGAGGAAGGGAGGGTATTAATAATTTCCGCAGCGCGTTGCTCAGGTGGGGGATTCGAGCTCATTGCGCGCCTGCATGGGTATCGTCAAACAAACTCATTCTTTTGAAGACCGACGTCGAACGTACGCATTGACAACCCGTGCAAAGTTAGGGATGGCGCGTGGCCGAGCTGCAAGCAATGACCAGAACTTCAGCTTAACACAGAATGGCAGGGTTTCCTGCAGCACTGACCAGAAGCCTTGAGCGCATTGACCGCGATCCTGGACGCCATTTGTGGTGCAGATTGAGTACAGAGTCGGGTTCCGAAGTCTGGATGAAGAGGATGGAAGACCGTGGGAAAGAAAATATTCCGACTTGACACGATACTTTCATGCTTGACCGCGCTTTCAGTACGTTATGCATGGCGAGCTGCAGGGACTATGTATGCCCACTGCCCAGCGCAGCGAATTGCTCCAATGTAACTCACGCAACCCCAAGTTACTCGTTTCTTCACTGTTCAGCAGTGAAAAGACTATTCACTAGACCACAGATGATAGCACGAGCGGAGTGATCGAGAAGATGGTCCATCACTGCAGTGCGTTGCTCATAAATGGACTATATGGCCTAGGAGAAGACAGTGGATGATGCATCCATATATCACACGGCGTGCAAGGTCGGATTGTATCTCCTCCGACTTGACAATCGAGTGGTACTTATCAACTTGAACTCTTACCCCGATAACTAGCCCGTGGTGCACATTGTATATCGTCCAGGAGGTTGAGACCAACAACCGCTCACTGCATGTGTCCATGTTCCTCGTATGTCTGGCTTCCTGGAAACAGAATTCCCTTTTCTCATGTTTCAAGTGGCGACCCGTCAATCATTCACCCTGCTACATGCACTAGTATGTAATACCTGGGTTTGAACTGTCTTCCTTCTCTTTCGGAGGGGATTGTATAACACTCAATGTGAGTGCACCGTGGTATTTAAAAACTGTGACGAATGAGTATGATGTCGGACATTAAACGACCGTACTCACCTAGAAATCGGGTTGGATAGGCGTTAGTGCTAAGTGCCTGACATGTCGTTTCTCCGAGCTGTCATATTATGCTTCTCTGGTGGGTATTTTCCCAACATGCTTTGTCTTGCTCTATCTCCTACTATCTCCCCTCATACACACACCCTTCCCAAAAGATCATATCGGCCTTCCTTCAAATGAGGAAACGTGCTGTGGTCAAATGACTTTCCTACATTTTGCAGAGCATGTGCATTTCATCTCGGTGGAAGACCAAGATGGAAGAATTTTAGTATCTTCCTCGTTTTATTTGAAATTCATGTGTAAAACTGACTCCTACTTAAGGATTGTTAGCCTACCATATCGATGGGTTCTCTGCGAAGCTACTTTCGAAAATGACCAGAGTCAGTATTCTCCACAAGCACCGCTCACTGAAACTGACGCCCCTTCCTTCTGACAGAGTATGATATTCTGAGAACCAGGCGTCAGAAAGATATCTCTGGCTTCCTTTCTGAGAAGCATCTTGTATCCACATCGACTAGTACCACTGCGTGTACGTCAAATCCAAGAATATTATTACTGAGTGTCATTGACCTCATGCCTCTTGTCCTGTACGACACCGCGGGGCGAACCTCATTCGATGGCCCGGAAAAATTTGCGCAGACTCATTTCAAATCTTGCTACTAAGTTTGTCTCACATTCTCTTGGGTCCTCGGGGGCGAATATGTCTACAATCATGCGATGTTCTATTATTTGTCTCCACAGCATGTCCCTGTGGCTTTCGCCACTGGCATGGAGGGCCATGCCTATTACACTCAGTGGGAGAACTGCACGGCCAGGAATGAATCATGTTGAAGCAGCTTCCATCACTTCTTCCAAATTTAACCTTCATGGATCATCTTTCAATACAAATTTCAAATAGAGGCTTACTGAAGTGATTTTTCCTGAAGTTGGCGAGTGTGGCACATCGAAGGCTTCCGATAAACCAAAGAAGGTCGTTGTACAAAAATATGGTTTGAGACGCCAGGGCAGCATTAATGGCTAAGATTCGCTAGGTGGAGACTACCTTACTGGTACCACCGTATACACATGGTTGCCCACCTGTTGCCACACTTCTAGGTACTCTGAATACTTCAAGCTCTATGATTTAGGACAGTCAACCTACTGGTACGCCAACTGACAATGCATACAACAGATCAATGCACGTGACACCGTAGCGATGATTCTATCCACATTACAAGGTCGACAGAAAGTATTTACGTGCATCTAAGGTATCTATATCATCGTCAAAGTGTTGATTGTGTAGTGTGCTTAATAAGTTTATAGTCATGGCGAGAGTAAGCCTGCAACGGTTTCGTATACCGCAAATGTAGCCATGTTGACTGGAATCGCCCTGGGATGAAAACAATCACGAATAAGATTGTGGTGCGCAGTACACACTTAGAACAACTCACCGCAGCAGGGTCGGGCTCAGCCCGCGAAAGAAGACCCCAACGCCCTCTGTACGATATGAATGCCGGATCGTTGACATCGTTGTGCGGTATGAGTTATCGACCATTCTCGTTTCCGACAGCATTAATCTTCGAGCCTCTTCAGGTTCGGTACTCTGCATGCGCGTCTTGACAACGTCCATTGGAAATGTCGGAAGCCAACCAATAACGCCCGCGACACCTCCGCTGACGAGCAACACCCAAAGGGGTGGAGACTCTGCGTTAAGCCCAGGAGAGGGAGGAGCGAGGTATCGACTTGTAGCCTCATACTTTCCAGCGGACGTCAAATCAGGGTAAATACACTGGGAGGGCGCTTACCCCGAGAAAGTATGCGCCATATCCGACCTCACGAAGGGCTGTAGCGGTGAAACCACGAAAAAATCCCTTGAGTCCATGTTCCCGATAAATAGTGGATATAAGTTTGCTTGCTGAGACACTTCCCAGTCCGCTCTCTAACATGTTTTGCTGCCTGATTTTAATGAGTTCGATAGGTGCAGTAAAAAGTCTGACGCGTCCATTGGGTTACTTGTCATTCAATTACTGCTGCAATGGTGGTGGAGTGCTTACGACATGGCAACACCGCAGCAGCAGCCAGCGATTGTAACTTGGGTGAGGGAGGGAATAGAATCATCTGTCATTTGCGCCTTGAGGAAAAACTTGTAGGACGCGAATATGAGACCGTTCATAAAAGCGCATGTTGCCTTTATTTGACGGGTAAGCTAGGGTCATAGCATTTGCGCGCAAAAACAAAACCAGAGGTGAAGCAATACCCTTGTATAAGCCACTAAAGCGCTCCTCTTTGATGATAGTCGTAAATGCGTGCGATACTGAATGGTATTTCGAAGATAGGTCGGGATTTTGCAGGCGGACTTTGACTGTATCATGGTAAGATCATGCCGTAGCGTGAGCCCTTACGAAAGCCCACTGTCAGACATACCTGTGTCAAACGGATGAGCGATGAGAAGCCCGACAATGCCTGGAATGCTATCAAAACCGACGGCGCTTAAGTATGACTGCCAAATCTCTACCTGCGATTGTGCCTGCTATGAAGTCAGTCGTGGGGTCAAGGTCTGTTGTTGACAGCATGAGCAGGCCTTGAAACAGTATCAATATGGGGCTCACAGCACCTGGCATCTTGCTCAACGTGTGTGAGTAACGACAGAAGCGGTGCAAGGCTCCAAACTAGTGCGTGTCAGTGCGTGCGCTTCAACTTGTAAGTTGTCATTAATATTGTTGTCAAGCTGAAATTTGGATGAAACCGTAAACACGTATTCGGTTCATACTTCAGATGATGGCCAGGGCCCAGATCACGCTTTGCCGTAAACGGGCTCAGCGACTAGCTAAGTAGCTGCCTTCAATTCTTTTGATCTCTAGTCTACGATCATCGATGGCTGATATCGCGACTCCTGAGTTTCTCAACGATCTGAAGTCTCTGTATCCTGCACCAGAAAATTATGTCGATGGTGACTGGTTCCTAGCTGCCGGTATAGCATTCAGCTCGAGCAACTGTCCCGAAGGCGTCCCATGTATACTCCGCTATGCTCTCGACGATCTCGAGAAGCTCCCGGACATCTCAAATGAAGATCGCAGGTTGCTTGTGCAGAAGATGAGGGATGGGATCTTTAAGTCTGGCATGATCTCTGGCTACCCCAAAGTTAATGAGCCGTTGATCTCTTGTTAGTGATCTCACAATATCTGTAGGCTATCAACGCTCTTGTTTCGCTGTATGAAGCCACCCCCGAAGAGCTTCGAGACACCGAGCTTCTGCGGTCCGTGTGCAAGTTATCGCAATCCCTCTCGTCCTCACTTGTTGTGTGACAGCGACCCTAATCGATCGAAAGAGGACGTTGCTGCAGCTGGTCAGGCATATTTTGATTCGACATACGGTGATACCGCAGTGACAGTTCAGTCCTTGCTTAGATCCGCATACCCAGACCTCGGTATGTTCCTATAGACACGCCTCTGCCTCAGCTCCTGAATTTGTCACCCACAGAACACTTCACGTTGACACTTGGGTACGGGTATGTGTACGCCTTCTTGGAAGTGACCTCAGCCAAGGAGACATCATTCACCATGATTTCTGCCCTGATCCCGAACGACACTCCCCGTCAGGTTGAATGGCACCTGACTGGTGCTATTCGCAATGGCGCAACAGTTGAGGAGGTAAGAGCTGTACGAGAGATCGCACTGAGAATCGCGACCAAAGCGGGCGTTTCCTTGAAACATGAAGTTCCCAATATTTGATGCATATCGACTACATAAATGTGTAGATGGAATCAAGTGCTCACCCATTGGAAGGTTACACACGTCGGTTGGACATGGTGTAGTTCTCGGCAACGGTGCATAACAGTGTCACAGGTCGATTCATGATTTGATACATGTAATTGCATAGGAGACTATGTCCGCTAATACCCATTCATCATTCTTGTAGTTCCACATAATTTTCTACAGGGAAGTATGGTCAGGTCGTCTTATCGAGACATAGAACGGGTAAGAACACACCAGGGAACATTCCGATATCGCCCTGTGGATTCTTGCCTTGCCACCACCCTTCGCCAATCGCCTCGATTTCAACAATTCTGTCGCCTACAAGGAATGATATCTCGTTGTCCTCGGCGGCTTCATAGCTGACAAAAAAGAAGATTAAATCATAAAGTCACTTTTAGAAACAGACCCACTCGTAAATAGCCACTGCTACGATGCCCTCGTCGGCAGCAGAAACTTCGGGTTCCGGTTCTGGCTCAGGAGCGGACAGCATTGCCGGCTGTTATCGCATGAGAATTAGCCCATGGTTTCAATACTAGAATTACTCACAGCTGGAGGCGGCGGGGGCGGTGGTGGTGGCGGTGGTGGCGGTGGCGGAGGGGCCTCTTCCTCAGATTGCTCCACGATTTCCACGTAATTCGCTATAGTACAATTGGCATAGACCCAACGAACTGAACAAAGAAACACTCACCAGGGAACAAACCGTTCTTTTCACCACCTTGGCCAACGCCACTCCACCAACCTTCGTCAATCTGTTCAATCTGCTCGATAAGTTCACCTTCCATCAAGTTCATTTCATTATCTTCCGTAGCCTGGTATGGAGAACGGTTTGTCAGATTTCGTGAATCACAGGAAAAGCTCGATCACGAACCTCATAGTCATATAATACGACCGCGCAGACACCCTGTCCCTCATTATGCACTGGTTCTGGTTCTGGTTCTGGCTCGGGCTCAGGTTCTGACACCACACTCAGTGCCTGCATCTGGGCTACAGGTGGAAGGGGTGGTGGCGGTGGCGGCGGCGGCGGAGGCGGTGGGGGCTTTGGATAGCATCAGTACCGAATCGCTCAACATCATGGTATACTCACTGCCGCTTCCTCTTCTTCCAGTTCAACATGCGCAGGCGCAAATGCCGGTGGTGGTGGTGGTGGTGGTGGTGGCGGCGGCGGAGCAGCCTCCTCCTCCTCTACTTCTGGTTCTGGCTCGGGAGGCGGAGGCGGCACAAATCGTGGACGTGTCGAAGCAGGGGGAGCCGGTGGAGGCGGCGGTGGCTGCATAATATTAAAAGAGTCAGTTTTCTCGCCAAAATCAAATAAGTCTTACGGGAACCGCAAATTCCTACCTGGGGCTCAGGCTCTGCAGGTATTTGCCAATGCAACCCCAGCCGCACCACCTACAGCAGCAGTGGAAAATTTCGCGCCAAACCTTCCTTGGCTCGAACCACTGCTTAAACCTGTAGATGCGGGGCTTTGCCACGAAGCCCGTCTACTTCGTTGCTCTTCTTCTTCTACTTGTTTTTTTGCTAGAAGTTGGCGTTCGCTCCAGGTGAGTTTCTTTTCTCCGCCGGCAGTAGGTGCGCGGGGTGGAGGAGCTTGCTGCTGCTCGAATTGTGCAAACGGATTCTTCAGCCTGCCTGGTGTGAGTTTGACAGGGGTCCATGCGGTACCCTGGAACATATATCATAAAGAAACAACATTGTAAAAAAAAATAACCCGCTTACTACTGGCGCAATACGATCTTCTTCTGTAGGTTTTACGGGTACACTAGAGGAAGGGACGACAGGCGGGGCAGTAGGAGCTGCAGGAGTAGAGCGTGCAGCGGTAGTCCCAACATAAGACTACAATTGTACGATCAAAGATAATCTAATAAGAAAAAGGAAGGCTTACGGAAAAAGCAGGCCTTGGAGCGCTAGGTATGACCGGAGGGCGTGACGCAGCAGGTGGAGGCGGTGGAGGAAATGATGCAGAAATTGCCTCTTCTTCCCAAGCACCAGCGGGGGCTTTCCCTGTACCAACAGGTCGTGCAGAAGTAGCGCCACCAACAACAGGGCGCGGGGCAGTGGGTATCGCAGGCTTAAATGATGTTGTAACAGGTTTCGGCGCTGAAGGCGTGGATGATGCAACATTCTTCGGTGGCGGCTGGTTCCGCATGGCCGTGATGTCGGGCCGCCCGACAGGCGTGTAGCTCGTACCGACAGGGGTGATCGGTTCGAACTTTCGCGCCTGTTCATTGTGCGCTGAGTATTTTGCCCCAGATGCCGCTTCCACACGCTTCATTATGAGCGCGGGCGTGACATCGGACTGCAGGAACACTAAGATCGCGGATATACGATTATTGAGACACAGCACGAACCTCATTGCGAGCACTGATCACAACGTGAGAACCGCGGAGGAACTTCGCAACGGCGCTGGAGTGAGTGTGGAATAGACCTTTCTTGGCTTCGGGCACTCCATCTCCACACCAGTTTATTTGTACGAACTTGGCCAGTTTACTCTGAAGGGGACAAGATCAGTTCATCAAGATTACACCAAAGTGAACATAATCCAAGCGCACATTAGGATCTATGACACGCGCGAACGCGTACTGCATCCTACACATAAATCAGAAGGGGAACTGACTGAAGGGACGATGTGGCCTACCGTCCGTCCGAGAACTCCTCTTCTAATTCCTCGAGCCCACCATTCCCAGTGGCCTGCACTTTGAGGTCATTTCCACCCTTGTCGTATGTGTATATTACCCAATCTATGTTTCTGCCAGCGACGACATTTTGGTACGCCTCGCTGATCTCTTTGCTAGATAAGTTAACCTGCAAAGACATTGGAGCTGACTGAACAAAGAGTCTAAGGGTTGAGCATCGCCCAGTGCATTGACACAAAACGGCTTACCACTGTACTGAATCGACGCAGGTCGTCGATCGCGCAGCTCAAATGACTGCGATGAAGGGACGTTTCAGGTTTCTGGGCAGTGGCTAATGTCTGTCCTGATTCAGTTCACTGGCAGTGACACCGCAGTTGATTTCTCGGCACGTGACCGAGACGCGTCTATAAGTATATTCATTGTCACCTGTCATTCATCGATTATCTTTTTACTTGCTCTCGCGCGCTGAGACTCGACGGATCTCTGGTTGAATACCGAGTTATAGGTGCGGTTGAGGCTGAAGCTGATGTGGCAGAAGACGAGCTCGGCAAGCCATACCCCCAATAAAATTCAAAACGTGACTATGTGGAGCTTAGACATCGATACTTGCGGGACGTGGATCGCCGCGATCGAGAAGGGACGAAATTTCGCCTTCTATTTGGTCCACCGACGGGGAGACTAGTGGAACCGCGGCTGCTTGAGTAGTGCACAGTGGTTATGCACAGGGTCATGCGCTGGGTGAGTCAGGCGGAGCTATCGCTGGAGATGATATGACTGTTTGCGTTCCCTGTGGTTTTTGCCGCCGACCGGACTCAAATGGTACTTGTTGACTATAAGTCCTATCCTAGACGAAGAAAAGTTCCTAACTTAATTAAGTAGGGCTACTACGAGGCGGGTAGTAGCATAGAGTATAACAGAGTAGTATGGCGTGAGTCCATGGAGCCCAATATGTATCATCGTTGTGCGAAATGTGTAACAACTGAGTCTGTTTAAGCGAAGCAACCACGATTTGAATCTACTACTACTTGGAGGGAAGGAATAAGGGCAACGTATTCCGCTCGTTGCTCATCTGTCGTCCTTACTCCAGCGCCGAAAACGAGGCTTTCCAGGGGACAATTTGACCGTGTCAAAAAAGCCTTCAACCCTTCATGAGGCCACTGTTGGACATATCGAGCTTCGAGCGCGCGTAGATTGGGGAGTGAGAGAGCATTGAATAAGCCAGATAATGCGGTTGTGTCCGTATTAAAAGAGTCACTGATGCACAAGGATTGAAGTTTGGTATGCGTGAATGGCTCCAAGACCTGTGTACCCCTGAATTCTACAGCAATTGTTAACGAGGAGAGGTCGGGACAAAGATGGAGCAACTGGGGGAATGCATTTGGCTGACATATGTCGATCTCGACATTTGTGAGGCGGGCCCACACGGGATTGAAAAGAGATAAATCCTCGAGGTTGAGCGACAGTTGTGTTACTTTGAGACTGCGCAGAGTGAATGGCAATTGCGAGATAAAGGGTGTAACAGCTGGTATAGGATTGTCCATGGATATGGTCAGCTCCTGAAGTGCTGGGAAGTCTGCTATCACAACTTCGGGCAGGCAGTCGCTGCAGCAAAAACCAATAGACAGAGATGAGATTTGATTGATGTAAGGCTGAAGAAGGCTTCGTAGCTCGTCCAAGTGATTTATATGACTTGGATGGAGTGCCAACGAGAGCGGACGTCCTTGTGATCGCTTGAGCCACGAGTCACAACAGGAAGGAACCCGCTGCCAGAGGTTGCCCATACACAGTCTGCACCACAAATTGGACGTGCCTACAGCAATCCCCCTCCATCGCCGACATACTTGGCTCAATAGCATAGGAGCTTGTTGGTTTAACGGGGGCAACCACTCATCGAATTCCGGGAGACAGCGCTCAAAAATGTGGGACAGGACTTCAGTTGGAAAGCGCCAGAGAGCCGATACGAGTCCCTTGTGCAAATTCATCGACTGTGTGATCTTGTCCTTCTTTTTGACAAGTTGCTGGCGAAGGTTGTTTATATTATCCATGACGATTTGTAGGCCTGAGATATCGTGTAGAACTGCATCCAACTGCTGTTGGCGTTCGGTGATGATCGCACTGATGCTCTGGTCTTTAAGCTCGATAGCAGAGTGGTCGGTATTGGGGAATTTGGCATATGGGGTGTCGAGGTCTATAGGAATCTGGTCATTGTTAATTAGGCGGCCATGGCAGGTATCAGATATATCGGAATAGTTCACATACGATCACTTGTGAACGTGCGAGCTGAGGGGGTATTATTCTCAGACACGAGTGCTGACAAAAAGCTCTACTTACGATGGTTTGCAGCGCACCAACGATATCCGGGACCGGAGAAAAATCGACGTTTGAGTTGACTGTCTGCATGTTGTTTGCTAATGCGGTGAACAAGATGAAGGTTTGAAGAAAGAACTGAAAATTCCGTGACGCAACTTGCTGGAAGGTATTTGAACCACCTTCTTCACTCGGAAGTCTGAGGACAAACGTTTTACCAGGGGGGCTTGTTAACAGCGGACGATGATAAAAACATCACGTGATGGAAGAAAGTCGTTTTACTCACGTGACCTCGCGCGTGTCACGACGGAAGATTCAAGCCCTTCTCCATACTCGACACCACCAACCAGCATGGAGATATCACGAGCTCTCGACCTCCCAGAATGTTCGCCCAATCTCATGCCATTCCACATCTCTCACTCAGGGCCCGCGCCCATATCCACGTACTTTCGCGTCAAGCCCTCGCCTTCCAGCGCGCATATCACGCCCTTTCTTACACAAAACACGTCCGACAAAACAAACCTGTCTACAGACGACGACCAGAACACCCTCGTTGCTGAAGACTCTCAATGTTCCCTGACCACAGTCGTCGAATCACAGTCTTCTTCGCTGGAGGAGGATTCACAGGCGTGTCCTGTAGCAGTGACAGCTATGGTAGTTGACGTGGACACCGGGACTCAGGGGAGTTCATCGAGCAAAGTAGCTCGCGCTCCCCCTGTGACGGCTTCAGTAGAAGGAAGTCTCAGGCATAACTTCATAGCGGCGTTCAGAGGGAGGCAGGTCCACGGTCGTACCGTGGACCTACCACACGGATACGGTGGCATAGTCCTGAGTGCACCAAGCGTTGATCCAAAGAGTGGTGACACTGGGATGGTTGAAGGAATAACTCAAACAAGAGGCCAGGCCCGAACAACACGCCAATCCAATCGAAAGATGGAGACAGATGAGGATGGCGCGATGAACGCAGACGATGACACTTCACATGCTGAAACTCGGAGACTAACACCGGTCTCGAGATTCTCTTCCTTAAATGTTTGGTCACCAGACATACCGGTGGATGAAGGCAAAGATGAGTACCTTAGGTCCTTGACGGAGTGGACAAAATTGGCGGCAGAGGTACGTCTTCACCCATACACTATTAGTGTATTGTAATTGAAGCATCTTCAAAGATTCACGCCTACAAGGCATAACAAGGTGCTGGCCGGAATTTCTTGGACGAATATGCAACCTCAGTGGTGGGTGCACTGTAAGAACGTTTGAACGACGTGGCACCGCGTAACCGTTGGGCCTAGTCACGTAGCTGGCACTTCTAGACCAAATTGCTACTGTGATTGCTGAATTGCAACTTCTACAGGACGATTCGAAGGATATTTCACGACCACTGTGATATGTTTTGCGCCATGAACTAGTTAAATGCGTTCTCTCTGCGAAATTTTGAGAGGGAGTGCTCGTTCTCCAGCCACAGTGCTGGAGAAACTTTGTAATTGAGATTCACCGAGCCTATCAACGTGAAGGCCTATATAGCGGCCTGCCTATTCACATGCGCACTTCTGTGGACGGCTACTAAGTATTTTGTGAAGTGTGAACTAGATCATCCCTAATATTGGGCAATGTGGGCAGTAGGGACCCATAACGGGTACCTGTCCCTGGAGTTCGACTATTAATGAACGGCAAAAAGTGTCGGCCTCTTGATTTATGCAGGAACATTTCCATAGACCCACCGCCCTGTATACATTGATGTGGGGCTGACAGCAAGGCCGGTTGAAATAACATTGCCGACAGTTTGACGTGGTACAAAAACTTGGTTCGGGTCAGTCAAAATTCTGAGAACTAATAGCACCCATCATCTTATATTTGCTCTCCCACCGCCAGCTCGTACTCCCATCAGTCAGTCGCTCTCTCACCAGTCACTCCTTTGATATTTTTTTGCGCCTTCCGATCACAATCTTTCAGTAAGTCACCAAGTATATATTGTATCTCAGTGGTCGAGAGCGCAGCGGCTGACATTGTTAGCTTCGATATCCCCCAGTTCAACTCCTTTCATACAAAAAAACATGTTTGCTGCCCTCGCCTTGACCGTTCTGGCCTCATCTGCTGCTTTATTCGTCCGCGCCGATCCAGACCCAACTAACCCTGGTCCCGGAGATGTCTTCGTCGAGGGCCAGCCCTGTTCTATCACCTGGAACCCGGATACCACTGGCGTGTGGAAGACTATGACCATTCAGTTGATGACAGGAAACAATTTCGACATGGTTAACTTGACCGGTACGTCCCCATATTCGGTCATGAGATGCTGACCTAAACTGTTCATAGCGGTCGCAACCGTTGACGGAACAGACGCGACGAAGACTTCATTCTCTTATACTTGTCCTCAGGTTGGTGATGGCCTCGTCTTATATACGTCGTAAACTTACCGAGTCCCCCCCAGGTCACACCCCACTCGCCTATCTACTTTTACCAGTTCTCTTCTGCAGCTTCCGTCAATGGCAGTGTCTGGACTGGACGATTCACGATCACTGACAAAGTAAATGACATAGTTCCTGCGACTGAGAGCACCCAACCCGACGGCTCGGTTATTCCTTGGGGTACCGGCCAGCTTGTCAAATCGACTACAACTGCTTCCGCTGGTACCACGAGCTCCGCGCCAGCCACAGGTGCTGCACTTGGAACACCGAGTGCCACTTCTTCCGACTCGGTAAGTAACGAGTACCGCTGGTTCCCACGAACAGACTCACCCAGAAGTGACGTTTAGAGCATTACTACGTCGATTGTGACTGTGACTCCGACTGCAACGTCATCCACTGGTTCGCAAGCAACTGGCGGCGGCCTCGCCCTCTCCGCGCAAAGCATCGGCTGGAAGACCGCTTCAACCCTGGGTGTCGCTGCACTGGGCTTCGCTTTGGTGCTTTAGATTCATGACCTCACGAAAACAGACCACTGCTTCATGTCCTTACAGCATGCCGTATCTTCAAGGATACACGTCTCTACTCGCGAATCTCCTAGTCATTTATCTCATTGTATCTCCTTGGGTCTTCGGGGTGTATGTTTGCAGCATATAGGGCATATATTGGGCACATATCTTGTAAATCCAACCGGGCCATTCTTTGTCAGTATTCTGTCCTTCGTGTTTATACCAGTACTGCAGACGATTCTACCTTATTTCTAAATTACAGCGATACTCTAGAAGCTTCTTTTGTCGCGATGTTCGAGCCAGTGGGGATCCAGTTCGACTGCGTGGTACCGATGCTCTTGGCTGGTTCCAGGAACACGTTATCAAAGGTCCGCTGGTGGTACGCTTCAAGCTTTGCCAAGGCAACACTTTTGCTATGTCCATCAGTCGGTTCCATCTTTCATTTTGCGCTCACCAAGGCAACACTTCCGCGACGCGCTCACCCAGTACTCACGTCTTCATTCAAACTGAAGCTTCGATCAAGCCTGATCAAACTCATCGCCTTCCTGCTCGAGATGAATGGCGCCATCCCGATCCAACGCATAAGTTCATGCTCTGGGCTGGCAGTACCCAAACCCTATAGCGAGAACTCGGCCCATGGCGTGGTTGCCACAAGTCGCGTCAATACTTTTCGGCCGCAACTGTTCTGGTATCCACTGTGCACATGATGACCGTAACTTGGTAAAAATATTCCTTATCTCTCTTTCACGCGATGAGAGGCGCATGTTCTTGGCGGTGCCACTTGGCAAATGATTTCGATGAAAGGCATTGAGGTTCAACACAAAACCTGAAGGTCAGGCGCTGTCAGGCGTTCAACGTTCAAGCCCAGGCGCTGTCGATGTCAAACAAGGCTAGAGCTTCCAAATGTGGATATGTTTGAAGACGAACCTGCTTTTGACTCGTCTAACTTTGCAAAGAGCACCCGCGGCTCAGGTAACTATTGATTACCTTTACTGTCGATCGCAGTGGTGTTTGAATCTCTTACATTCTATGACCATGACGTTTCTAAATTTGTGCGCGAGTTTTTAGGTGAACGTTGCGATTTGGGCGATTGCACCAGACCATAATTAGAACAAGCTTTGACTATCTTCCTTCTATCTTGTCCGCCTAATCAAGCTGCCTTCTGACTAAATATGTCACTCTAGAGTGGAGTCGAGACACCCAATACTATGTCGCTATCTAGAAGGTTTATCTTACATCGCCCTTCCGCATCCCTCCTTGCAGATAGCCGAGGGTCATGAGACTTTGAACATGGGGACAGATGGGGACCGTAAGTTCCTTTGTATATATAGCGCGATGTTGAAGTTCTCATCCTGACCAGAACTCAACAATTCCCCTATCGATACTATCTGTCACTGACACGGATAACTATCTACGCGCACCTATGGCTAGAAAAGTTCAAGTTGGATTCGGCGTCGATGTCGACGCTGTAGCTGGCTGGTACGTTATTTTACATTCGATCATGACAAGAATAAGCAACGATAGTTGTCATACAGGCTTGGGTCCTATGGAGGGGAAGATTCCCCTTTGGACATTTCACGAGTATGGCCCCAGTGATTTTATGTAACTGTGAGCTTAAGTCGCCGCAGGGAATGTACGCGGGAGAAGTTGGAGTGCCTCGCCTTCTCAAGCTGTTTGATAAGTATAAGATCAAAACCACCTGGTTCATCCCCGGTTGGTCCTGAGTTTAATGCTGCCATGATACGTGGAATTGATGAGTCACATAGGTCATAGCTTGGAGACGTTCCCGAAGCAAATGGAAGCAGTTCGAGATGCCGGTCACGAAATGTAAGGCTAATTGAATGTAAACATATCTTATCTCATGTCATACGCAGAGGTCTTCATGGGTATTCACATGAGGTAAGTAGTGATGGTGTCAATATCTTGGGGAAAGAACTGAACATTTTCAAAGAACCCCGTCTCTATGACTCTGGAACAACAGCGGGACATTTTGGACCATACCTTTAAGCTTCTTACGGATTTCAACAACGGTGTCCCTCCGAAGGGCAGCGTCGCCCCATGGTGGGAAACCAGCAAGGAGGGAACGACGTTGTTGTTGGAAAAGGGCATTGAATATGGTGATGATATATCGCTACTCATTTCAAACGAGGTATTGACATCATTTCAAAAGACCACTCCAATATGTCCCATGAGTAAGTCGGGATACCAGTCACTGATATACTCGGACCCATGTTCTTTCAGTTCGCAGGTGTATTATCTTCGTGATGAAGATACATGGACGAAGATCGATTATCAGGCGCAAGCTCACTCGTGGATGAAGCCACTGCAAAAGGGCAAAGAGACTGGGCTAGTCGAGATTCCTGCTAACTGGTTCGTCAAATGCATCCCTGGCGTCTTTCCTACTGATTTTATACTTTTATTCGTTCGATCAGGTACCTTGATGATCTTCCACCCATGATGTAAGATTTCGCACCTTGTGTACAAAATCAAACATGCTGACACTAGTCTAGGTTCATTAAGTCAAACTCGAACTCGCATGGTTGGGTATGTCATCACGTTTGAACACCTCGCGTCTTTCATTCATGTATCCAACAGGTCAGCACTCGAGATGTCGAGCAGCTTTGGAAAGATACATTCACTTACCTGTATAGGCAAGGATAAGATCACCGAGTTTCACCCCACTGTTAATTCATAGCACACAGGGAAGAGAAGGATTTCGTATTTCCCATCAGCATCCACCCGGACGTCAGCGGGTCAGTCTCCATTCCATATAATTTGTGCGTTCTAACTCGGTCTTTGATACAGTCGTCCACACGTACTCCTGATGCTGGTATATTCTACCCAACATACTCCTTGTTCTCTAACTCATTGGTGGTCCATAGGAGCGTTTCATTGAATGGGTCAATACTCACGATGGCGTGCAATGGTTAACCTTCTATGAAATGGCTCAAGACTTCAGAGCTACACAGGATCCAGTACCAGGCGCTGTCATGCCTAAGGGCTTCCAGAAGGCCTAAGCCTGTCGATACAGTGCAGTACGTTTCATACGGTACATTCGTGTCGAGACTTCTTAAGCGAGGATGAATGTGTACGAGTCATTTGTATCAATATGTTCTATCAACTTGTTCTTGTAACTTCCCCGTGTCGAAAGCCCGAGTGGATTGTCACTGGTGGCCGAACGTCTCCGTAGTACACAATGGCATGCGCCGACACCTGCGAAACTCGCCGGGGGGTGATACGCTGAACGAGGCTTCTAAATTTCCTATGTAGTATCCACGGTCTATGATCCCAAAGGACTTCCTTGGATTTTGTCTAAAAATCGCCACACCCGATTTCACAATGTTGGATCAATCATCCATCGCAATAGCTCCCCAATTCAGCCGCTGCTATGTTGAGCCTTATTTAGCTTGAAGTTTATCATCATCATTCCATAGATTACACGAGTGCAGAAATCCAGCGACATTCAGGATTCACCAGGTAAAATCTTCGCAACGTTCATTAATTCGGCCCATCTCTTGTCTTCTGCCCACACGATGCTCTGGTCCTCCTGCAAGGTAAGAGCTTCATTAAGCTCGTGCGTTGGCTTGCCCTGCTGCTCGAGGGCGGCGATCTCCTTGTCGAATGCGTCAAGCCATTCAAGTGCCTTCTTCGTCTGCGGATAATTCATGCTCGGAATACGCAGAGCCCAGAAGCAGCGATCGGTGCCATGCGTTACCAATCCTGTTGCATGAATTTCAGTAAAGCATCCGCTCACAACCATGCAGACACTGATGTACCTTTTGGACGCAATTGTTCCGGAGTCCAGCGGATTACATATCTGAAGACTGGGAACCCGACCTGTTGGAAATCTCTCATGAAGATCCTCACAGGGATGTGCACCTGTCCATCACTTAGGATGTCTCCCATGTGCCTCATCGATTCTTCGATAGTTGCTGTACTCGGGAGCGTCCGATACATCTTCACGAGGTTCTCAACCACAGGACGTGGGAAGTACCGCAAGACGTTAGGGAATACATCCTGTGGGCCTCGAACCGGATGCGCGATAGCGTAAAGGTACCACTCCTCGCTCAGATCGCCAATAGCAATGCTCTTGACTCCTTTCTCGCGCAAAGCACGAGCGAGGTCTCCCGACCGTTGCCAAGTCATCGGGTCGGGTGTAGTAGGAATCCAATTGCCATCAAGACACCCTCGGTACGTGCCGTGTTCGACACCAACTTCGTCCGTCTCTATCACCTTCATCATGGCTGTGATAGGAACCTTTGCAGGGTCTCTCAGAGTCTCCAAAATGTCAGGAGCGTTAGGATCGAGATTAAGGGAGCGGCAAAGGGCTTGGAAGGATGGCCTCAGCTCCGACGCGGTTTTAGGAACGGTCCTGCGGGTCATGAGTGAGTGAACAGTATGTCATAAAAGCAACTGACATCAATGCGTTTGATTGCAAGTGAGCCGAACGGAACGGAGAATTCTGCCCTGGTGGCAGGTGTGAAACGTGGTGCAAGATTTGGTGCACGGCATGGGCACCTGTTTCTCGTTGACCATGCTGTGAGTTCAAATGAAAGTCTTCACTCACCAGCAGACAGCCCAGAAAGTTGGACATTACTTGGGTCACCTGCACATGTTGTCAAGATCTCGATGAACTCTGACATGATGTGCGCTCAGGCTTACCTCCAAATGATGCAATGTTCTCCGAAATCCACTGAAGCGCTAGCCATGAATCTTTGAAGCCAAAATTTCCGTCTATCTTGGGCTCGTCGCAGGCAAGGAAACCAAGCACCGAGAGCCTATAGCCAATGTTGACATAAATTTCCTTCCTTGACTCGGCCGCGTATTGGGACTGGCTGCCCAAGCCATGAGGCGAACCAAACTGAAGGAATCTGTGACGATGGGTCACTGAGGGTTATGGGTCTATGCGCAACTCACCCTCCGTGAATGTATACTTTGACTGGAAGATTTGCCCCAGGTTTAGATGTCGAAGGACACGCAATATTGACAAAGAGGCTGAAGAATGATAGAACTTAAGTTAGAGCCGTGAATGATATCCTGAATTGCTCACGGGTCCTCAGATGGCACTCCGTAGCCCTTACGATCAACTGGTGCCGTTGCTGCACCCTGTCCATCATTGGAAGGTTGGATGCAGTCTAAGGCAATTCCGTTTTGCGATGAATTACAAAAGATTGATGATTTGACATACGCTTGGTCTCATAAATGTAATCCTTGTCTTCATAACGATAATTAACAGGCAAAGGCTTTGGGTCCTCAAAGCGAACGGGAGGCAACGCGTAGGGCAACTCTTAAGTACCCGGTTCAGCACATAAGTGGGAAGTATCTGATTGACAACCTCACCTAAGAACACCGAAGCACCATTCGTGGTTCTGCCACCCTTGACAGGACCGTACTTCGTCTCAACGACAACACTGACGCCCTTCTGCAGCTCATCAGGGATGTGTGGGATAAGTGGGATAGACATGCTCGGGGTGTAAGTGATAAGACGACTTGAGAGATTCAAGTTGAACTTGGCAGTGGATGGACAATCTTCTTATAGGATCCATGATATGGATGTGCATGTGCAATCGAGACATATGCATTGATCACGGGTGCTCGATGGGAGCTGTTCAGGCGATACGGATGCATGAATAAAGCGGGATCGGAACGCCTTGTACTTCGACGTGGTAGTGACACTATCATGGACTAGCCTATTCTGGTGAAGCCCCTATTTAAGACCTTGATTGGGTACCATAGGCCCGATGCTAATAGCGTTTTTCATTCATCGCGTGTCTCATGTAGCAATATGATGTGCCAGCTATCATTTCTGAATGTTTTTCGACAACTGCAGCATGCCAAAGTCAATTCTACTACAGCCGTGCTTTATATTTCACATATCCCTTTGGCATCACAGCACCCGGAGGGGGATCATTCTTCGCCCTAAACCTCTCTGCCATCTCATGATACGTAGCCCACTTCACGTCGTCATGAGTATTAATCCATTCGATGAATCGTTCCTAAATGCAGGAATGCATGTCAGACACGCTGGCAGTTCATTAGATCTATTTCTCACCAGCATGAGCAGTACCTGGGGACGTCTACACTGAATAAGTCAATTGTTTAAATGCAGTAGCAACGTGTAAGGCGTACCCGCCCACGTCCGGATGGATGGTTAGTGGGAAAATGAAGTCTTGTTCTTCCCTGTAAAGATACGTGAAGGTATCTTTCCAAAGCTGCTCAACAGCTTGAGGGGTCACCTGAGGGTGGTCAAGTCAGTAATCAGTTTGAAAGAGACGTGTCACATTTTGTTCAGACTTGCCCATCCATGAGAATTAGAGCTAGCCTTCATGAACCTAGGTTTTTCATTAATGAAGATGAAGCACACTTTTCGATGATGAACGAAACGCACATCATTGGTGTCATGTCTTCGAGGTACCTTTGGTGGAAAATTGAGCGCTGACTGATCACTCCGAAAGAGAATAGCGTCACCAGCTAGCAGGTATTTCAACAAGACCTGTTTCTTTTCCCCTCTTAAGAGGCTTCATCCACGTGTGCGCCTTCGCCTTGTAGTCGATTTTAGTCCACGTGTCTTGATCGCGAAGGTAGTGTGCCTGAGAACTGCAATAAAGCAGTAAATATCCAAGCGGAATGAGCATCAGCCAGGTCCTTACTCGCGAGACATGTTCGAGTGATCTACATGAATGAATAAGAACGACTAACATCATGTCACAACACGTAGGCATACCGTACTCGATTCCTTTCTCTAGAAGGAGTGCGACACCTTCCTTGCTCGTTTGCCACCACGGTGCCACATTGCCCTTTGGGGGCACTCCATGGTTGAACTCTGTGAGCAATTTGTACGTGTGATTAAGAACGTCGCGTTGTTGCTCTGGCGTCATTGAGTCTGGATTCTGTATAATATTCGCTAAGCTCTCTGAGGCCAGTTGAATTACGTGTACAAAAGCACCTCATGAGAATAACCGTGAAGTCCGCTAGATTGCTATCAGTAAATGGACATCGTAACAGACACAACACTAACATTTCGTGACCCGCGTCCCGGACAGCGGCCATCTCTTTTGGGAACGTTTCCAAGCTATGGCCTGCACATAAATGTTCCCGGTGGTGTATAAAGCCCTAGTAAAAGAACTCGAACTCACCTGGAATGAACCATGTAGCTTTGATGTTATACTTATCAAGCAATTTCAAGACTCGTAAGACGCCAACTTCCCCCGCATACATGCCCTAAAAAGGTCATAGAAAAAAAAGTCTTACACGTTGAAAGGAATCTGATCATACGCGAGATATGTCTAATGGCGAGTCTTCGCCACCATATGAGCCTAGCCTAAAATGGTTGCATAGAACAATCATTTCGGAGCTCACAAAGGATGAAACTCACCAGCCAGCTACAGCATCTACATCAACTCCAAATCCTATGAGAATCTCTCGGGGCATCTTAGTAGGTCAGTATCTCTGGTGAAAAATCCACGGGAAGAAGCTCTTTATATACCGTCAGAAAGACAAGCGACTCAGAAGAGATCCCGTTTACTATGTGACCCCATGACTATGAGTTGTATCGCCGCTCACGCTTGCCGCAATCGATGATGTAATATCTGCTGGGCCTTTTACACGTGTAGGTCTGTGTCGGTAGGCCATCGAACGAGTTAATAGAACACACTGATACATGTCATTCAACATCCACGTGAAGAAGTCTCGCCACGATTTATTGCATTTCACAGACACTTCGTGAAGCCCTTAGGCATTACGGCACCTGGTGCTGGATTTCTTTTGGCTCTGAAATCTTGAGCCATCCCGTATAGGGTTACCCAGTGCACATTATCGTGGGTATTGACCCATTCGATGAAACGCTCCTATGGATCACCAGTTATTTAAAGAACAAGAGGCACGTTGAATGGAACATACCAGCATAAGAAGCACGTGTGGACGACTGTACCGAAAACTCAAATTAGAACGCTGAAATGTCAAAGAGCAAAGACTTACCCGCTGACGTCTGGGTGGATCGTGATGGGGAATACGAAGTTCTCCTCCTCTCTGTGTGCGCTATGATTCGACAGTGGGATGCAACGCAGTTATTATCCTTACCTATACAGGTAAGTGAATGTGTCTTTCCAAAGTTGCTCGACATCTCGAGTATTGACCTGTTGGATACACAAATGAAACACTTGAGAAGGTCTTCAAACGTGACTACACACCCAACCATGCGAGTTTGAGCTCGACTTAATGAACCTAGACTGATGTCAGTATGTTGAATTGCTACACAAGTCGTAGAATCTTACATCATTGGGGGAAGATCATCAAGGTACCTTTCCAAATGTATAAGATACGCAAAATCAATAGGAAAGACACCAGCGAGGTTATTAACGAACCAGTTAGCAGGAATCTCGACGAGCCCAGTCTCCTTACCCCGCTGCAATGGCTTCATCCACGTATGAGCTTGCGCCTTATAATCGATCTTCGTCCAGGTATCTTCGTCACGAAGGTAATATGTCTGGGAGCTGAAAGAATGTGGGTCTCAGTATACCAGGACTGGTATACCAACTTACTCGTGAGACATATTGGAGTGGTCTGTTAAAGCAATGTCAATATCTCGCTTGAAACAAGTGGTGATATATCGTGACCATATTCAATACCCTTTTCCAGCAACAACGTCGTTCCCTCCTTGCTGGTTTCCCACCACGGAGCGACGCTGCCCTTTGGAGGAACGCCATGGTTGAAATCGGTAAGAAGCTTGTAGGTGTAGTCCAAAATGTCCCGCTGTTGCTCCAGAGTCATAGAGACAGGGTTCTTTGAAAATGAGTTCTTTCCCCAATATTGATACTATCATCCTTTACCTCATGTGAATATCCATGAAGGCCTCTGCGAATGACATGAGAAAGATATCTCCACATTTTAAGGAGTATTACATTTCATGACCAGCATCTCGAACTGCTTCCATTTGCTTTGGGAACGTCTCCAAGCTATGACCTATGCAACATCAATTCCTCGTATCATGGCGGCATTGAACTTAGGACCAACCGGGGATAAACCAGGTTGTTTTGATATTATACTTATCAAATAGCTTGAGAAGGCGAGGCACTCCAACTTCTCCCGCGTACATTCCCTGCCGGACTTAAGCTCCCAATCATATGCAGTCACTGTGACCATACTCGTGAAATATCCAATGGAGAGTCTTCACCTCCATAGGATCCAAGCCTGCATAATAATCCTCGGCTTTGATTCTTGTCACGATCGAACGAGAAAAAACATACCAGCCAGCCACAGCATCAACATCTACACCGAATCCAATGAGAACTTTTCTAGCCATTAGCTACTCGTAGTTCACCAGGAGAATCAACCTGAGGGAGTCGTTAGGAGGTCCTAGTCATGGTGAGAATTTCAACGCAGCAATATATATACAACGGAACGTACAGTCCCATGACCCTTGCCAATGACAGACAACCAGAAGCTGACTTGCAGACGATCTAAGATAAGCCTTTAAATTCACTAGACAGCGACTCGAATTACTCTAGACTCTAGAGTACCATGTCAGCTGAATTCAAGGGTTTACCTGGGTTTGCATTGTGCAATCGCCCAATTTGCAGACGTTCGCCCGAAGATCCACACAGAATCTAGGACATTGAATTTGAAACACCACAGGTACATGACTTGGATGAGTGGCTGACGTCCTGACAGTGGCTGTCCACATTTAGTAGGTAGTATTTGACTTTCGTCGTGTACCGTGTGCGCACCCAGTTACTACATGCGTTCATCGAAGCTGTTTACCAATTGACTTCATCGAGCGTGTGCCTCTTGTTATCAGAATTCCCTCGTGCATGGCAACAGGATCAAGTACTGAGGAGATAAGCATATTTTTAACAAGTTACCGTGTTTTTCACGGAGCCACTGGGAAAGACATTGACGGAAAAGATTAGAAAGCGCCCAAGTTCTTATCTCCAACTTTACTAGTATATTTGCCGTACGAGAAGAGTAAGGACCAGTGTACCCTTTTAGCGTCGAGTCCCCGTGATTCAAAATGTCGATCAGCGAGAAGCAGGGTGAATTCAGCGTCAACACTGTCAGCGTTTTGAAGGGCTATCCCACTCCACCACGTAATGCAGACGATACTCTACTCGCTGAACTTGGCTACAAGGCTGAGTTCAAGCGCGAGTTCTCGGTCAGTCCCTCCTTGCCGCCTGCATGTGAAGTGAATATTCAAGTCACTTCTGTCCAGATGATCGAAACAATTGCTTTCGCCTTCTCAATCATGGGCGTGGTAGCTTCCGTGTCATCGACATTCTCATTTCCATTGGTCTCAGGTGCGTGCCCACTATTTGGCAGCAACGAGTGACGCCGAGGTCCGTAGGTGGTCACGTTGGAATGGTCTGGGGATGGCTGATCCCCTGTTTCTTTGTGATGGCGGTGGCGTGTTCAATGGCGGAGCTGGTGTCCTCAATGCCGTAAATATATTTGTCACCTTCTGCAACAACTTGGGACCTCACATGCGCGTCTTCGTCTAGGACTTCTGCTGGCCTCTATTACTTTTCTGCCAAACTTGCACCTCCGAAATACTCCGCATTGGCCAGCTGGATCACAGGTTGGCGAAAGGCTTTTTGAATTGAACTTTCATCTCACCAAGTGGTTCCCAGGATGGGCCAATATCACGGGCCAAATTACTCTCGTGTGTTCCATTGACTTTACCTGGTTCGTTGATGCAAGCAGTACACTTCCTGTAGCTTACTTTGTATAGCGCACAGATGATCACTACCGCAATTGCGGTGAGCTCTGACGGAGCAACGATATTGAGCTCCGGTGCTACATACGGCATATTGCTTGCCATTCTGTTTACCCATGGCCTGGTGTGCTCCGCTGCCACGAACGTATTGGCCCGCTTAAATCTGTTTTATGTCATTGTCAACGGCAAGTATTGGTTTACAATCGTGTAGGTGAACTTCCAGATCCCATTTTTTCCCAAATAGTTGGTACGACCATAGCCGCCATCATTGCATTATTTGTCTGCTCTGGCGACAACAAAGTATCCACAAAGGATGCTTTCACTATGTTCGAGAACAACACAGGATGGAGCAACAGTGAGCACCAACTGTATCATCTAAGGGTATTGACGGACCGCGTGTGCAGATGGATGGGCCTTCCTTCTCGCTTTCACAGCTCCAATGTGGACGCTCACGGGCTGTGAGTGGACAGTCATTGCACGCGGATGTACTATTGTCTTAATAAATCTCCAGATGATTCCGCTGCACATATTGCTGAAGAAGTAGCCGGCGCTCAGCGTGCGGCACCCATTGCAATCCTTGTGGGTGTGTTCGGGACGCAAGTGCTGGGATGGCTTCTCTTCATAGCGTGCTCCTTTGCAACGGCTTCAGTGTCCAATTTATTAACTGGTGCCTTGCCGCTTCCCATGGGTCAGCTCTTTCTTGATGTACTTGGCAAAAGAGGGATGCTGGCAATATGGAGTCTTATCATTGTTGTCCAGGTATATCTCAAAAATTCTCCATCTGATTTCACGTGAATAATCGGTTGATCAGTTCGTGACGGGAGCTGCACAGGGGGTTGATGCGTCTCGGGTCGTCTTCGCTTTTGCGAGGGACAACGCTCTTCCTGGTTCTCGCTGGTGGAAACGGATGAATCAGCACACGCAAACTCCTGTAAATGCTGTCTGGTTGGTCATGACTGGTGCTGCCGTCTGTGGCTTATTAGGCTTCTCCGCTGCAGCGCTATCATCCCTTGCAGGGTACATTGGACTTCACTTTGTAAAATTTATATTCTCAGGAATTTTTCGCGTTCTAGGGCCTCCGTCATCGGCTTGTATGTGTCTTATGCAACACCCATCTTCCTTCGTATCACATCGGGCCGTGATAAATTGGTCCCTGGCACATTCAGCCTGGGAAAGTGGTACATGCCTATTGGGATTATAGCTGTCGCATGGGTATGCTTCATTGTGGTCTTATTGGTCTTCCCCCCCACACAAACAGCCACCGCGGTGGGGATGAGTGCGTATATGGACAGATTATGATGGGCTTGATTCGGTCGCTGACATGATGAACAGATTACGCTGTCGTAATTATCATGGGCGTTTTCTTCTTTGCGTCCATCTCTTGGGTCGTTTCAGCGCATAAGTGGTTCCATGGCCCGATCAAGAACATTGATGATCCCAGATCGTCTGTAGAGGGGAAAGAGCTTTAAAAGGTGATATTTAGTTCATTGTCGTATCGACGGGATTACGTTACCGAAGCACATTCGGAGCAGTCTTTAGATGCGCCAAGAGATGTAACTATAATCAAATTTTGGCTCTTTGAAGTAACCGCAAATTTACCTGCTAGAAAATATCCAATTGAAACAGTGCAGGAGTGAATCCATACAGTCCTGCGCCTGTATTCTGATAGGCTAACCGATTTAAATAAGTTGATATTGACAAGGCTCTACCAGATTGGCAGACTGTAAGTAATTTACTAAACAGTCATGCCGTGGCTTCGTCCGGTGAACGGGCCTCCATGCTTCTGACTTTGTTATCCTATACGTATACTGAGGCATTCAATGACGGTACTTACATGTGCGTGGAGTGTGCAGTGGAAAATTTACTTTGACGGACTTTCGCGATCTTCACGTATCTCCCGGCAGGCCCTGACTGAAATCAATCACGGTGTGCTGCAGACGGCCAAGTATTTTTTAGGCCCGGGCGCGCCAGTACGTAATGCAACGCGTGCACGGGGTTGACTCGGATCATTGAACCCACGTTCACCACATCCATCATGACACATGGAAGGATATGAAAGCATGGCAAAAATTAATGAGGCGTGCCACAGCCCTGAGTGCTATCTATTATGGATTCCAGTACACGTTACGACGTGTTACATGACCGCAGTGAATAACTATATTGGTTCAGTGTTCTGAGGCATTCCGTGTATGTGGAAGATTAGTCTTATGTTGCGCTTGATCTTGATGACCTTCCTTTTTTGGGAGAGAAACTGCTGATCCTCCAACGCTCACAATGGTTTAAGAAGGAAAAAAAAGCTCCATGGTATGGGTGCCCTATGATTGATGACTCACGTGGCTGCGATTGGATATCAGGAATTCCTATCCAACGATGTCGTACACATTGCGAATGCAAGTATGACTCTGTGACCAACGGCATTTGATTCGAGACTAACTAATAATGCATAGATGAAATCTCAAATGAAGTAGGAAATAAGTATGTACACCGAATTGCATGCAGTATCAAGAAACCATTTCACTGCTCTAAGGATAAACAGCTAACCTGATCTGAGGTGAATAAGTCACCCAACCTAATTAGCAACTTTACCCAAGGGGGTCTTGGCCATGACGCTAATGACCTCGAATAGCACCTGTGGAGTCAGCGTTAAAATGGTGGAGAAGTTTGATAGCATCACGTACGTCGGCCGCGGCCATGGTCGTGAGCTCTGCATTGGTATCATATGCAGGAGCAACTTCAACAATATCCGCCGAGACAATGTAGAGACCATCCAGGCCTCTGAGAATGGTGCGTAACTCGCGCGTAGACCAGCCTTCCCATTGCTGAGTTTATTGCCTAAATAATCAGGGTACAAACTCACCGCCAGTTTCCGGGGTGCCCGTCGCAGGAGCAAAAGCGGGGTCGATTGAATCAATCTGTAATAAGTTGATTGATAACTCAAACAGTGAGATAAAATGTTAACGCACATCAATGGATAGATAGACCGGTCGATCGCCGACGGTCTCCCGAATCTTTTTGATAATTCCGTCGGTGCCTAGAATGAGACTGTCAGATTATGAACATCAATGAATGGCCAGCCTTTTTCACCTATGGTGTCGATCTCACGTGCCTCGATTCGTTGGAAGCCAGAGGCGTCGTCATTGTCATAATCGGCTGGTCCTGAAAGCGTGGTCCTGATAGCGCCATGCTAAACTCCAAACTAGGATCAAAGTATTCGGTGATGGTTGATGGTAAGGAAAAGTGATACTTGCAATAGAGCTTCCGTTCTTAATCAGACCTTCCTGACTAGCCCAGTAAAAGTAGGTGCCGTGATTAATAGCGGCTTGATCGGAAGGGGCACCTCCGAACACAGAGGGCTTCCAGGTATCCAAGTGAGAGTCAAAGTGAATGACAGAAATTGGCCCATATGCAGAGTGAATGGATCTGGGCCGTAACATTGAGTACTAGTTGAAAATGACCTGCTGGAAGCGAACGAACCTCAACAAAGGCAGAACAATCGTGTGGTCACCACCAAGTGTGACTACACGTGGATGATGTTTTCCGTCAAGCGAAATTGGAACGAGGGGCTTGCCGGTGAGGGCGTCGTTGCCGAGCGGGGAAAAGGTAGGTCGGTGGAGAAGCTCCTTGTGCCCACCTTCAATTTGCTTGATTGCAAACTTGTTGTCGTAAGGCGTGACTGGAATGTCACCGCAATCTACAATTTTTAGTCCCGCGAGGAATGGGTTGACCTCAAGGGGAACGTTGTATCCTCCGTACAAAGTCAGCCGGCGGGATCCAGCACGAATACCAGCAGGCCCGAACCGGGCACCCGGGCGGTACGATGTCCCCGTATCCTGTGAAGTAACACTCGATTAAAACCTTTCGAATAAACAAGGATAGAATGACGTACAAACGGAGCGCCAACGAATGCGATGTCAAAGGTAGTGTCTCGGTCCTTTCCAAGACACTGGACCCATGGCAGCTTCGCAAATGTAGTAATTCCAGAGAAAATGGAGTCCGCAGTCACTACATTGCCGGTGAGCGGCAGTTAACAGGGGGGAATTTATTATATACCCTCATCATCGCCTGGATATACGGCCTGGTAGGGATATTTGACATAATTCATAGGAATCTGTTCTTCGTGGTGATGATCGTGAGCAAGGCCCACGGCAGCAAACACCAAAGCGAAGAGAGTAGCAGTTTGAGTTTTCATCTCGGGGGAAATTTCTAGAGGGTAAGTCTTGGTGAGTTTCAACGAGCATCCGGCCACCTAAAAAGCTTTCCTTGCGGGAAAAAATTTGCATCTCATGACTCGTCATCACGCAATGAACGTCACAAAAGAATGGTGGTTCCGTCTTGATAGCATGACAGGTGCAAAATGTTTTCCGCCATGAGGCAGAAATGCAAGACCCCATCTGCCAGATGAATCTTATCAGGGAAAGTGAAATGGAAATCATCGGGAAAATCGGCTCACAAAAATACTCCCTAGATGAGATCAAACACGATGCAAGCCTCATTTTGAGAAGGATATGACTTGTCCCAGAGGATTTCGAAAGGGAATCGCCATGGGACAATCCGAGGTCCTTCACGGTTAAATAGTCCGTTGCCTCGGAATCTGCTATAAACACTGTAAATTGGCAGCGACTATTCACCAAGTCTCGCATCATGTCACGTACTAGATCCCTAGACGAAACGGCACCCCTTCTCCCCAATGCTCAGCGCACACAGCAGCAACTGAACGACTATTCCCTTCAGAACCTTCCCGAAGTGGTAGGAGAGAACCGATCGACTGGACCCCGCCTTCTGGCCTCCCTTCTCGTTGATTCGATCCCTGGTAGGCTAGATTGTCGGTCTCGACGAGTCGAGAGGATGTGCTAACGACCCTACCATGTCCATCAGTCATCTTGTCCTACATTTTACAGAATTCTATCCAGACAGTGTCGATCGTGATCACAGGCCGCCTGGGCGCAGAAGAACTTTCTGCGGCTGCATTTTCGATGATGTTGGCCTACGTTACTGGCGAGTAGCTCGCTTATTTCTCTTTGCAAGGATGATCCCACGTCCTATAGGCTGGTGCATTGCACTGGGAGGCGGATCAGCGCTTGATACGTTAGGCTCACAGGCATTTACCGGAGGAAGTCACTCTACCGATCTGTCCGTGCATTTCCAACGTTGCGTAGTGTTGCTCTGGATTCTTCTGATTCCTGTCGGCGTGCTCTGGGTATTCATGGAGCCTCTGTTGTTGGCTATCAAAGAACCTCCTCGTCTTTGCAAGGACGTGCAGGATATTCTGCGCATCTTGTTGTTCGGCGCACCTGGGTATATCGCTTTCGAGTCCCTCAAGAAATACCTGCAATGTCAAGGTCAGGCGTGTGTTAACCGATCGTCCATGAGCTTACAAGCTCTGCAGGAATTATGAAAGCCGCTACTTTCGTACTGATTATCGTATCGCCGATCAATATCGCACTCAATATTTTCCTGGTCCATTATACATCGCTGGGCATGCTTGGCTGCCCTGTCGCGCTTTCCATCACATACTGGTGTGCATTTTTCCTCTTGATCGCGGTGACATACATGTCTTCTGCGCACAAGCAAAATGCTACATGGGGTGGTTTTCAACCCAGAGCCGTCTTCGACATCGAGAGCTGTGTCGCATTCCTCAAGTTGGCACTCCCGGGTATCTTAATGGTAGGCACAGAATGGTGAGCCACGACTGCTCCCAATCAAGGTGTCCCACTCACTCTGAACAGGGCTGCATTCGAAATAGTAGCCCTTGCAGCCGGTCGCCTCGGCGAGCTTTCACTGGCGGCGCAGTCTATCATCATGACCACCGACCAAAGTATGAATATTTCCTGATGCACTTCATGATTTATTAACCATGTCCATAGTCATATGCACGTTGCCTTTTGGATTTGGTTAGTGTCCATATCCGATTACCATTACTGCGTTTGACGTCTCCCCAGGGGTCGTTGCCTCAAATCGCATCGGAAACCTGATCGGGGCACGAACGGCCATCGGCGCAAGGAACACAGCTCATGCTATTGCCCTTCTGAGCGTCATCGTTGGCTTCGCAGTGATGATCGTCATGTTAGCAGCCAGAAATGTACGTCAACAATCGTCCCGCACCGTGCTTTTATACCAAACGGCAGATAGAAATTTGGTTACCTCTTCAGCGACGATGAAGATGTTGTCCGGCTTGTCAGCAAAGTAATGCCTCTAGTTGCTTCATTTCAGGTGAGCACATTTCATGTATGGCGCTCATAAATTGAAAACCCCGTGAGATCGCCGACGGTCTGGCGAATGCCTGTGGTGGCGTCCTTCGCGGCCAAGGTGGGCGAGTAATTTTTGGTGTGAAAGGAAGCTCACCTATCAGCGCTTTCAGGCCGACAACACCTCGGCGCCATGTTCAACCTTGTCGCATACTACATTCTTGCATTACCGATCGGAATCACCCTCGCATTCAAGGCCGGTCTTGGCTTGCAGGGACTTTGGATCGGTGCGCATTCCGTGCATCTTGCGAAACTGCTGCTCATCCTCATGCAGGTCAAGTCATCGGCCTCTTCATAGTAGGCCTATCTGAATATGGTGTGGTATGGCTCGGGACAAACTGGGACCGAGAGATACAGAAAGGAATCAAGAGGAACGCCGAAGAAGCAAAGCGAAGGGTGTTGGCTGAACGGATACGCCAGGAAGGCGGATTGACGAATTGACCTGAGAGACTTCACAAGAGGTGAAGGAGTGATAAAGAACGCGTGTTGGGATACAAGCTCCGAATTCAAACTTCAATAGAAGGCGTGATGAGCGCTCTTCCTATATCTGCAGAGGATGTGGTCAAGCAGAATATAGAACACGAATCATAATCAAATGTGTTTTCTTTCCGTCAGCACGCAAACCGACCAAAGTACGAGAATGTGGAGCTTTGGCGAACACCGTGTGAGATTGATGCAAGTCCGCGGGCGACTCCAAACACGTTGAAGTAGAAGATGTCAATACACACTTTTAAGTTGATCCACGTAAATTACAGTTCATCCCTGACAGGTTGCTCTGGCGATGTTTGGAGGAAGTCTGCTGACCCATCCAAGATAGATCTAAAGAACTTCGTCAACGGGTCATACTTTGTCATCCCTGAGTAGTCATTTCTGTCAAGTAATCATAGTTGAATCCGCAAAAGCACCCACCTTCATACAAAACCGGCACGCTGGACCCTGCTGGATACACAATCACCTTCGACGTCTTTCCCTCGACAGTCGCAGGGAACCCCAACGATACCGCAAACGCGCCATCCGGGTCTGTATGATGGCCAAACGCCATCTTCTTCCAGTAATTATTCGAAAGGACCTGCCAGAGCAGCGGGAACTTCTTGTCCTTATTCAAGAGAATGACGCGTGGGAGGTCGCTCCTCTGTGGGGGAGGCGCAGGGTTACATGGGGCCACCAGGAGATCAGGTTGAAAGCCAAACCTTTTCGAGCCACGCTGGGATGTCGTGGATCTGCGGGAGGAGTTTTACTTTGTTAGGCACGGAGCGCGAGGCCCAGCGGATGAGGTGGCCAGAAGTGCGTTCGCCAGAGTCGTACGACTCAGGCGGAGCTTGGCTACCACGAGGGAATACTTTGAGCGTTGGAAATCCTTGAACACCCTGACCGAGTGTCAGTTATGGCTGCGTCGAAGGCCAATGTGATGCGCACCTGTTCTCCGCATAACCGCTTGTTCGACTCGGCATCGCAGTCTACTGCATAGAACGGGATTAGTGGACTCAAGTTCTCAGCAGCCTTGCTGTACTCGGGAGCCATTCGTTGACAGTGCTGGTGTGCATGGTCGATCAGTTGAAACGAAATAATAACTCTGTAACTCACCCCGCACCACGGGGCGACAAACGCAACCACACTCGTCCTCTGGTTGAATGAGAACAATCAATATCAGTTTTATCTTAAGGAGAGACTTAAGGTCGCCTACATTACTCCTCATAGCCTTCCGGAAACCTTTCGGGTCTAGCATCTTGACCTTGGTGTCAGGAGGAAATATAGCTGCAGACACTATTGCGGGCAATAGCACAAGGAGCGCGGCTAGACTCGGAGGAGACAGAAACATTGTAAAACACTTCAACTGTGACTGCCAATGCTAGCAAATAGAGGAGCGGGCGAGCAATAGAGAAGGAATATCGAGTCGAAGAAAAGCGTGGATGGTTACTGCTAAATATGCCATAACGCGCTCAGGCTGCGTCGGTGAAGCGCTGACGTGTCACGTACCCACTCGGAATGATTACAGTACTTGCGGCACACTTGCTTGATAATTCTATCGAAATCAAACCGACGCTGGCTTTTTTTATTGACGCATGCGCTGGTATGTTATATGTATGTATAATGAGACGAGGAAGGGAGTAAACGAAGGTAGCGCCGGCTCTGGGGCAGGTCTATAGTACTACAACTTGGTTGCAGCTGCATGATCTCCTTGTGGTAGAGATGTCGTCCTGGAGGTTTTTGCAACCAATCTACTACTCACCCTTGTCATCTTCAACATTCGGTTGGGCAGGGTCCAGGTAGATACTCATGACTTAGGAGAGCGCCACAGAGATGATCACGAAGATGAACTCGTCCCGAGTCAGTGTACGGAAACACATCACCACATCCGCCGGGAAAATAGAAATCGGGAAGTGCCCCATCGAGGGCTACGCCGGGTAGACTGAGACAATAATAAGGATGTACCTGAGCGTCTGTCAGTTAATGGAGGGTTGTGCACATGATGGTTCTTGGCGTAGATGTGTCCCAGAAGGAGTAGAATCGCCCTGTCCAAGGGGCAATCTAGCACCAGTAGCTGATCTAACCCTGACAAGCCAATCCCAAAGAATGGTGGCGGCGAACTGCGGGGACTCCCGAAAGCGCTTTCGAAAAGAGGACGCGGACTCGGAGAAGCTATGCGAAAGCAAACGACCCGAAAACACCATGGAAGCCTCTTGTGTATGTCGGCAGAACTGTAATAAATGGACTCAACCTTGTACTCGGAGTAGCCGCATCAGGAGCCGTCGCAGTACTAGTGTTTTCAAATTCCCATTGTCGTGCTGACAATGTTATATAATCAGGGGCAGACGTACCACCACTATGGATGACGATAAAGTGGACCTACTGTCAAAGTTTGTTGTTGCCTGGCAGCAAGACAGGGAGCCAATGACGAGGCCCAATTCCAGAAACTTGAGGAGCAGATGCGGCCAATGACGAGGTCCGAGTGCAGGAACTTGGGATTGCAGTGGCCGAGAACTAGGCTCAAATTGATGAATTACAGCAAGCAATGCTGGGAGTGAATTTGTTTCTCTTATATCTCTATTTTTAAAGTTATCGCTAGCACAATGGACTGCACTGCAATCAACCCGAATTTGTAGCAGAGTTCTTCTGGACACAGCTCGAAACAAGCTGGCGATGATTTGTGGCTTTGATGATTGGACTCGCTGACGGCATACCCCATGTAGTGACCATGTAGAAGTTAAAAAAAAAAGCGGCGATTGTGCCCCAAAAAGCACTTCCCTGCTTGAGTGCCCTGATCCATGCGAAGAAGGTGAACACGAGCAAAAAAAAAATGGCGATTACCTCATTATCGTATGAGCCAGCAACGGAATGGGAGATGTAGTCCGGCACGGCTGCAAGAAGACCAGCACTTTTATCTTTCATTTCATTCGTAAACCTGGCAAATAATCTTAAAATCGACTGGCACAATTGAGTGCAGAGCGCACGTACAAGTATGTGCCCAAGCGGTGAGGGTGCTGAACCCTGGAACTAGGGAGACGCAAATATTGCGGATATCGACAGGGAGATTGAGTGCGTGGAGTAAGTTGTGAATTACACCACTGGTTGCCATAAGACCGGGATAGATGGTTCCACCAACTACACATCCAAGGGGGTACCATGCCCGTTGAGTCAAACCAGTTCCAGAATTCCCGGACAACGCGACTTGTGAGGTGTTAGTAGAAGACCATAAACGTGGTGCTCACATAGAAGCCTTTAGAGACTAGAACCTTTGCTTTGTCATTCCTGAGTAATCACTTCTGACAAGTAATCAAAGCTGTATACGTAAAAGCACTCACCTTCATACAAGACCGGCACGCTGACCCAATGACGTCCTTCCCTCGACAGTCGTAGGGAACCCCAACGATGACGCAAACGCACTATCCGGGTTTGTATGATAGCCAAACGTCATCCTCTTGCAGTAATTATTCGCAAGGACCTCCCAGAGTAGCGGGAGCTTCTTGTCCTTATTTAAAATAACGACGCCTGGGAGGTCTGTAGGGAGGCGCGGGGTCACACGGGGCCACCAGGAGATCAAGTTGAGAGCCAACCCTTTTCGAGTCACACTGGGATGTTGTAGATGTGCGGGTGGAGTTTTACTTTGTTGGGCACGGAGCGCGAGGCCCAGCGGATGAGCTGGCCAGAAGTGCATTCGCCAGAGCCGCACGGCTCAGACGGAACTAGGCTACCACGAGGGAAGACGTTGAGCGAAGTTGGGAACCCTTGAACACCCTGAATGAATGTCAGATATGACTGCGTCGAAGGCCAATGTGATGCGCACCTGTTCTCTGCATAACTGCTTGTTCAACTCGGCATCGCAGCCCACTGCATAGAATAGGATGAGTGGACTCAAGTTCTCAGCGGCGTTGCTGTACTCGGGAGCCATTCTTTGACAATACTGATGTGCACGTTCAGTCAGTTGAACAATAATTCTGTAACTCACCCCGCACCACGGGGCGACAGACGCAACCATGCTCGTCCTCTGGTTGAATGAGAGCGATCAATTCTACCGTGAGGAGAGCCGAAGGTTACCTACATTACTCCCCATAGCCCCCGAAAACCTTTTGGGTCTAACATCTTGACCTTGGTGTCAGGAGGGAGTACAGCTGCAGACACTTTTGCAGGGAATGGCACCAGGAGCGCAGCTAGAGAAAATAGAAGCTTTGTGTTTAAACACTTCAATTCAACGCTTACCGACTGGAAGTTGATTGGAAGAAAACAAATGACAGGCGCTGACCAAGCGCTGAGATATACCCCTATTGATGTCCTCTACACAGAGGACAACTTGCGGACCACCATGGATCTGCTTAGAAATACTACCATCGAGGAAGTAAAACAAAAGGCAACAGCAGAAATGCTCAAGAAGGTTGGGGTGCTCTACCACTATCTGTCACAAATGCCATTTTGGTCCAAAGTTTATCTGGTATGGACTCAAGGTTGTGGACAACAACTTAACTTGCTTTTTTGTTGGTCAAATTATTGTCCTGTTGGGGTGTACTACCCTATGTAGGACATTGCTATCTAGGCAAGGAGGACACCCGTGTCCCCCGCCGCGTCTCCGACTCTGCAAATGCCCCGGTGAGGTTGACCTCATCGGTCCGCCGTCTTCACTTGCTTACACACCATCAGATGGTTCGTCATCAAGCTGTCCGGCCAATAGTTGTTGTATCTACCAAAGGCAGCCTCATCATGGATACGCTGGATTCAAAGCTGGAAGCAGACCTCGCGGGAGCGAGACTCATACTAGAAGAGGAAGAAGAAGAAAAAAGAATCGACAAAAACGTCCAAAACGAGGTCAGTCTTGGTAGATCACTGTGGGCGAGCGCTATAATCAGGGACGTCCAGACATCCCGTGGTACACTATGGATGATGGTGACCTAATGTCGAAGGTTCTTGCCTTGCAGCAGGACATGCAGGAGCAGACGGCCAATAACGTTGCCTTGCAGCAGCATGAGAAAACAGGTGGCCGAGGGGGCAGGTTCAAATTGATGAATTACAGCAGACAACTGTGGGAGTGAATTTGTTTCTCTTATATCTCTATTTTTAAAGTTGTCGCTAACACATTGGACTTAGGACCACACTGCGATTAACCGAATTCATAACAGAGTCCTTCTGGACATAGCTCGAAACAAGCTGGCGATGATTTGTGGCTTTGTGAGCAATATGGCCAAGCAGGCATTGGCCGCTCTCAATTCAAAAGACCGACAGCATTGGCTACCCATTGTCAGCCGACCTACAGCACTCCATTTGCTGTTGCACCGGAATCGTGTTAGGGACCGCGGCGATTGGGCTGCCCACACCTCGGCAAAGGACGACATGAGTCAAAGTATCCTAGTCTTGAAAGCAGGCCCAGAACGGGACGATATGACCTTCATCTTTAGAGCCGTGTTTGATGGTGGGGATCCGGTTCAAAAAGGATTCACCGGTGACCCGATGGACGGCTAGTAGTTTCAAGTATGAAAGTTCCAGGTATCCGAGTGTGTACCTATCATACAGTAGCATCGAGATTACAGTCGTGATGGTTGCCTACTGCTGTCAATGTCAGCGTGTTAGCATCGGAAGCACACTGACGTAGCGCTGGGATGTGCGTTTGAATAGTGCACGCGATGAGACGAGGAATTCGATTGAATGCGCGAGGGCAGCAGATCTCGAGAAGGTCTACAATATTACAGGTCGCAGGGGTACGATCTATGCGCCAAAGATATCGTTCTAGAGGCTTCGAGGTATTTTCTGCATCTCATTCACCTAACTATGACTCCCTCTCAAGCACTGATGGCCTTCCTTCTCGACACGGGTTTTGTCCGCTTGCGTTTCTTCCCCTGATCGAACGCATTCGCGATTTTCAAGTCACGTCCAAGCACATCGTCCTTCTTCACTTCATAAATGCGAACCTAGAACACATTCAGCCAAATATCGCAAACTAATCACTTCACGCACGATCCAGTTTTCCGACGTATATGCCTCGTCAAGGTAGTCCAACGTTGGGCCCTGGATAGGAACATGCTGCCCCCGCACACGATCCACGGCCTGCTGACCACCAAACAGCTCCGCAAATCGGTAGTAGCTCATCTTGTACATCAGACTGTCGCGCATCGCCGGGCTTGCCTCACTGTCCACACGGTATTCGCCACGGTTGAAGTAATTTGGCTCTTGAATTTCATCAGGCCAGACGCCTTGTGCGATACGTACCATCCAGAGGAACTTGTTGATGTCATCGCCGCTGTACCCGATCAGCCCGCCGAAAATGATGAGCACGTAACTGACATCGTGTTTGCGCAGGATGGGGTAAGCGATGTCCTCGGGCGACGCCATGGCCTTGCCCACTGTCGCAATGTGTGCTGTTGCATACGTCAGCGTCAATCAGGGTCGTCCGATATGAGAGAAACTTACTGTTGTTCCAGGTATTGTTGTCCACCAATGTTGGGCGATCCGCCATTCCTGCAATCTGGTAGCCGTAGTCCCACCAGCTCATGACAACTGCATCCTCTGCCGTGTTCTGCCTCAGCCAGTGATATGCCTCCCTGAAATCATCAATGAGGTTCTTGCTTCCGTCGGGACCCGACGAGCTGAGCACGACGGATGGCGAGGAGTATGCATTAGAAGTCACCCATGTGCAGTGCACGACGAAGAAGAGGAGCAGCCCGAGGGCGTTCAAAAGAACGACAAAGCGCGTGTCCATACCGAAGATGCCCTTCTCGGCAGTGGTGGCAGATTTGGCAGCTACAGCAGAGGTGGCAACATTGGACACGAGTTCACCCAAGACACCGCCAGCAGATGCAGAGGCTTCCTTTTCCCTTTCTTTCTCCTTGTTCTTTTTCGCCTTCTTGCTGGTGGCGGGAGTAGCGGGAGTCGTGGTAGATGGACCACTTGTTGCAGTGGTGGAGGGAATACTTGAGGACTCAGTCTTGTCATCTTCAAGACTTGGTTCGGTAGGGTCCAAGTACGTATCCATGAGTGTCGAGAGTGCCACAGCAGCAGATACACAGACAACCGGTGTGAGGGTAAGCATCAGACGAACCATCACACCTGCAAAGTAGCTGGCAACGACCGCGTAGATGATTACAAAGATGTGCTCGTCCCTCAGTGTACGGAAACACAGCACTACGCCAGCCGGGAAGAGGAAAATCAGGAAGTGCAGGTCCATGAAGAACGAGGGCCATGCGGTAGGCTGATGCTCGGAGACTGAGGCAATGATGGGGATGTACCTGGGCGTCTGGTCAGCAATGTAGGAATGTCCACAGGTATCTCCACATACTTCTTGGCATAGCCTGTGTCCCACAGGGAGTAGAATCGCCCAGTCCAAGGGGCAATCCAGCCCTTGTAAGTAAGGCCGATAATTCCAAAGAAGCCGATCAAGCCAAGAGAGATGACTGCGGCGAACAACAATTCCTGGAACTGCTTCGAAGAAACGTGGGCGCGAACAAGTTGCGCAAAAGCAACTATCTGCAAAAGACCGAACACGCCTGGAACGGTATAAAATAGGAAGGTAAGGAACATGAAGAAGGAACATACCGAGTGCAGCCATGTGTTCGCTAGTACGAACGGGCTGGAAGCCAACGAAGGGGACCTGCATACTGGCCAATGTGCCAATCGCATACCAGGACGAATACGCGACATAAAGCCGGCTCGTGAAGCGACCCATCAGCAACAAGACGAGGGCATGTAAAGGGATCATATTTGTGATGAATGCATACCCACCTGTGACATTGTTGTCAGAGTCTGGACTTCAAACAAATTATGATTATGACGACGTACCCCATGCAGCGACCATGTAGAAGTAAAAAACAGCGGCGATTGTGCCCCAAAAAGCACTTCCCTGCTTGAGTGCCTTGATCCATGCGAAGAAGGTGAACATGAGCAAAAAGATGGCGATTGCCTCATTGTCGTATGAGCCTGCGACGGAGCGGGAGATGTAGCCCGGCACAATGCCAATGAACGCGGCTGCAAGAAGACCAGCACTTTCGTCTTTCATTTCTTTCGTAAACCTAGCAAATGATCATAAATTGGCTGGCATAATTGAGTGCGGAGCGCACGTACATGTATGTAGCCCAAGCTGTCAAGGCGCTGAAACCTGGAGCTAGGAGGACGCAAATGTTGCGGATATCGACAGGAAGATTGAGTGCGTGGAGCAAGTTGTAAATTACACCACTGGTTGCCATAAGACCGGGATAGATTGTTCCACCGACTACACGTCCAAGGGGGTACCATGCGGTTGGGTCAAACCAATTCCAGAATTCCTGGACAACGCGACTTGTGAGGTGTTAGTGGAAGAATCTAAACGTCGTGCTCACATAGAAGCCTTGCGAGGCAAGAACCTTCGTTGCGCGACTGTAAAATGGGCTGAGCGCGCGTATGAACACAGAAAGTCTACTTACTAGTTAAACCATGGATCGCTGGAAATAGTTCGTTGTGTTAGTCACGAGATATTCGTATATGCTTGCACGTACAATTCGTGAATAATACTCTCAAAATTAATAACAGCAAAGAGACGAGAGGCAATAGCAGCGCCTGATATGAGAGCAAGCGCAATGATGCGGAGGAGGGAGGCGGTATTGCTAACGGTTGTAGGAGACAAGTCAGAAGGGAGCGGGTAGGCGGCCGGCATGGCCGCTAGCTAGTAAGTATTGTGGACTGTCGTTGACTGTCTTTTGGCAGGGTTGAAAATGAAGAGACCGGGATATGAGCTGCACCTCCTTGCAAGCAGTTGGAACTGCGAAATTGAAAGTCGACGTGTCCAATCATAAATGCGGACTTTGACCCCTCCGTGGAGGGTCGATCCATCTCGCAGCACACCGTCTTCTCAGTACCACTACTTAGAAGTTACTCATTACTACTATTCATATGCTACTGAGGCCCTTGGCTTATGTGCGCTGCTCGTAGTAGCGCGATGCTTGCTTGGACCTCGGTTGAAATCTAACCGCTGGGCAGCGCACGGGACGAATTATGAGTGCAACTGGCTGTCGGTACCACTTTTCCAATGACCGAGGTCTAGGGATTCTACCGTGGCGTCCACCATATATTACCCGCCAGGTAGATTTTGGCACCATGCCCTTAATCTATCAGTAAAGCGATACCTGCGGTGACCGGTCCCGCAAACAGTGTGGGAGGAATAACACAGACGTTCACCTCGAGATACGGAATACTCGTTGAATCAGCCTGGCTTGAAACACAGCTTAATAGATTATGCGTGCTGCATCAGACGCTGAGCAACGCGCTCGGATCTAGTATTTGCACCCAGGTCAAACGCGCTAGCAGTGCACTCACCGCCCTGCCGGAACTTCATGGTAGTACAGTATACACTACCCTCCGCCTCGATAACGAACCGTTACCCTAATCACCTTCGGTGCGTCATAAGGCAGTGACAACACCATTAGAACGCGCCATGTACTGATGGAATTCCTACAACAGTGCTAGTTCAACACGTGTTTCTCATCAACCTTCTATCTTAGGCAGACGTGCGGAAGCCTCGAGGCGCAGCATGCACCCCTCATAAGCGCTACCAGATTTTGAACGAGGTTCTCTACTTTTCTTTCAGCTCTCTTCATCCTGCATCTCTTCAATAGCAGAGCCACCATACTCACGTCCTGGTGACTGAGCAATATACACAATTATCCAGCCTTACGGGTGTTTTCGTACCCTAATCCATTTTAGGTTATCCGCAGATTGACCAAATCATGCTCCCCATCACCGAATTCCAGGTCGCGTTTTGTGGGATCGCGACCTTTGCGGCCACTTTCGGCTACGCTTGTGCTCGTAGAGCCTCCTCCCTGGGCGCGCAACCTAGCCACGTCGATGTCGAACCGTGAGTCACGCAACCCAGCCAAGTAGTAGTAATCCATAACTCGGGCTCAGCGAGGAGAAGTCTCTCAAGCGTAAGCTCGATGACTCTGATGCCGAATCCGAAGGGGAACAGGAGAGACCTGTCAAAAGGAGCAGAACGCCTCCTATCGACCACGAGGAGGAAGTAAGTTTTGATCGAAGACGATGATACTGTTCCTTCATTTGTTGAGCAATTTCTACTAGGAGTGGGAAGTTGTCATTCCACCTCCTTTGTGTCAAGAGGCGCAGAACGCGGCACCCCATCCTGAACCAACTGTGCGACAGGAAGTGTCCATAGCTGCTCAAGACGGGACCGAGCAAGTCGCAGAAGTCGCTACAAGCGCTAATGAGGTAAAGTTAAGATTCAATTTGACCGGGCATGACTCAAATTAATCTTCTGTAGCCCACTCCAGAAGCACATACTCCACCGGTTACCATTGATAACGAAAATGTCCAGCCGGCCGAACCACAGACGGAAGAGGTTGAGCCACGACCAAAGCATACTGAGAGTCGGTCACAATCATTGAGTCCCAATGAACCTAGCGAGCCTCGCCCCGTTACGCCGCCACCTACGGCTCCCAAGCCAGTCACTCCCAGGCCAAATGCGACTGCTTTCTCACCTTTCGCAAGCCTAGGCACTCCTAAACCGAATGCGATTGCTTTTTCCCCTTTCGCAAACTTAGTCACTCCTAAGCCAAATGCGACTGCTTTCTCAACTTTCACAAACACCAAGTCTCCTTTCACTAAGTATTCCAATACTCCCTTCCCGTCTTCGACGTCGACTTCCACACCTGCTTGGCGATGCGGCGAATCTCGTACTCCAGACTTGCCTGCTGAAAACGCGCCTGCACCGTGTCCGAATGATAATGCCCCCTCACCGTCTCCAAACGATGCTGAGTCGTTTTCAGCCAGTGCTCTAGGGGACCGTGCGCAGGCATCGACAGTACCTAAAGCATCCTCTCGTACGTAACCGCATTCGGCAAATTGCCCGTTTAATTAATCTATGGTATCACTAGTTGTAACCGGTGAAGAAGACGAATCCGTCTCCGCAGAGCTTAAAGGCGTCAAACTCTACATAAAGCGCGGGCGCAAAGAGTTCACGGATGGTAATTATGGGCACATCAAAGTCCTGACGCAGAACGAGCGCGAACGCCTGCGTAAGTCTATCTTCCTTACCAGATATCGGCTTTTGATCTCGGTGCGGTGCATTAGTATTCAGACGTGACCCCCTGGGCCAGGTATCAATGAATGTAGCCTTGCGGCCCGCAGTGCGGTGCCATTATGATGCAGGAGAAAATATTCTCCGGGTCGTCCTGATGGAGCAGGTTGCCGTTGAGGGGAAGGAACCGAAGGACGAGGTTGTGATCTATGCCCTCAAGGTAGGTAATAGATCTTTCAGCCATGGACAATCATGTTAATTAGTCGACATGCAGCCGGGGCGTTCATCGAAGGCAGACTTCAAGGTGTTTGCAGAAACGTTATGCGCAAACGATCGTCTGAAGGCGGTACCATAATTGTCCTCCTCGGAGTCGATGGCAGATGTCATGTCGCAAGATGCTGGTCATCTCCCCTGGAACGCGTGGGCGTTCGGGTAGATCGAGTCGTATGACAGGGAGGTCAACAACTCTGACGCATGTACAAAATTGGCCTTGGTTAATGGAAAACCTTACCAAGTCCAGACTACTGAACAGTTATGGATATCCCCACACTGTATATTGAATACCCACTAACGACTGAACGCATTGTACAAATTTTCGCCCATGTTATAATGCCCATGTGTAATAGGTCAAATGGCGCGAATTTGTATTCATATACTTGATAGAATCATGATTCTGGTGTTAAGTTATGGGAAATTCGATTACAACCTGACCACAGTACCCAAAAAGCATTGGAAGTTTACCAAAGTCATGGGACTACAACTGCGCTCGAGTGGGAGTGACAAAACCAGACTGCGGTGTTGAACAAGCTTTCGCCCAAGAGCTGGCGTATGTCAGCGTTTCGATCTGAGCGTTGCGAGTCTTAGACTTACTTGAGGGACGTTTCCATGAATAGGGAAACTGAATTTTTCCTTACAGAAGCTCAACTGGAACGTGCATTTCTGCAGCTACACTTCCGCCAAGATTGATCGAGTCCGTGTAAGGCAGATGGCTTCTGGCCAAATGTCTGTAACGAGCTCCGGCTCAACATGGTGTTCTTATTTGACATTCATGTACCCTTCAGACTTTGCCTGGATCGTTGGAGCAGATAATGCTGGCTTTGGCTGAAGGGTATTGCCTCTATAGGCTGTGTCATCGCCTGTATGCATGAACAACTCAATATCAACTTCTGTCAGGTTTCAAAATCCAATATCTTCGCTGACTCCTACAGTCCTACCAGGATCGCGTCTAGTAACTTCAGCTCAAGGTTGGAGATACTGGGCAAGATCCAGGGATGGCGTGAATACAGGTCTGAATTAACACCGCCTCCAAACTGCACAGGCTGTGCTTTCTCAGCTCTGTATTGGTGATCTGAGATGAGAGAAGGTGATACGGATGGATGTGTACGTCTCGCGACTTGTTCGCCATGGGAATGGCAACCGACCTTGAAAATTCAAAGTCCTATACACTGGCCTGCCAAGCCTCACTTGATTCTCATCTGTGGTTGGAAGCTCCGATGGAAGAATGATCAGCACGTCAGTCTTGTCAGGCATTCTCTCCGATAAGGAGTCCTCGTGTGCAGGAGTCCTTCGAGGAAAGTTTAGATGTAAGGAACTGAGAAACCACGTAAGACCCTTGGCATACCCGTATAGCGCGTACGGTGTTGGTAAATTCCACACGTGTGACCCCATTGATGCATACCTGTGCAATATCTTAGGACTCCGGAGTCGCAACTTGGCGTCCCTGGACCACCTTGCAGGGCACACGAAAGTCATCCTCCGTCGGGACAAATCGCTTGTCAGTCATACGTAGCTGATAATCTAGCTGTGCAAGCGCGAACTATTGGAACCATTTCGCGGATCAGCGAATCGGATACTCTCTATCGATTGTCGGCACCTTGACTCTGTTCCGCCATAATAGCGGTCTGGTGGTGTACTAGGCCGCCCAGGCAGCATCGAAGACTAATCATCGTAGATAGGGACCATCTCTGCAAGCTCCAAAGCCGGATGGAAATCAGCGAATTCACATTCTGCACAGTAGATCGGACTAACTTCAATAATATGGATGGCTGATAATGAGACAGGGAGCCTGACAATCAAGGCGAAACGCGCTGGGCTCGGAGGTCACACCGATGTCACATGATGTGTCAGGTCACGGTTACGCTCTAGCATCACATAGGGCATCTACATCGACAATTGAATATGTTTCTCGTTCTTTCCCCTCGCTTTGCAGATTAAGCGACTCAAAACCGATACGCATTATTGAGCGGTAGTTTGGGAATCTCGACTTTTTGCTTTTCGTTCCCCGTTTACCCCGGCATGGCCCGCGGCTTCAAATCCCCTGCTGCTCAAGTACCACTGCCTAAAGTGTCATTTGTTGTCGTTCAGGATGATGATATCAATCAACCTGCTGGGGTGCACGACCTTCAAGCCAGATCTTACGGATGTATGCCACGTACATGCGCTGTCAAACCACTTTAGCTAACTACTTTGCAGACAATGACTTCGCCGAATTCTTGAAGCCGGATCATTACATTCGGCACATTGGTGAGCGTGTCCACGTGTAATAAAGATCTCCAGCTGATGTAACATAGAGCCTCTCGAGAAAGATCTCGCTATTCAGGTTGAATATGACATGGACGACCAAGGTGGGCACGTTCTTTCCTCTCCTTCGCCTTCTTAATATGTTGGAGCAGATCAGGAATGGCTTGACGCGGTGAACATTGAAAGGAAGAAGGATCAACTAAATGTGGTCTCGTACGAGACCTTTGAGATTATCATGGATCGCCTGGAGAAAGAGTACTTCGATTTGGTATGCCCTTCTGTACCATGTGTAGTCTCCTCTCATTTTGCCACTACACAGACCAAGAATATACCTAAATCTGATTATGCCATGCCTTCTGAGGATTCAACTTGCGCTATTTGTGACGATTCTGAGGGAGAAAATAGTAATGCTATTGTATTTTGCGACGGTTGCAACCTGGCTGTTCATCAAGGTATATGCCCTGTAACTTAGAAACGGCTTTTTTCACTCATGTATTAACAGATTGTTATGGAGTACCATACATACCTGAAGGCCAGTGGTTATGTCGCAAGTGCACGGTCTCGCCGGAGAATCCAGTGGTGAGCATGATATTGAAAGTGCATGCATTTTTGTTTTACCAATTGGTCTTCAGTCATGCATACTATGCCCCAACGAAGGGGGAGCGTTCAAACAAACGGTCTTCGGTGACTGGGCCCATCTTCTGTGTGCCATTTGGATACCCGAGACGCGGGTGGCAAACGAGGTATTCATGGAGCCTATCACCGGATCTGACAAAATTCCGAAGCAACGTTGGAAATTGGCGAGTTCCTGCGCCTCATGCTCGTCCAATTCATTGACCATCCATTCCAGAAATGTTCAATATGTGGCATTCGCGAGGGTGCATGCATTCAATGCACGAAGAACTCATGCTTCCTGGCCTTCCATACAACCTGCGCCCGTAAGGAAAGGTTACTCATGCCCATGAAGAGCTCGCAGGGATCTGAACCTGGGACACTGGCGTGCTATTGTGAGAAGCACCTTCCCGTATGCATTGCCGCCCCCTTCCTATTCAAACAACTCATCCTACTTTTTCCAGAAAGAACAGCAAGATGCTCGCCTCAAAGCTCTTGCACAAGATGGCCAGATGGCCAGTCCCAATTCCAAGCTGTCTAAGTCTGCCCGTGCATATGCCAAGACTTACAAGACCGGTCCACCGCTTGTGCCTCATATCATCGTCGAACGCATCTTGAATTACATCACCAAGGTCAATGTGCGCAAGAAAAACGAATTTGTATACATGGTGTGTAAATACTGGAGCTTGAAGCGTGAGGCGAGGCGAGGGGCACCACTGTTGAAGAGACTACATCTCGAACCATGGACAGCGTCAAACGCAGGAAAGGTGCAGACGGAAGAAGAGAAGACTGTGAAACTAGAGGTTCGTTTGCGTTTCTGTTCCTTCCGCAATAGCTGATATTCGTACAGCATTTGAAGCTTTTGCGCAAAGATCTTGAGTCTGTCCGCGATTTGACGCTACAAACTCGCAGGCGCGAGAGCCGGAAGCTTGCCCAGACTGAGAGCATCCAGAAAGTGCTCGAGATTGCACTTTTCCCTCACGAAACACCACTGCAGCTTGCATTTGAGAAGGTCCTTGCGTAAGCAGTGTTCCCATTCACTATATTGGATCATTTCCCTGATATCTCATCAGTCTTGATCGCCACGGTCTCTTCAAGCATCCCGTGTCGAGGACTGAGGTCCCTGACTACTATGACGTCGTGAAAAAGCCCATGACCTGGGATGCCATTGATGCGAAGCTCGACCGTCACGAGTACTGGGACCTCGAGGATTTCAAGGTGAGCCTTACTGGGGATAATTTTACCTTCCATTTAACATCTCGCAGAGTGACGTCGAGTTAGTGTTGTCTAATGCAATTTTGTACAACAAGCCTGGCACATCGTTTTACAAGACTGCTCAAAGAATGCAAATTAGCAGTCAACCCATCCTTCAGGAACTCACTCCCCTCGCCTATAGTCACTCGCCCCTCGCGACCCCTGACCCCTCCGACCCCTCCGTTCTCTCCCAGACGTCCATAGGAGATCTTGAGCCTTTGATAGAGACACTCCAGTTACTTACGTCAACTCAAGACATTCAGGATGACATCAATCTTATTCTTGACGCTGATCCCCTCTCGTCACTCTTCAGTTTCGAACTTCCACACATCAAGCCTCCACCGCCTCCTCCCCCAGCTCCATCTCCCCCGCCACCTGCCAAGCCCAAGGTGTCCAAAAAGAAGCGTCTGCTCAAGTCCAGTGAACCCGGTATTCTGGACTCCTCTCCAGGTTTCCGTGCCCCGCGAACCCGCCGAGCTCTTGCAGCAGCTGCAGCATTCGAGGCTGAGGCTGGCTTCGAACCCGAATCTCAATCTACCGCCGAATACGAAACTGGAACAACCCCTGCAACTGAGGCCGATCAGAGTGTATCTACTGAACCACCGAAGAAACGACGCCGGCAGAGCACAATGCCTGGACAAGCAGAAACGCCACCCATGGTCACGGATGTCGACAGTCAGGGGTTATTCAAAATGTTCGATGCAGGATGGATTTTACCGTCGGGACAGAGAAGGGGTGGACGCCAGCCTATGGAGAGGGCCCCGCTTCCACCGAAGAAAAAGAAGATGGGTAAGTCGATCTATTTTTCTGTCGTTTTAGCTGATTGTTGTCGTAAAGATCGTGGGACGTCAAGATTGTCTGTGTTCAGCACAAATGCATCGGAGAATCAGACTCTAGACGAGATTCCTGGACCTTCTGGTTTGTCTGTGGAAGAGAAAGCAGAGATGGATGTCGAGCCTGAGGGAACGTCTCAGGCGAGTGTTGTTCTTCCTGACATGGATGTACAGGCAGATTTGGGCCTTGGCATCAATGTGGAGACAGAAACATCTATAGTTGTCGATATCCCAGAGGAGCACCAGGAGGAAGGAACAGAGATACGACTGCAGCCAGAACCCGAACACGAACTAGAAGTTCAACCCCACCGACCGGAGGCCACAGAGTTGGAGGAGGAAGAGAGGGAGGAGACGCAATCAGAGTTAGAAGCACGGATAGCCAAGATCCCCATTCGACCAAACACGAAGATCAATGTCGAGAATGGGAAAATTGTCGTGGAGGAGCTGGACACGCCCAAACTTCGGCGGGAGAAAGCAAGGCAGCGGAAAGCGGAAAAGAAGGCGGCAGCGGCAGCAGCAGCAGCAGCGAGCGCAACTGTGCAAGGCGTTCCGACAGCCAAGCTCGAGACTCTTCAAGATGACGTATCTGAATTATCTGCTCTGAGCGAACTGGATAGCGATAGGGAAGATGATACTAATGAGAAGCCTACGACGCAGGGAAAGAAGACCACATCCAAGGCAGTAGTATCGCGTCAATTGCCAGCCATTCTCATTACCAAGGGACCGGCGCTTGTTACACCGGGCAAACGGTTAGAAGGTGGCACTCTTGGTACGTTGGATGATAGTCGCATGTACTCTCTTTTAACGAGTGTTCCTTGTCAGTTTGGGCCAAAGCAGGTCGGTCCCTAGATGAACCCTGACAGACCCGTGCTGATGTAACTTCACATTAGACACGTATCCATGGTGGCCCGGAGTTGTTTGGGAACAAGATGACGCAAAGATCCCAGAGGACGTCAGGAAGAAGAAGCCTCGAGCGGAGGATGGTACGCGTTATCTCGTACAATTTTGGGACACTACATCGTCATGGTACATCTTCCAAATTCAACAGTCGGAATTGGCTGATACTTATCTGAATAGGACATGGGCCCATTCGGGCAATGTGTTATTATTGGGTGAGGAACGTGGTAGGTGCTGACAGCATTTTGCGTCTGTCACCGCTGATTTGCCCCGTAGAGGTCGACACTGTTCTACTTGCGCCAAATTCTGCGTTCCAAAAGTGGAAATCACACAAGATTAAGAAACAATGTCAGGATGCCTTTCAGTAGGTGCTCTCTTCATCCCTCATCTATTTCACAAGAAAACGTTGCTTGCAGGCGCGCCATGGCAGAGATGGAAACAGCCGCAGATCTGGTTGCTCATGAAATAGAAGAAGTCACGACAGAGGTTTCAATATCTGGTTCCATCAAGGGGCAAGGTTCTGCCGATGTTGATATGGCTACGTCAGATGGGCTCATTAATGGGCCTATCATCCTCTGAGGCTGCTTTCCGTGCTTATATGCGTGCAGACGAATGTTCATGTATGCGAGGGCTAGCTGTATTAAATTTATTTCTTTGCCTATTCGATGCATTATCAAAGGTTGCTTGCTGTAAGTTGACGAAACGAAGGCCAAAAGATATTTTTGCGGGTTATCCTGAATTCACAGCCACACAGAGAAATTTCTTGGTGGTGGCGAAGAGTGACACTAAGTCCAAGCACATGAATGTGCTTCAAAAGACCGCTTGAAAACACGTTGGTTTATGTAACGGCCATGATTTCTTCTGATGGTCGCGGTCGCACTGTGGGTAAAGCAGGGTGAGACAGATACGAGAAATAGATGGTCAGGTACTTGCATAAACAGCTGTTTTGCACCTGTGGCGTAGTGAGGCCGGGTGAACTAAAGAATAAGAATGAGATCATACCGCGAGCACTGCAAGAGCTTTGAGGTTCCGGACTTCCCACAACCTTCAAAGCCACATTCGTTGAGAGACCTTTCACAATGTTGTTTCAGGCCATCTGCCATGAGCGTTGTCTCCCTTGAGCGGGTTATGTCACCATCTTTCTTGACGACGAAACAAGCAACTCACGGATCGCCCTCGAGCTGCTTGAGGCAGCGCGTGATCTGTTGCTTCTGGTACTTCCTGCTCCACTGACGCAGTTTTGGAAGGAGCACTTGTTTATCTTCCTCGCTGACGGAATTTGTGCCTTGCAGGGCAAGGAGGGTCGAGAGAAACTGACACATTTCTACGACGAACACAGGATCTGCTGGGTCTAGAGACATGGTGACCATGCGATGCGCTTGAGCCTTACAAATCGACGATCTAGCTGTGGTTAACAGAAACCTGGCAAAGTATGGCCTAGAAAACTATTCAATGGAGTGGGACACATGAGTCGAAGAGAGTTTACAGGTGAGTAACAGCATTGAGCATTCTCATGGGTACGTTGAATGCTGTATCTTGTGTATTGTAGGCATCCACAAGAGCAGGAAGATACTTGGCGCAAAATTCTCTGACAGAAGTTTATAATTCAGCCAAGAATCTGGGCAACTTGGCTGCTGAACGCACGAGTTGATTATGCTTTGGGATGGATTCCTTTGAAGCAAACCAAGCTAATGTAGTGCATATGAGAACGGCGGAGACGACAATGCTGCCAGTGAGATACGAACTTGTCGTTCGAGAGACAGCGAATTTTCCTGCTGATCGCCAGTCAGCCCGCAGTGCTCTGCCAGGGAATCCGCCGTGACGTTTAGCAGTGCTTGTAGATCAGCTTGCGTGCCAGAGACCCAGCTCATCTTGTAACTACTGCTGTGAAGACTTAGTAATTCAAGGGATGCTGCCAGGTAGAAAAAACTTAAGCGACAGTTAACGTTCAAGAGATGTCGGAAATTCTATGTACCTCGCAGAAGCTTCGTTTGCTCGAGCCTCGAGGTGCTCTGAATGCATCATGAAGTTCCTTTCGTGGGCATATGGGTCGCCATGGGCTCATGGCTAGCCATCGACTGCCCTTGGCGCACCTTGTGGTAAAGTAAATCGGGACCTTGATTGCATTGAGTTTGGTATGAATGCGTCCATAAGTATGAACGCAACTATCAGATGAACGTAAGTAAAATTGAAGAGATCCCCATGAACCGGGCCTTCTTCGCTGATTGCCGCAGCAGGAGTCCTTTCGTCGGGCCTTGAAAGAAGTACATAGTACACACCCTGGTCCTTCGGGCCTGCAGGCTCGAATACGGCGTAGCCATGCATACATCCAAGAGATCAGTAAATATTGCTGTACGTGCCTCAAGCGCTTTGTTTCAGGTCGTCTCCGAATCTGAAGTTCCGTTCAGTAGCCACTGCATGAAACGTTTCAGGATGAGTCATGATAAATAAGACTTCATTTCGCGTTCTCTAGGCTATGTAAGGCTAGGTCTGGTACGGTAAGCACTACCTATGGAACGTTCACTACAGCCTCCCTTGTCGGTCTTTCGGAAGTCGGTGTAATCACTGATATCAATTTGATCTTTTCGTTGATAGCTAAAAGTGCCCCGTGATAAACGACAGACAACTCTGAATCGGCACCGGTTCAACGTAACATCTATAAGTACTTCAAGTGAATTCCTGGAGCGCCGCTGTACGATTTCCGACAGCCATAACTCACCACCATCACGAGGCAAGGACTTTGAGTATGGTAACGGTGGGTCAGTGATCAATCAGCATCCCATCACTCTTTCTCCATTCGATTTGCATTGTGATGTCGGAACAAGAAGTCGTCGCTAGTCTCCGCTGGAATAACAATGTATCTGGTTCGTCAGCTCCTTTTGGCTGATTTTTGAACGAACCATCGTGCTGAACGTTGTTTCCAGTAGTGACCATTACCCTGATATGCTATGAGTACTGTCAGTGGCGTTCGTTAGCCTTGTTCACACTCACTGAGCACAATATTACCTAGTGTTTCTGTTCGAGAAAGAGGTACTAAAAGGCTTTTTGTCTGTTGGTCGACTACTCATTGTCATGATTGACGCAGGTCAAGTTTGTTTGGGTCAGCACTCAACCCTTTATTTGCAAAATGACACCAGTCCGGAGGACTAACAGTGATATAGAAAAGACAGTGGTCGCTGATGTCATGTCTTTACCTTGTGGTGAGCTCTACCCTGCCCAAGTGCTTCATGATTCATTTTCTGCCATGCCAGGTCCGATATCTCGGTCTTTCCCTCGCACTGTACGTCGTGGTTGTTGTGTCATTCAAACGGTACATTATGTTGACACTGACCATAGGCTTTGCGGCTGCTGTATGTAACGCTATGCTAACTGTACCATGATTGACTGACTAGCGTTAGGGGGAGGTCTGTTGTATATTTCTGAATTAGTGAGTGTATCGACGCTTGTTGTCTTTAGAGAGGTCTAGGTTAACATTTTGTTTAGCCGTACGTCACAAGTTCGTTTACAGCTATGTATAACATCTGTTGACCTCTGATCTAGCTGCGAGTATACTATCTTCAACCTGAATTGTGTTCGCTCATCATGCAATCGAAATAGGCTACGGTCTCGCCGTTTTGATGGAATGGGGTTTTTCTGTGTATTTTTGTTTTTCTGAAGGTAAATCATACTTTCTCGTATCTTATTACGCATAACCGATTTTACATCCAGTCATTCTGATCTGGCGTCTTTACGCGCTGTGCAACCAATCCAGGCTCCTACTTTATGTTCTAGTGGGGTTGTTCTTGCCTATTGTCGCCCTCTCGATAGGCATGGATATCTTTTTATATAGTCGGCGGGATGCGTTTTCGGGTGATTTTTTACTTGGAACGAATTGGCTGCAAGCTGACCCCGTCTCATCGCGTAGTAAAGGAAGTAATAACTCCAAACGCCAAGTACTGCGGACCCTCCTTCAATATGGGACCTATGCCTGCGATATATGCATCCATCCCTGTCGTATGCTATGACATTTTCTTAGTTGTTTTTGCAGCTGCCATCCTCGTGAATCACCTGAAAGAACGGAGAGAAAGCAAGATGAGGCCTAACACCTATGTACTCATGATCGTTCGATATCATGTTATATACTTTGTCCTGTAAGTTCCCTTTCACCTAGTGGGTTCTTTACAAGTGTTCACTGAATCTCGCTAGGAATTTGACAAACCAAATCTTATTGACGGTATTATGGGCCAACATTCCGGTATGATACTGCCATGATTCTACAGAGTTAGCTAACTCATACACGCACAGACGCCAGCGATGAGTCTCGCAGAGCTCTTCAATGATACCGCGCCATTCATTTTCGCACCGCGTCTGATCATTAGCATTTGGGATACGCACGCCAACGACAAGTGCGTGCATGTTAGTACGACATTCGCGGATTGTGTGTGTTGGACTTCGCCACCGCAGCACGAGATGTCTTGCGCATGATTTTAGCATGCTGCTTCCAAAATCAGGATGAAGGAAAGATCGAGGTGTGCAGGCGCGCTTCGATCAATCTCTAGTCGTGGCAGTGTTCCCTACTTTATAGGAGTAAGTAGTTCGGGGCCAATATTTGTTCACTATCTGATACCGTAGAGGTGCGACATAGCGTAATTTATTCTAGAGGACTCAATTTACTCATGGCTCATGACTGTACCCCTCCCTCTCGAGTGCTGCGTTCGTCTCTGTTCTCCCCTCCCGCTGGACCGGCCTGCACTGCGCTTTCAAGAGGGAGGAGGAGGTGCTGCTGCTTACTGTATGGAATGATCGTGTGACATGCACTCCGCTGGCCTACATCAGTGGGACATTTCGAACTATATAGTTCTACGTAGCAAGCCGAAGGGCAGTAGCAAAACCCCGCTACAGTAGTAGTCGAATGCCACAGAAGCTCGGGTAGCACGTCGTAGCAAATCAAGCTAAACCATTTGAAGTTAAAACTATAATTTTGACTGAACAAGTCCCGGAGCCAGTATGGAGGTTTTAGTCCTTTCAGCTACTAGTAGGGCTGCTCAATTCTAAAAAGTCGTTGTCGATGTCGACTTGAGCTTACGGTCACCTCTCGTAAATTACTTACGCAGACCCTAAACCTTTCCTAATTTGTCTACCACCGCGTCAGCTAAACCTTCGCATGAGAGAATTTCTGCACCTTGCTGCACTGATCCTCGTCCTAATCCTCGCTGTATAGAGACCTAAACCTTTCAATGAGTAGTTACAGATATTGCTAAACCTTGTCATGTAGTATTAGTTCCTGAACCCTTACATGTAGTAAATATTGTGCACTAAACCTTTCCCTAAATCAAAGTCTTTTGAACATTTCAAACATGCTTAGCTAGTACTTTTACTGAAGATACTGCATGAAAAATTGCTCAAATCACTCAAATCTTGCCCGAGCAAAACCGACACCTATGTAAGCACGCTGGCTTACCTGAGTTCCCATACTCAGTATATATACTGTCGCTGATACTGAAAGCTAAGCTTTCAGTATTCTACCTTTTGGTGTAACGGTTATGCGCGTGCGGCAGTCTGACCAACTTACATATACTGAAAGCTTAGGGTTTGCAGGAGGTCGGGCGTTCCAACCCGCTCCGGGTCAAATTCCAAGGTTCGCCCTTGGGGTGGCCATATGTACTCTCCCGTTTCGGATAGAAATTCCCACACAAACCACAGTGCCTCAGCGATTGGGAGCAGGACTGGTGGGGGGACAAAAAGATCTGATAACGTGGGAGGGTGTAAGCACGCTGGCTTACCTGAGTTCCCATACTCAGTATATATACTGTCGCTGATACTGAAAGCTAAGCTTTCAGTATTCTACCTTTTGGTGTAACGGTTATGCGCGTGCGGCAGTCAGACCAACTTACATATACTGAAAGCTTAGGGTTTGCAGGAGGTCGGGCGTTCCAACCCGCTCCGGGTCAAATTCCAAGGTTCGCCCTTGGGGTGGCCATATGTACTCTCCCGTTTCGGATAGAAATTCCCACACAAACCACAGTGCCTCAGCGATTGGGAGCAGGACTGGTGGGGGGGACAAAAGAGATCTGATAACGTGGGAGGGTGTAAGCACGCTGGCTTACCTGAGTTCCCATACTCAGTATATATACTGTCGCTGATACTGAAAGCTAAGCTTTCAGTATTCTACCTTTTGGTGTAACGGTTATGCGCGTGCGGCAGTCGGATAGAAATTCCCACACACACATGCCTCAGCGATTGGGAGCAGGACTGGTGGGGGACAAAAAGATCTGATAACGTGGGAGGGTGTAAGCACGCTGGCTTACCTGAGTTCCCATACTCAGTATATATACTGTCGCTGATACTGAAAGCTAGCTTTCAGTATTCTACCTTTTGGTGTAACGGTTATGCGCGTGCGGCAGTCTGACCAACTTACAACCAGTAGACTACATGTGTCATGAAAAGGTTTAGGAGGTTTAGATACTACATTGAAAGGTTTAGGCATGGCTCTAGACATTAAGGATTAGGACGAGGATACTCGCAGTGCGATAAGGTGCAGAAATTCTCTCATGCGAAGGTTTAGCTGACGCGGTGGTAGACAAATTAGGAAAGGTTTAGGGTCTGCGTAAGTAATTTACGAGAGGTGACCGTAAGCTCAAGTCGACATCGACAACGACTTTTTAGAATTGAGCAGCCCTACTGGCTGCTACTTGCTGTTACAGTCGATTCAAAAGAAGCGCTGTGCTACAAGTCACTTCGCTCGGCAGTGGGTTTCCTTATGTGCTCTTGCTCTGCCCTGGGAGCCGGACCGTCATTCATTCGGTGCAGTCAAGACCACTATATTCCCATAGATGTAAGAAAGAGTGCTTGGCTAATTGCCACTGTCTTCCTTGTTTCCCAGCTCAGAGCGCTCAGCGCTCAGCCGATGTTAGAAATCAGTTTACCGTACGGATGAGTGAGCTTAGTTCAAGGTTCTACTTGCTTGCCAAGGTCATATGAAAAGTTTCGGACCGGGGTGGGACTTCATTTCATGTTCTCCAGCCCATGCGGGCCAGCCCATTGCGGGGCTACTAGGTGGGACCCTTGCTATCTAGGACAAGAGGGTTGGACATGCAGAAATGCAACGGGCTATACCAGTGGCCTAGGGTGACCTTGTCAGTCGTGTGATGCTTATGACTTTTCCGTTGGGTGCTCACTATTGAGGACAGCGATTTGTAACCCCAACAGGAAGCACGGTGCCGTAAACTCGGTACGGTGTCGTACAATTGTCTTCTGACCGCCACAACCCCTACAATATGACGGAATTCTGTGCTCTATAAGTACTCTACGTCAGTGATCAGCGGCCCACCATTCACCCTTTGAATTCGCCATTTGATCTGCACACATTCATGTCGGAACAAGGAGATGTCTCTGCCCTCCGCTGGAATAATAGTATATCTGGTTCGTCAGTTCCGTTCAACCTGGTTGTGAACGGACCACCGTGCTAAACTTCATCGTTTTCCAGTAGCAATCATTACCCTGGTATCCTATGACTACAGTCAGTAGCTTTCATGAACCTTGTACTGCAGCTGAGCATTGGATTATCTAGTGCTGCAGTTTGAGAAAGAGGTAACGGAAAGCTTATTGCTATTGGTCGAGTCCTCATGATCATATTGTCGCAGGTCAAGTTTGTTTGGGTGAGTATTTAACCCCCGATCTGCAAAATGCTATCAAGCCTCGGAGACTGACTGGTTATCCAGAAAAGACAGAGGTCACTAATGACATATCTTTACCTCGCTGTGAGCTCCGCCTTACCAACGTGCTCCATAGTTTTTCACTTCGTTGTTCTGCCAGGTTCGATATTTTGGTCTTTTCCTTGCAATGTACGTCGCGGCGGTTGTGTCCTGCAGATGATACATTGTATATTGACACTGACCCTAGGCTTAGCGCCTTGTGTATGTGATGCGGTGCCAACTGAGCCATAATTAGCTGACTAGCAATAGGGGGAGGACTGGTGTATATGCCTGAATCAGTGAGTGTATCGATGCCTGCTATCTTTAAAGAGTTCTCGGCTGACATATTCTAGTCGTACGTTACTAGTTCTCTTTACGTCTAAGTCTCAACAGTCGTTGACCTCTTATTTAGCTGCGAGTATATCGTCTTCAACTGAGACTGGGTGTGCTCATAATGCAATTGAATAGGCTACCCTCTTATTGTTTTAACGGAATGGAGTTATTCTGCATATTCTTGCTTGGCTGAAGGTAAGTCACTCATTCTCGCATCCCAATATGCGTACTGATTTTGCATCCGCAGTCATTCTCATCTGGCGTCTTTACGCCCTGTCCGAACAGTCCAGGCTCCTACTTTATGGCCTACTGGGGTTGTTCCTACCTATAGTCGCGCTCTATATAGGGATGGATATATATTTATATAGTCGACCCTCAGCGTTCTCGGGTGAATTTCTATCTGGGTCTCGTTTATTGCAAGCTGACGTCTCGTTGCATAGTGGAAGAAACCATAATTCCGAACTTCGAGTACTGCGCGACTTCCTTTCACATGGGACCTATGATTGCGATCTCTGCTTCCATCCCCGTCATATGTTTCGATATTTTCCTGGTGGTTCTCGCAGCTGCCATCCTCGTGAAACACATAAAAGATCGGAGGGAAATGAGAATGAGACCCAACGCCTACGTTCTAATGATCGTGCGATATCATATCATGTATTTTGTCCTGTAAGTTCCCCTTCGTCTATTGGGTTCTCTGAAAGTATTTATCGAATCCCGCTAGAAATTTGGCAACTCAAATCTTCATAGCGCTATTATGGGACAACCTTTCGGTATGATCTCCCATGCCAGTGGATCTAGAGAGAGACCAGCTCTAACGCAGACACGCACAGACCCCAGTGTTCAGCCTCCTAGTGATGTTCAACGACACAGCACCAGTTATTATCGCACCCCGTCTGATCATCAGCATTTGGAATACGCATGCCAACGACAATTGCGTATATGTCGGTAGAACGTTCGAAGATTGTGTATGTTGGACCTCGCCACCGAGATCATTCGAGCAGTACGAGATGGGCTCCGGCGCAGAATGGTCCCAAAACCATGGTGAAGGAACAATTGAGGCGAGGTGTGGTTAAACCCCCTCAGACGGAGGTCCTGTGTAACGCTCGTCAAAAGCCGAGCGCACGGACTTAGTACCTAGCTACCAATATCCGTACGCATCATCAGCATCACTCACTCATTCTTAGTTATTCTTTGTGTTTCTTTTATCCCTACTTTACCCGAGTCTCTCCTTACCTATATAAGCTAGTTTACATAGTGTTGGAGGGACAGTTGATCCTTTCCCTCTCCGAGTAACAACGGTTTAGTTCTGACAGTTCTATCTGTGCTACGCCTAAGTTTACTCTACAAAGTCAACTTCTTGAGTGTGAATGTTTATCTAAATGCCACATATTTTTGAACTAGAATACTAAACTACCCATCTTCACCTTACTATGGCCGTCACTGAAGAGGATTGATCACCCTCTGACCTGTCAACCCTTCTCAAAACTACACATCTCCCAACCCCCCTTTTTCGATATCAATACTAGAAAAATGCCTACACATGCAGCAGGCAACCAGTCTCCTTGTGCCTTGACATTAATGAGTGCAGGAGCAGACAATGCCGGTGCCCTTGAACTTGGAGTTCAAAGCACCTGGACCCATGATGACAACGAAGTCTCCGGGGCAGATAGGAGTGAAAGCATAAACGCTGAGCCTCCCACAAGCCAACAGAGCGACCTCAGTGTTGCCTGGCCACGAATACCTAGTACCCTGTTAACCAGTAATGAGGGGAACGAACAAAATGTGCCACTTAATTCAGTTGACGACGAGAACTCAACTATCATGAGTCTGAGTCCCTTACTCAACAGCCTAGGCAAACACGCCTTCTCTCCCATTAGATATCCTGTTGTATTGCCAGATGAAAACATATATCATTCTGCACTGTTTGCACCCGAACCAGAATACTCAGAACGAATTCCCAGACTAACGAGTGTCTTCGATTGGTCAGACATGCCCGACAATGGAGATATTGGAGACGTACCCGAATTCCTTGTACTAGACCCCATTAAGAAATCTCTGACAGCTGGATCCTCCCCGAGAATTCCCACTGAAGCAAAAGGGAAATTAGTAGACTCCCTTGAAAAGAATGGACAAAATCCTCAGAATGCCCATCATGACTGGTTGGACCAATGGACAGAATTTGACGAAGGCATGGCTGACCTTAGCTGCCCAGGGACAGACAACCCAGACGAGTCCCTAAGACGCATATGGAACAATGATAACTGTCGCTTATCGATCCAAATGCAAAACATGTACCTGAGAAGATATTGTGAACAAGCAAAAACTAGACTCACCAAACAGACCGAGCTTATGAATGAGCTTCAGGATAGAGACCAAGAGCTTGAAAAGCTCATAATCCAAAGCCAGACCCGGGAAGAAGAAGCGCGAAAGCAACTCCTCGAAAGTCACAGAGCCCGACCACTAGTATCCAAGGCCCCTTGAATCAAATGACTAGCTCCCGAGCTCCAATGGCCCCACTTAAAACCAAAGGAGGTTTTAATCAGCCCGACGTTGGTAACTCACGTTACCAAAGAGCGTCCTCTGTCCTTCCCCCGAACAGCTCCGTCAAACGCGCTATGGGAGGACCACCAAGAGACGATCCAGAACCTAGCGATTCCGACCTGTCTTCAACTGATAACGACAAAGATGAAGTGTCATCCACAGAATCCGATTCTCACACTGATCCCCCTGTACGCCACAGTCAGAAACACTCCTGTGACCATCACTCAAAGTCCATTATCCCTGGTCCCATTGACAGTGACCCCGAATCCAACGGTCCTGGGCGACCAAACGACTTCAGTGTGGACTTCCTAGCCTTAGAGCCTGAATCCAACTAGTGCTGCCGTGGTCCGGTTTGGTCCGGTTCAGAGCGTCCTGGACGAGAACCAAGAACCGAACCATGGTCCGGTTCTGCAAAATTGTCGAACCCAGAACTGGACCATCAAAGACTTGAATAAACATATATCTGACATAGTCAAACAAATGTCAGAAGGCAAGAATATTGATAATTTGATTAGTTAGTACTTACCTTCAAAAATGCTAAAGATTGCCTGATTAACCTAGAGTGCAATTCCCGAAGACGACAGTCTGATGTTGAGGCCAATGTTGTCGAAGTTGAAGTTGAAGTTGACAAGGGTTCGGAACGGTTCGGGAAGGCCGAACCAAAATAGAACAGTCCGGGAATATGTAGAACCGAGAACTGCCTTCTGGTCTGGTTCTGGCTGATGCGAGAACTGCCTTCTGGTCTGGTTCTGGCTGATGCGAGAACTGTGGACCGAACCATGGAGAACTGGACCAAAAGTCTGGTTTGAACCGTGGTTCTGGACCGGACCGCAGCAGCGCTAAATCCGACCATGATAGTGACACCCCTGAGACAAAACACTTGAAGTGAGCGGCGAGACGCAAATACCACGCTAAGTTAAATCTACTTAAGTATCAGCAGAGCTTCATAAAGAACGAACCTCTGTTTACATACCATGGTGAAGCTAATGCAACGACCTTCAAAAAGTGGGTTAGAGAAGTCAGGGACTGGAAAGAACGAGCATGACTCACCATGAACCAATCATTGCACATGCTGGGAAAGTACCTCGGAGGGAAAGCCTATAGATTCTTTGAGAGAGACATCCTAGACCTACAAAAAAGATACTTGATGACTGAATTCTTCGAACAATTATTCGATTATGTCTTCCCACCTGATTTCTGCATGCAGCAGCAACAGAAATTCCTAGAGTGTCGACAAGATGGGAAACAAACTGTTTGAGACTATCTTCGACGACTCTGGGACCTTGCAGATACTGCTGGCGATGTCGACGAACGTGAGATGGTCCAACAATTCTGGACCAATTGTAAGCCTTACCTCAAGGCCTCTCTAGTAGATAAGGGCTACAAACCAAATACTGTCACTCTCGATGTCATTGAGAAGAAGGTGCTATGTACTGAACACGTGTTCTTGGAAAACACTAAAGACCCTAACATCCTCCTGGCTGTTAACCCGACTCTTGCCACCAGCTTCGCAAGTCATTATGCATGCAACAACCAAAATGACCGATGTGATGTACACAACTGAAAAATCGACCAGAGACCTCGGACCCAATTGATCACTGCGAACACCATCACCCCCCCTATACCTGACAGGAGGAATCACGGGAAGACTAACCTTAGAAATGACGCCCCACCTAGGAGGAATAGACCCCCAAATGATGCCCCTAAGAAGAACCTGGATCAATTGAGGCATCTCCATAATAACAATCAATGCTTTGAGTGTGAGCAGATGGGACATCTTGCCAAAGACTGCCTGAGAAGGCACTGACTACCTTACAAACCTACCTCAAAGGTGTCATCCCTAAGCGCAAACACTGTAGGTGTGACTGACACTGACATCCAGAACACTGCGATAGAAGAAGGAGTGGCCTATGGACTATATGGAATGGCCATTAGCCATGGAAGCGTGAATGACCTAGAATCCGCTAAGCAACTTGTAGCAGTTGAACACACCCTGGCAATCCTATGTATGGCTGTCCCTCTCCCCATGGACGAACTCCATGACCCGATCTTTGATCCCTACGGGCTCTACAGGTTCAACCTAGCAACACACGGTGGACCTGACACCTACCTTTTATCTGACAAGCACAACTATGATGACTACATCATCTACTGGGAGCAGATTTGTGACCCATCGTTTGATGTAGTCTCCTGGCTGATTGACCTGAAACTACATAATTACCCAGATCTCATTTGAACGAAAGTGTCGTTTCAACCTTCCTGGGGAGCCCAACCCTTGTTAACTGAGAATAGCCCCAGTACCATTGACAGTAATCCCAGTGAGTACAGTAAACACACCGCACCCATCGATCGCGAAACCCCGTGCGATTCCTCCAGTGGAGTTAGTGAATTGTTCTGTGCAGGTAACTCTAGTAAGAATGCGAACTTACCTGACATCTGTACCCTAGAACAACAGTCCACCCAACCTAAGTCCTCAACCAGAATCCTCCTGTGTTTGCTCGTGGTCATAGTCTTAATTAACAGCCGACCATGTCGGGCACTACTCGACTCAGGCTCACTGACCAACTTCATCTCATCTACCATTGTAGATCAGTTGAAACTTGATTATGAGCTTCTAGATAAACCAATACCATTGCAACTTGCGGTCTCAGGATCCTGTAGTGTCGTTAAAGCTAATACAACTGTTGAATTCACGTATCAAGATGTGAAGTGCCCACGCACTTTTGACATTGCTAACCTCAAAGCTTATGATGTCATCCTCGGGATCCCATTTCTCTATCAACACCAAGTATTAATTGGTTTCAATCCCTCAGAAATCAAAATATGTAGTCTCAACCCTCTACCCATCCGAGGGTCACAAACACAAGTCCTGGAACTAAAGGGCTTGGGCCCAAGCGTGGATCGGTTCGAATCATACTGACAAGAACTTCGTACTTACGCAAAAGACATATGCAAAGAAGCGGTCAAAGCCCCCTTACCGCCATTGCGCAAGATTAACCATGTAATTCCCCTTTTCAACGACAGTCAGGTTTACTCCTGGCGTCAGTCTCAATGCCCCAAAGTGCTACGCCCGCTGTGGAGAGCTAAATGAGAGGTGTATACTCGAACAGGTCAGTGGGAGTTCTTTAGTGGAACCAATGCGGTTCCCATGATAATGATGAAGAAAGCCACCAAAGATGGATCTCTACAACTGCGTACCGTGTTGGATACCCGTCAGCGAAACAAAAACACACGCAAACTTGCATCCCCATTACCTGATATCAACACCATACTACAGAACGTCTCCTCACACCCATTCTGATCCTTGCTTGATGGTAAGGACACATACAAGCAAATTCACATGGTACCTGATGACATCCCGAAGACATTATTCACTACCCCTGATGGCACAATGATTAGTCATGTTATGCAAATTGGTGATTGTAATGCAGGCGCGACCTACCAATCCCTGATGAATCATATCTTTGGCCCACACCTGGGCATATTCATGGATGTGTACCTTGACGACATAGTGATTTACTCTGACTCTATTGAAAACCATGTGAAACACATTAAAATTGTAATTGATACCTTGCGCACTAATCACTTCTACCTCAGTGAGCACAAACTCCAGTTTTTCATGAGTGAATTGTGCATCCTGGGCCATGTCATTGACGATGGCAGAATTCGCCTAGATCCTCATAAGGTTGATAAGATAATTAACTGGAAGACACCCACCTCAAAGGACCTCCTGATGCAATTCATCGGCTTGGTTGGGTACTTGGCTGGTGGATGTGAGGGTGTTCAAGTCGACATGCAACACCTCTCCAAGGTGGCTGCTAGAACCACAAAATGGACATGGGACCCCACAGACCAACGTGCATTTGACTTTTTTTTCTTTTTTTCTTTTTAAATCCAATTTCTGTCTATTTGGGGTGAAATACCCTATGTAAGACATTACTGACTAGGAACGGGGGACACCTGTGTCCCCCACCACGTCTCCGACTTCGCAAA